CGGGCCGCGAGATCGAATCTCGCCTTCGGAAATTACATTCCGAAGCCATGGATGTTGTGGCGTCATTGTGTTAGAAATATACAGGGTGACTTTGAAGTTGAGTCATTTATTTTAGCAGTGAGTAGATCTGATCAAAAGAAATGTTTTTTCCTTTAACATTTTTCTGGTAAAATTAAAGTAACAAAGTTATAGCCCTTTAGAAGTTTAAGTACCGCCCTGTCTCAATAATAATATTATGTGCTCGTGTTTGGCAACAACGGATATAATCCGCCTTATCGGTTCATCGCATCGGAAACAAAAAAGCGAAAGAATTTGAAACACTTATCACGATGTTTTTACTACAATTTTATTCAGTTGTATTCAGTCAATGTGTCAGTCGGTAATGCGTGAGTGAATAGTGGTGTTTGTTGCGTGGCTCAAACGAAATAAAAAATGGCACATGTTTACGAAAATGCTGAACTTGTGGACATGATTCTTATTTACGGGGGGAGTCTTTACAAAATGCTGCGACGGCATCACGGATTTATGCGGATCGGTTTCCCAATCGAGTGCAACCAACCCCTCGTGCCTTTGTTAATGTAGTACAAAGGGCTCGTGAATCAGGTGACTTAAGACCTCACAGGTGAGGGCATGCCGGTGCTCCAAGACCGCACGGCCAAATACAGGTCCGCATTGAAATATTTGTCGGGAGGATACTTTATAAAACAAGGTAACATTTTTTTTTATTTTTACACATGTGTTTTGGTTTACCTTCCTTCTATAATCATTATCTGAAAATTAATGACTCAACTTCAAAGTCACCGTATATGTATAAGAAACCTAGTGACTGGCTGCATGGTCTCCTAGTCCTAACCCAAAGTCGCCCCCTTAAATGTTGACATTCAGTTGGAAAACACCCTATATATTTTATGTAAGTAAATCAAATTATTAAAACTTATTGTAATACACTATTATAGTTTTTCATTTTGGATATGTTTTTTTTTGGCTATATATTTGTTCATATTTCCTGTTATTAGTTGTACCCTTTAGATATAAAGACTTCATTTGATTACTGATACTTGTGTTTTGACATACCATTAATGAATTCCTTAACAACTTCATGTATTATATTTTTCAGTTGGTATTTGCAGAATATAAATAAAAGAATACTTGGTAAAATAAATATTTTTATTCTCATTTGTATACCCACAGAAATACAATAGGTTCTTTCAAAAATATAGCTTTCATCAAGTTTTAATCCTTCTTTTCTCTTGAAACAAATGTTTTTTCTCTAGCATAACGTTAACAAGATTTTATGCTGTTTTTTAAATTACAAAGCTATGTAAACAGGGCTAAAAGGATATCTAATCAATTACAAAGAAATGTTTCTAGTTTGAGGGTACATTAGATCATATTTGGAAAGTTGATTAACGGTAGGTACCAAACTTTAAAATATCCAATTTAAATATATTGACTCTTCTTTTTCTTCTAATAATGTTACACTGGAGTTATTCTATCTTGGACCCGCATCTTGTACCCTGGAATTGTCAGGATCGGATGTATCTTTGAGCAATTCAAGTAGATCTGAAAAAATACTATTATAAGTAATGGTGATTTCTTCCGTTTCAGTCCTAAGTACCGATATAACCATAAGTGTTGAACTATGTAATTCATATAATATTTTTGCTAGGTCACTGTAACCATTTGCCACTGTGCTATGATGTCAAGTATTCAATCTCAAACCAATGGCATCAGCATTGTGATATTTTGTCCAAATAGAAATGTCGATTACAATATTAAAAAAGACTTTATCAAGTTTCGTGTGACATTTTAGCTATCTGACATGCAACATTAACCATTAGACATTCGAGAACCCCATGCCCAGGCCTAACAAAGCTCCTTTTGAACTCGATAGCTTTTAAATTTTATGATTATTCAGGCTTATGTCTAGCTTTAATTTACAAATTGCAGTGTAAAACATGTCAGTCACAAAAAACAAATTCACTTCTTATTGTTTTTTAAGATTATTCGTCTCTTTATCCTTTCAAAATAGATATGGAGTTTTACTGAGTTTTGTATGCAATATCATGATGGTTTATATCTGAAAAAGGATGCATAGATTCAAGAAACATTAAAAATTTTACACCTTGGTGTGGGCGGCAATCTTTAATAATATTTTTTAGATTTATAGTCTCAAATTTTTAGGTTCAGGTTCCAACTAATATAAAAAAATATCAGATAGGGCAAGGCACGTTTAAACTCAATTTCAGAGCATTCACACATTATACATACTTGTAGCCTGACACTACGCAATTCAAAGTCCAACAGTGATTTGTGAACAGGCATCTCCAAGATCAACAATGCAGTTGTACTTGGGATACAATGTTTCTTATCCAACATCTCATAAAGTCTGAGAGAACGAACCACATCTGAAAAAAATGCGATAGTATATAAATATGAATATGCAATGATTAATTTTGTAACTTACTACCTTCATCAAAGGAACAGCTTGGTTCTAAGCTGTTGAGCTTTTATATACAGGGTGTTTCACAACTTATCCGACAAATTTTAACCACATATGCGATGTTACGAAAGAAGTTGATTTCTCAAAGAAAATGAAATAAAAGTCCCACAGAAATCGAGCTAATAAAATAATACAGTTTAACTGTTCACTTACTTATAAAAGCTGTTCAAAATTGTATCCATTGACTGCAATGCAAGCTAATTCAAATACACCACCTTCCTGGTGTGCCTGAAGACTCAAATTATCGGATTCCCGGATTTTCTTCCACAATATTCAAAATTTCGTCTTCGGCATTTAAAACGCGTTGTGGGCGAACCCGACCCCCATCCACTCCGCGTGTGGGGCGCAAATCTCCACTAGCACGTGCACGTAAAACAACTGAACTAAATGTTTCGTGATGTGGTATGTACCTGTTCGGAACTAGGTGTATTTCACGAGTATTCATCGCGTTTTGACGTCTACTGAGGTAAACAGTTACCCAACAAGTGACATTTTTGTGTTAGTTTGCAACATTGGCAATAATAAATAGGGTGTAAATCTAAACTTGTTTTGTACATAAAACCAAAACAAAATATGGCTCTGTCTACCTGGCATTGACGGATCCGTCAGAATTATGTGACCTTTGCAGATATGGGGAATTATGAAATATTACTAGATATTATACTGTCATTCTACCGTAATGGATACTCATGAAAAAGACTATAGAAGGCGTCAATTAAAAAAGTTTGGTTAATTTGACAAAACTATTGATAAAGGAGAATTAATGTCAATATCGCTTAAGCAGTCTGAATATGCCGATTTAAAAACTCCCCGAGAGTCGTTGCTGTTCAGTAGCAACTTATAAACTCCTAACAACTGCAACTGTCAGGAGCTTAGGACATACATAACCTCAATGTCAAAGTGGAAATTGTTTATTGTTATTTTCACAACTAGTTTTGTGTGGAAACATTCGTGAATGTCTAACTGAAATCAACCTCAGTCAACGCGTTTCTAATGATCATAGCTTAGAATAAAAAGGCCTCCATATAAATTACCATTATCCTTTCATAATTATATTGTTTATAGGAGGGCCCAGTAAATGCTTTCAAATAGGATGTTGGTTATGGTCAAAAGTTGAAAGCAACAAACAATTGAAATCAAGTAAATACTATCTTATAATCAAATTCATTTCTATTTAGATTGATGGAATGTAAATTATCCCCTGTACCCTTGTTATATTGGCTGCTGTGACTCGATCTGGCACGAACACATGTCGTCAATAGCGGCATCTGCTGTGAACAAGCTAGGCTACTTTGTTAAGGGTTATGTAAGAGGTTATGTGGAGAAAAGATCTTAGTATCTTTTCTCCACATAACCTCCTCACTCTGTGCAAGTCCCATATAAGACCTAGCCTCGAGAAGTGCTCGTGTTTGGGCTGTTGCCGCCCCGAATACATTATACATGCTCGTTGCTGTGGGCCTGATCGATGACTCTTCTTTAACGGATAGTCTCTTAATTATTTCGCACCGACGGGTCGTCGGAGATCTAGCTCTCATATACCGTTATGTCAACGGACTTTGCTCCTCAGAGCTCTCTTCCATGATACTGCCTCGCGATATGCCTGCCAGACAACCCGCTTGGCTTCGGCCTCCCGTCCTAACCATGTCAAACTTCGTTCATCTAGAACTAGCCGATAAGACTGCTTCTTTGACCCTAGCGTATCGAGATTGTGGAGGAGGCTTTTTCCAGATTTACTAATCTTAGCCAGTTCGAAAATCGCATTGACAAAGCTTGTTTAAGCTCCCCATAGCAGCCGAGGTGCCCTGGGTTTTAGGCTTCTGCCTAAGCGGCTGCTTCTGTTTAAAAAATGATCAGTTTAAAAACATTTTGACGTATTCACAAAGGCATTCGAGCAATTCGATCAAATGCATCTTGCTTCATTGCCAAACTGGATTGTTGTTTTTGATAAATAGCCAGTAAATAACAATACGCGAGGTTTTTAGAACTTAACGAACTTGGAAGGAGTTTCTTCCCTGTATTTTCTAATTTACCAATGACTTGACTGACAGTTGTCATTAGGTCATATCATAAAAATGTCAAACTACCAAATTTAGTAGTAAGGTTAGTAGATGGAACTAGTATAGAGATAGATGTGTTTCCGTTTGCTTCATTGCCAAACTGGATTGTTGTTTTTGATGAATACCCAGAAAATAACAATACGCGAGGTTTTTAGAACTTAACGAACTTGGAAGGAGTTTCTTCCCTGTATTTTCTAATTTACCAATGACTTGACTGACAGTTGTCATTAGGTCATATCATAAAAATGTCTAACTACCAAACTTAATAGTAAGGTTAGTAGATGGAACTAGTATAGATATAGATGTGTTTTTCATTTGTGACTCATTGTGACTGTGCACAAATAACTTTTTGCTTCTGTACTACTTTGTAAAAGTTCTTCAATATTATCAGACCATGGGATTATTGAGCTAAACAGCATGAGTCGATTTTTAAACTGCAGGTGACATTCCAACATATGGCAAAGCTGGCAACCGTGAAGAAGTGGACGATATCGTAGACTTCGAGAAAGATATGGAACAGAATGAGAAATCTGATGATGATGATTGTACCATTATTGAACCTAGTGGCTGGAATTCGGTGGACCCTACAAATCAGGGCATTAATTCAACACAAATTTTGCCTCAAGAAGCGCCTATTTTAGATGAGGAGCCGGACGTGAGCACTGGGGTAGGAGCTGCTTTAAAATTGGCGATGAGCAAAGGTAGGATATAGTTAGGGCTAAAACCATAATTTAAATTTATCTACAATCGAGCGGTAAGGTATACTTTATAAATTGCTTTTCTTAAAGTTCCATTTTTTAAATTCACAGACTCCTCCATGCCTAAGGGCGATAAAGCAACTTTACCGTCCGCTATGTATAACTAGCCTATCTTGAACTTGACATGATGGCTACGGGAGCTGTTATTTATTCATGACTAGTCGATCGCCATTGTCGTTGATAATTTAGTACGGTTGATTGATTTCTGTTTTCGTGTTCTAATTAAAAACTACTCGAACTTTCTTATTTTTGCTAGTCGTGAGTAAAATAATATAATCTATAGGCCATACTGCTTTTGTCCAGTATCTAGGTTTTAAAAGTTGAGATATTTAATTTTGATAGACTCAATGTTATTGTTTTGTTTATAACCAGTTTAGCTCTCAATTATGAACAAACTTCAACTTGACAGAACTCAAGACAGACATAGAGAAGATGTATCATTTGACAGTTGAATGTTAGTCAATCAATAGTAGAGATAAAAAAGTATGAATTTCTCATGCCAAGTGAGGCTGGTGGTCGTACTAAATAGTTGACAGAAGAAAGATAAGAAAAGTTATTCGCTATTTAAGATCTAGTGAAGTATCCGAAGCTTCGGCAATTTTGTTAAAGTTAAAAAATGATTCGTAAACCAATATGATAACTGGCCTGATAATGATTGGATGAGGGTTTCTTGTTCCGATAAGTCCAAAATCAATGATACTTTACTGGCAGGCGAAACTGGACTTAGGAAAAATAGTAATAACAATATCCAGCTTTATTAAAAAATAAAATGTTCTTCAGAAACAAACTATCCATGAGGATGGCAGAGTCTAGATTCAAGCCATTCTACTCAACCGTCAGAAAAAAAATTGCTCAAAAAGTATAACTGAGAACCAAATTTGTCTGATGGCTTGAGTTAAATGTGTACGAGAGAGAAGTGTCTATAGGCACATATGTTAGAAAGAGATAGAAGCCGCCTGGATAGGGAAGCTCATCACCGCATTGCCTATCAACGCTGACGCGGCAATCTGCGCCTCGTTGCCATTATGTTACACCAATTCATGTGTGCTAAAATCGTGTTTTGTTTACGGCTATTCGATATTGTCTTTAATGCAAAATCTAGTGCCTATTAAATTATTATGTAAGTACCAGTATTTCAAGTGGCCTGTGCCAGTGTGAATGTTTGCAAGCTGAAATTTGAAGGATTTGAAATTTATACGACGAAGAATCATCTTCGACACCACCGTTTATCAGCAAAAGATCTGGCAGTGGCGTACCAATTTTGAGCGATGAACAATGCCATTAAGCGCGCATTGTAAATGTTGCAATCAGATGTCCTAGTCACCTGTACCGTCTGAACATAGAATTTTATTACTGCTAATGAAGTTCGTACGCTAAATGCAAATAAGCTATTGGTAAATATATCAAAGAACTGAAAGCTGCAAATAGACCAGCTGCGGATTCATCAGGATACAGCTTCGAGGAGTTCATATCTGAAGTAATTGAAAGGCAAAAGCGCAAAACTAACACAATTTTATTCAGTGTTAAAAAGCCGGACCAGACCAAATCTAAAAAGGAACTCCCATTCACGAATTTCAAATACAAAATACTTTTGTTAATACCGAACATGTTTTATCATATTCCAAATCGACGCATCCTCATTGGAAAACTCTTTATGTAGGCAGCCATGAACAATAATATGAAATACATTGAAGTCATTAACGAGAGTGGTTGGTATACCGATGTTCAACTACTTGTTAAAAAAAACGCTAATATCACTATACGATGATGGAGGTGGAAACCTTGTCTTGAATGCGCAAGATGTTAAGGGAAGCAATGATGAATCTCTCGCTTATAAGATTCTCAGTATTTTTCTGTTTTACCCCTGAACTTGAAGCCTCATCAACTGACATTTTAATTTAATATTCAATTCAGCTTTGGTTTCCTTACTTCTTGTCCGGTCATGCGGTAATGACGGTGATCAACCAGACGTTACCGTAAAAACTACTATAGGGATAGCGGAATGAGGGATGTGCGTACAGAATTGTAGGCAACCCAAATCTACGTCCATCGTGTGCCCGACTGCCTAAGTGTACGCTTATGTATGACTGGTATGGATCATAAACCTGCATATTTTTTATTTTTGGTTCCACCTCTTTTTCGGCAAAAAATCTGGAACTATCTGAATGATTTTAAAAAATCGTGGAAAATGTGCACGATTTTGGTCCCATTTCGGTGGAAATACTGAAATATCGGTAGGATCGGCAACACTACCAAAATTGCTCATCTATGATCTACGAAGGTGGAAACCAGGACTTGGAATATACGAGATGCGGTGTTGTCAGACGAGCCAAAGATGCAATGTTGTAGAATTTGTGGCGATCCTGACCTTTCATTTCGACTTAAAATGGAGCCCTGTAATGCTGATCCGCACGAGTATCATGTATCTTGAAAACTGACGTTATATATATATCCTGGGTTGGCCATATTCGGCGATAAGATGTTTTTTTTAATCATAGGAAAAAACACATTTTTTACTGTTCATTTCAAAAATCGTTTATTTGGGTTCAAGGAGATTTGTGAACATAATTTTTTGAAAACTATATCTCTTAAATGGCCGCCATGAGCCTGTACAGCGAAAAGTGCCCGTGATGCACCATTTTCCATCGTTTTGGCCAACGTTTCGGTTGATATGGCGGCTATTTCCCGTCGGATGTTGGCCTTAAGTGCGTCTAGGGTCCTTGGCTTGTTGACATAAACCTTCGATTTCAAGTAGCCCCACAAAAAGAAGTCTGGAGCCGTTAAATCTGATGAACGCGGTGGCCAGTCAAAATCACCATTTTTCGACATCAGACGTCCAGGGAACAATCGTTTCAAAAAATTGATAGTAGCTCGAGCTGTGTGTGGTGGAGCGCCATCTTGTTGAAACCAAAAATGATCCGTACCATTGTCACGAATAATTGGCATCAAAAAATCGGTTACCATATCGCGATAACGCTCCTGATTGACGGTAACCGCTTTGCCAGCTTCATCTTCGAAAAAGAACGGCCTAATGACCATACCAGCACCAATACCGCACCAAACAGTCACTTTTTGGTCACAAAGAGGTACCTCGTGAATAATTTGAGGATTTTCAGTACCATAGAACCGACAATTTTGTTCGTTTACGGCTTCGGTTAACATTAAATCAGATTCATCGCTCATGATGATTTTTTGCAAAAAATGTTCGGCACTTTCAGCCATTTCGATGACTCTTTGGGCCCATTCCAATCGACGTGGCTTATCGGCAGGTAACAGGTTTTGCGTCAGTTGAATTTTGCATGGGAACAAATGCAAATCATGAGGTAATATGCGACGTAAATTGGTTTGTTTTATGCCCAACTGCTCAGATCGATGTGTTTGAGATGTTGTTGGAGACCTCTGAACACTTGGGATTAGTAAGTGCCTCACCTGATGAAAATCATTCATACAAACGATACAATGTAGTCGCGGAAGGCGCAGTTTTCACTTTATTTATTTTTCTCCATGCACGTTGAGTTTTCACAATTGACTTGTTTTGTTGAATCTAAATTTGAACAATCTGAGAGCCTTCGCGTGGAGTGTACTGCTCCATTGCAAAAATCTCCTTATACTGATGCTTCAAACGCGCTACGTCATTACTCGATCTGTCATCTCTGAAAACAGTTACAGTGTTGCCACATCTTTTCGTCGAATATAGCCAACCCTATATATATATATATTGACATTATGTAGGTTTTTCTACAAGTTGTTAACTTAGCAGTTAGTTGTACGTGTTGCCTAAAGGTCATGAGGCTTTAGTTATCAATGTTTGGTTCGGATGTGATGTAAAATCTGCTTCCGAGATGGCATTACTGGAGGTCTAAGCTGTAAGTTGTATGTGTTGATGATAATTCCATTGGATTCTTGTCTCAAATACACTTAATCAAGATTCAAAGCTAGACATTAGTTGCGCAACAACTTATTCTTATCCATTCTGGAAATTACATATACAAATTTGCTGAATTTCAAAAATGTGAGAGATAAGAAATAATTCACTGTACACTGTCGAAGTACAAACATATACATGCTAACAGTAATTACATATAATTTTCGTAATTTATAACTTTGAACATAACTTCTCTTCAGGCAGCACAACATATAAATAACCGTCATATTCAGCATTTCTGTAATGATTTTCTCACTCAGCAAATATCACTCATTTTATACATACAGGGTTTGTCCGGAAAGTAATAGGACTGAGTCGATTTAAAAAAAATTATTGAGCCAATCGTTACAATTCTTTAAAAACTTTCAAAATAGGCTCCTTCTGCGTCGATGCAGCGCTGCCAGCGCGATTTCCCAGCATTGAACGCGTCACGGAAGGCATTCTCCGGAATAGCCTTGAGAGCCGCGGTGCATGCTGCTTGGAGTCCCTATGTCGTCTCAAAATGCTTGACTTTCATCGGCCTTTTCAAGCGGGGAAACAAAAAAGTCAGGGGGGCCACATCTGGGCTGTAGGGCGGATGCGAAAGCGTTGGGCCTTGGTCAGGTAGCTGTTCACAAAAAAGGCGGTGTGAGCCGGGGCGTTGTCGTGGTGCAACTTCCAGTCGGCTGCGATGTCTTGTCGGACCCGACTGACCCTTCGTTTGAGTCTCCTGAGCACTTCCACGTAAAACTTGGCGTTGACGGTTTGTCCAGGAGGAACAAATTCATGGTGGACGATGCTTTTGATGTCAAAAAAGACAATGAGCATCGTTTTCACTTTGGATTTGCTCATTCTTCCCTTTGTTGGGCGAGGAGACGCCGTCGTGTGCCACTCGGAAGATTGCCTCTTTGTCTCGGGATCATACTCAAAGATCGACGACTCGTCACCTGTGATTACGTTATTCAAAAATTAGGGGTCACTTTCACACATGTTCAAATTTTCTTGGCACACTTCCACTCGCCGCAATTTCTGGTCGTCAGTGAGCACTTTTGGGACCATCTTCGCGCACACCTTGCGCATGTTCAAATGCTGTGTCACAATGTCATGAACCCCAGATTTTGGTAAATTTAAAATCTGGGCAATTAAACGAATACTTAGTCGATGGTCTGAGTTCAAAACTTTGCGCGCACGAGTCACATTATCATTGTTTGTCGAAGTCGAGGTTCTTCCAGCACGGTCTTCATCAGCGACCTCTTCCCGGCCCTCCAAAAAGGCCTGGTGCCACCGAAACACGCCACTTCTTGCTAAATCAACACGTGGGTAAGCCTGCTTGATCATATCAAACGTCTCTGTCGCAGATTTACCGAGTTTCACACAGAATTTAATCGCGTACCTCTGCTCTAACGAACGCTTCATTTTCGACTTGCACCACTCACAGAAACACGTCGCGCGAAAAATGCCTGTCCTGACTCTCCAAGTGCTCGGAGACAACTGACCAGCCGCTCATTCGTTAGCTAGGAACGCCCTCTACCGAATCCAGTCGGTGCGCGCACGCTCCGAAGTACAGTCATGGCGGAAGAAAATGAATCCTATTACTTTCCGGACAAACCCTGTATGCAGACCAATACATATAATCATCCAGATTCGATCTTGCTATTCAACCAACTTTCTTCTCAAAGATAAAAACTACAAACACGGACCACTCAGCCTCACAAAACATATGCAACCAATAATGCGTGTAATTTAGTTGAGTGATTCCTCCATAGATGGAAGTCCACAACGATCCTAGTGAGCAAATGTGGAATGACTGTTTGCGCCCTAAAAACTACTTACGTTTTATAGGTTGTTTACATGATACCCGTGCCGGAATCGATTCTAAACAGATTCGACACAATTCAGAAATGTGTTCGCTCAAAATAAATATTTGGGCGTAGAAAATAAACCAACGCATATTTTGCACATACATCATGATTCAAGGAACTGGTGTAACATATTTGGTTTGTTCGTACAGTAGTCGGTAACTTGGTGACCGTCAAAATCAGAATCAGAGAGATGTTACCTGTTCGTACAGTTTCTGACTGTTTGCCGACAGATTATCCGCTGTTCGTACAGAACCTTCTGACAGATCAGAGGACACCACTCAACCAGTGACAGGTATCACAGTGTGTCGAATCTATCTTGAGGACTAAAACTGCTTCGCAAGAGGCATTTAATGATCGATTACTCGTTTCTAATGGACGGCCTGGTGACACCTTCGCACCGACGGGACGTTGGCGATCTAGCTACGCCAACGAGCTTTGCTCCTCAGAGCTCTCTTCATTGGTGTCACCGCGCGATGTACGTGCCTGACTTCGGCCTTCCATCGTAAGCGTGTCGTACTTCGTACATCTAGAACTGGCCTATAAGACCGCTCCTTTGTCCCGAGGGTATCGAGATCGTGTAACAATCTACATGAGGGGATTTTCCCGGTTCTACTAACATTAGGCAGTTCAAAAATGGGAATAACACAGTTTCTTTAAGCTACTGAAAGCAGCCGCGGTGCCTTGGCATGTAGGGTTCACCTGCGCGGCTGCTTCGGTGTAAAAAAAATGAAACCCAAAAACCTTAATTTTGTATAGAAAACATGGTCACAATTCAACAGAAACAAGTTTTTGTAACATTTTCAGGTGAGCAAGTGGTAGAAGAAATTTTAATAATAATAATAATAAGTTTATTCACGAAACACAAATATAACTAAAACTAACATAGGTATACATGAAAGTCCATTTTAAATATCAGCCAGCGCCAAAGTGCTTTGTGCTCAATATTTTGTTTATTGTCCCGGTAATGGCAAAATGAAGATTATGAATATAGTATGAAAAATCCGAACAATAGAGGACAAGAACCATAATTAATACGATTTTTGTGATCACTAATCTTTTGAAAATTTTTGTTACAGTTGCAAAATGCGTAATTACGCTATTTAAGTCTTACTTCTTTGTATTTTCCTAGACTCATTTCTTTTTGTCCATGTTGAGAACTCTGTGAAACTTATAGCCTTGTAAACAGATCTTGAGAATTGTAGTTATGTTCAGCCGTTTTAGCTTTTTAGTGTATAACACCCTTTATCATTCAAAGACGTTATTAAATCCTTGTAGTATTTTCACTTATTTCTTCTAGTAAGAGTCTGCATATACAGGGTGTTTCTAATTTGGCCCTCAACATTGGGATCTTGGAAACTGTAAGGGATACGAAGTCGCTTAAATGGGGTAGTCAACAAAGTAACACTTAGAAGGTTTCGAAATTCAAAGTAGAGTAACGGAAAAACTGAATTTTCCCAAAATTGTTCTGATTTTTTCCTGACTTTATTTATATTGGGATTTTAAAATAAATTGCACATTAACAGTACCACGTTTTCCCATCTAGAAGAAGGCGTTATCAGAATTTCTATATGACGGTTCGTCTCTTGTCCTTCAGCATCAACTCTATTATTTCTTTAGGATGCTGTATTGCATTTTTGCACAGATTAATAGAGTTTTTAATTTTGATTCAAAAAATGCATAATACGTCATACATTGAAGTTGCCAAACCCTGATTACTTTAAGAAAAACAGAATTTCTTAGGTAGGCCTTGAAATTATCAGATGTTTGTTTCGATCACCAGATTTATCCCAAAACCGCTCAATTCGAGATGGGATTTCAAAATAAATTGCATATTGTCATTGTTACTTTTCTCATCTGCAAGATGGTGTAGTCAAATTTTCAATTCGACATTTCTTCTTTCGAGTTCCATCATCAATTTTTTTTTTTTTTCATACGGACATTATATTAGAATTTTGCACATTTAAATGGACTTTTTAAGCCCTAAATTCAGTGATTGTTAGTTGACCATAAATTTGTTGTTGGATGAAAATTAAAAGGAAATAAAAAGATTCAGTGAAACCTGAATACGAAATGAAAATTTTATTGATGGTAATAACAATAATAGGCATAAATAAGCAGAGATATTCACAGTCTTCCAAACTCTGTTGCTAGTCAAACAAATGAAATCTAATAATTTCAAGACCTACTTAGGAACTACTAAGGTTTTGCAATGTCAATGTATGACATACATTTTTTAAATCAGAATAAAAATTCTATTCATGTGTGTAAGAATCCAATATGGCGTCTATAAGAAAAAATTAAGTTGATGCTGGAGGACAGGAGACAAAACGTCATATTGAAATTCTAATTGTGCCGTCTTGTAGAGGAGAAAATGTGGCAGCGTTCACCTGCAATTTATTTTGAAATCCCACCAAAAATAAAGTCAGGAGAAAATTAAAACCGTTTTGGGAAATTTCGTTTTTTACGTCTCTTTCCGGAAGTACTTTCAATTTCAATGCTTTCTAAGCGACATTTTGCTGATTATCTGAAGACGCAACTTTGCCCCTATTTAAGTAACTTCGTAACCCTTAAAGTTTCCGAGATCCCAATGATGAGGGTCGAATTTAAAATACCCTGTATAGGGAAAATATTATTTTCACCCCAGCACAAACAGTCACTCCCTCTCCGTGAGAAAAAGCTTTATCACAAAATCTCCAGAATTCGTTATTTTGTTTATTTTTTCATCAGCTTTGGGTTGGACTTACATAGCTAGAATATATAAAAACTGTTTGTGCATACGCTTGGAGACTGGGCGACAAAGGAACAGGAAACAAAAACCTTACTATCCTAGTTTTATTAAAAGTCATTCACAATACTTTGTACGTTTCTCATACATAATCACTGCAGACGTTTATTCTGAATTCTTACTATGCATATATTTACTTCAACTTGTCATTCGATGTGTGGAATCATAGTTCTTAGAATTTATGTTTATACTTTATATGTGAGAATTGAATGGTAACTACTTGATATTTTTAGGTGCTGTTATTTTTTCTAGGTGTCCATGTTTTCCTCTCTAAAGGAAAATTCGGGCACATTTGGACAGTTTGGAAGAAAAATCTTAAATCATTCTGGTTTACAGCAAATGAACCCCCTACTTTTTTAAAATTGTGTACTTCATTCTAAAAAATGTTACATTCGAATAATTATTGTACTTGATTTCGAGCTCTGACAATTTACTGGAAAATTATCTGCTGACTGATTTGACAGTCACCAAACAGTCGGAGGTTTCTGTAGGAACAGCGGATTAGTTGTCGGTAATCTATCTGACCTCCCTCAGACAACTCGTAACGTTCTTATGTACACAATTAATACAGTCAGCGACGTGTCAGTGACAGCTAACTGCGCAAACTAGGTCATGACTTGTCTCTGACTGTTTGCTGATTGTCAGCAAACAGGCTGTACAAACTAACCAATTGGCAACACGGTAGTTTGCTACGACGTTCTGCATTAGCGTTGCTAGGCTACGTGGTGATAGTGTTTCGGAGCCGACGTCTATCTATTTCTAACATATGTGTTTTTACACACTTGTCGTTCTTCTCTCCCGTACAAATTGAATTCAAGCCATCAGGCAAATTTTGTTCTCCCCGTATGAACTATGCTTAGCATAAGATGTCCTTTGGTATGAAAACTTGGCGTAACACTACCCTCCATGAAGGAATGCTGCAAGCATTGCCGTGGTGGGATTTGTTGCGAACGACAGCGGTTTTAGTATGTCGCAATTTCTGGAGAATTTCATAGCAGGAAAAGCAGACAGGGCAATACTGTCGAGCTTTTCTGCCTGATCCCGTGTGTCAAAGTTTTCCTCTGTTCAAAAAAGATGTCCATTTAGGTATGTTCTCAATTACTTTGAAAACTAAAGTGAATCAACGTTATGCTACTTTGAAATTCAAATAGATTTTCGATTTTTGAAAATTTTGAGGGATTCGCCGCTTAGGTCTCGGAGTGTTAATGCTCACGGAGCTTCATACCTTTATTAAAAACGCTTTCGACTAAAAAAATGTTACCATCTGTCAGGTTATCTGGACAAAGAGATGAACAACCGTCCATCCAATTCGCGCCTAGCTCACCTGCAGGCGAAGCACTATTCTATCGAAGACAAGAGTTACGGTGATGACGGCGACGGTAGAGGTAGAAGGGACCGATACATGGGGCCCGTAACAGAGTTCAAGGAAAAGGAGACCTTCAAGCCGAACGTCAAACTGGAGTATATTGACGACGATGGTAGGGTGCTCAATTCCAAGGAGGCTTTCCGTTATTTGTCGCACAAGTTCCACGGCAAAGGCCCTGGCAAAAACAAGATCGAGAAGAGGATCAAAAAAAGTACACAGGAACAGGTGAGGGCCCTTAGTCCATAATATGTGACGGTTGATCTTTGAGGTTTTTACCCCAAATTAGTTTTAGGTAAATGGTTTTGTTTAGTTACACATCTTTGAATCAGTTTTCTGTAATTTTACATTCTTGTCTATTAAAATTACATCACTATGCATTTTGAGTATTCATAAAGTGATTTTATTAATTTCATCTTAAACATTTTTAAATTCAAACACTGTTTATTATCATTATTCAGTTTGTTAAATTCAAATACTCCCTTTGAAAAACAGATTTTATAGTTGTGCTACTATTGCAATTTTGCAGATGAAAATCTATACTGCCTCTAGTTTCATAGTTATGATAATGACTTTAATTTTGTGATGCATCAAATTGTTCATGCTTTTAATTTAAATCATCTGCTGAATCAGCCTGAAATTTCCTACATTCAAAAAGAAAACATAGCTTCACAATAGGAGAGCGCTGACGCTGCCACGGAAATATAGAAATACTCCGTGTCGGCGCTCTATTTTGAGGTTATGTCACAAATATCTATTTGCATCAAATCCTTCATGCTTTTGATTTATATCACCTGTTTTATCAGCCTGAAATTTCCTGCAATTCAAAAAGAAAACATAACTTCACAATAGGAGAGCGCTGACGCTGACACGGAACAGTTAGGAATCTAGAAATTCCCGTCTTTCTGGATGAAAAAAGAGACTTTGAAAATCAAGGAGGCCATAAAGGCGTCCTACAATTAGGAACAACTGACGCTACGGAACTAAATTCTTTACCCAAACGTAGAAAGATTCCTGTCACTTTTGTAGACAATAAAATGTTTTGTGAAAGTATCTTCCACTTCTACTTCCCACGCAATTGGCCAGAAGTATTGTAATCGCGAAAAAAATTGAAAAGGAGATGTTTTTTGGATGTGACATGACATGTACATCACGAAAAAACATGTCACTCATTTCCTTCTGACTGACTAAGGTCGGGAAGGTTGGAAAGCACTGCTCGGATATTGATGAAATTTTGTTTTGATCCAAAGCTACTATGTCAACGGCGAAAAAGCTGTTTAGTTTTTGAAAATCGTTCCAGTGGGGACGGATCTACGAACAAAAAATTAAAACAAAAATTTCTCAAACTTCGTTTAGTCACGTTTCAGAGCCTCCTGCTCATTTTTGGGAATAGTTTCGAGCGGTAAAAATGGTGGGTGGGTGAGGGTATATCTCATTTTTTTTTGCGTTCGTAAGTGGAAAGCTATAAGTAGATAGCGCTAGTTAGGTTTTACGTTATTTCTAAGGTTATAAAAAAACAAAAATGTCAATTGCTAATCAGATGTCCACGTTAGCAGACGTCAAAACATGATGAAGTGAAAAATATATTACCTATCCATCTAATCTGTCATTTTGACTGTTTGGCCTCCACACAAGCGCCTCTTATATGAATCAAAATTGGACATTGCAGCCCTTCGACGTAACTATTTCACATATTTTGTACATAGAATTCCCTTATCATTTGCCGTTAAGACGTATAATGATATATAATTTTCGATACCCACGTCGAGCGCAACAATAAACGCGTCGCGAGCTGACTAATGCCGTTGACAAGGCTTACCCATCGCAACAGTGATCATAACGTTCTCAAATGGATACTAATAATTATATGGGTCAACTTGAATGACTTGATACATTTAATGGCAACTATGTTCAATTTTCGTCCTGCTAGGCTGGGCTATAATAGTGTGGTTGGAGATCAGGTGTCACAGGCATTTTCACGATATTGCATCAAATTTTGACGTATATTGACGTGAACAGCAATTAACATCCTTGTCTATGACCCTCAACCTAACTAGCGCCATCTATTTCTAGCTTTTCGGATTACTCCTCATTCGTTTGTAATGCATGTTTATAGTAAACTTTTTTCTACTTTTACCAACCATAATACTTTATATGAATTGATGACAGTGTTGCATGGGAAGTGCGGTCAACTTAGTTGACACTATTTGTTCAGCAAGTTGATGGTTATAGAGAGTGAAAGAAGAAAGGTTGTGTCCCTTGTCCCTAAAGAACCATCAAAGAACAAAATGCAAGAGAGGTTTTTTGTAAAAAATCTTATTCTCTACAAAATACTGTATTTTTTATACATTTGACTGTTTAACTGTTAACTAGAAATGCCATTACATGTTACTTCGACGTTGAATGTCTGGTAAAGTATGAACGGTACGATAAAATGTTACGGGAACAAACAGTAAAGCATAACATAAACATAAAGTTATTATTTACTGGTTCCATTTCTTTTTACATAAGGTCGTTATCGTGAACGCTAATGTTCCTGCTCAGTAGCCGCGTCAGTTTGAACTTATCACTACAAAGCAGTATCCTAACGATACCAACAAAACGTGACTCAGTACTTACTGCCGAACTTTGTATTCCAAATCGTTTTATTTTCTGGCATATTAGTATTTTACAAAGACAACCCATATCTGTAATAAGGCTTAAATACCAACAATTTCTATTTGCCTTTTGTAAAGTCGACTTTCCACGTAAGCCTCATTCTAAATTGACTCACTGTACAAATCTCTAGTAGTGAACAAGTCCGTTTCAAAATAAACTATTCGTGAGTAAGCTGCGTACGTTTCTGTAGTGCTATGTTAGGATATAACTGAAATATATGATTGTAGTACCAAAGAATAACCTCAAATTTGGCTTTTCTTATTTCTAGCTGATGAAAAAGATGAGTTCCACAGATACTCCCTTGGGCACCCTGAATATGCTCCAGCAGAAGCAAAAGGAAACACAATCACCATATGTACTACTTTCTGGCAACAAACAGGCCCAGTCTACTGCACTATCCAAGACTAGAAGATGAATTATAATTATATTTTGTGTTTCAAGGTTGTAACTTATCTGTCATCCGCATTGTAGGATATTTAGTTGGTTTGACAATTGAGTTTTATAACCAAATTATTTGATGTTCATTGTTGCCTTCCTAAAACACCTGCCAATACCTTCTACATTTCTGAGGTTGCGAGTTCGTGGCCTCCCCCCATTCGTTTGAATTGAATTGCTACCAGGATAACAGATGCCAGAAGGTATCAAGCTCGTCATGTACCGTCTTCTTTGATAATACCTCCTGTTTGTGTTTTTTCTGCGATCCTGATGCAAAATTTTATGTGGATAAAAATCCCACATCTGAATGAACTATCTTGGCAATTTCGTCGAATCGTGTAGATTGAGATGCTACCAGGACCACACGCGTGGATTTATCAAGTTTATCTCGTACTGGTGCTGTTGAAATTGTTCTGTGATAACACCTCTCATTACTACAATACTGTTATAAAATTTTAATAGCTCAGGATCGCATATTTGAAATAATCTTTACAAAATTGTCCATTCCTGTGTAGATTAGGGTTTGATTATTGAAGATGCCTCCATTGTGTAAGAATGTTTCAGTACGGCACGGGTATCATGTAAAAAACCTACAAAACGTCAAAAAAAGCTATAAGATGTCAACTAGCAGACTAGGTAGTTTTTAGGGCGCAAACAGTCATTCCACGTTTGCTCAATAGGATCGTTGTGAAAGTCCATCTATGGAGAAATGACTCAACTAAACTACACGCATTATTGGTTGCATAGTTTTGTGAGGCCAAATGGTCCTTATCTGTAGTTTTTATCTCTGAGAAGAAAGTTGGTTGAATAGCAAGATCGCATCTGGATGATTATGTGTATTGGCCCGACGGATTATTTTTATGTTGTGCTTCCTGAAGAGAGGTTATCTTCAAAGTTAGAAATAACGAAAAACTGAGGAGAATTACGGGAAATCATCAACACGCCCGCGTTGTGTGTAATTACTGTTAGCATCTATATGGCTTGTAATTCGACAGTGTACAGTGAATAAAATTATTTATCTCTCTCATTTTTGAAATTCAGCAAATTTGTATATGTAATTTCCAGAATAGATAAGAAAAAGTGGATACGCCACTAATTTCTAGCTTTGACTCTCAATTAAGAGTATTTGAGACAAGAACCCAATGTAATTATCAACACATACTACTTACAGCTTAGACCTCCAGTAATGCCATCTCAGAAGCAGATTTTACATCACATCAGAGCGAAAGATTGATAACAAGCCTCATGGCAACACGTACAACTAAGTGCTAAGTTAATATCTTGTAGAAAAACCATAATGTCAACAAAAATCGGCATAATGTCTTTTCAAGATACGTGATACCCGTGCGTCGGCGTCGCTGAAAATCACCTTATACGACTGGTGCGACTCCAACATTTTGGTTCAGGAATTAAAAAATTTGGAGTCGGGTACAGATAAGGTCTATCTTATGTATCTATACAAGATATCTGAAACAGGTGGCTTTTAGACTATTTGACAAGTCCACAGGTTAAGGCAGGGTGGTAAAAGTCTGGAGTCAAAATCGATCCCAGAGTAATAGTGCCGATGAAGGATGAAAATTCTCTTCCACTTCAGTTGGCCGTTGGGGGTCATAGAGGTACATCCGGGAAAAAGCGGTTATATTCGTAATGTAATCATAAACAAAGGTTTGTGTAAAAAACAAGTAGTAAAGGTATTGTCGTTGCGAACATAGTAATTGTAGCAGCCGAAACATGAGAAGTAGCGTAAGAAGGGGTAATTTCAGTTATTGTTTAGTTAATTTTTCGGCGTATGCGCTGAAAATAAGTTTTCGGGGAGGAGGATGTATTTTAGCCATACCTTTCAGCATTTGCGATGTTAGTTGTCTGAAGATATTTTCGAATTGAAATGGACGTGATTTGTCTATGTAACTACGACCAACCTCACAGTGCTGTTTCGTGCTCATTAGCAACTCACCAGTGCGGTGTAGACCTCTAGTAGTCCTGGAGACAGATTCTCGGAAAACAAGTCGATAGGGTCGTTTGAAAAACAAAATAATGTGCGGTTGGTGTCGACGAAAGTTCTAAGAAACCATTGGTAGGTGGAGATCGTCAGATTTTTCGCCTACAATATTTTCGGATTACCGAACTACGGTTCATTTTTTTATTAGGCCGTATCGTCAGTCGTTCCTACAATGGTAGGACGCATTTCTGGCTTTCTTGATTTTCATAGTTGTCTACGGTTCCGTATCAGAGCTTAATTTTAAAGTTATGTTACAAATATCAATTTGCATCAAATTGTTCATGCTTTTCAAAGGATGGCGCTTACGCTCACACGGAAAGGTAGAAATCTAGAAATACCCTAGCCTTTCTCAGGAAAAGAAAAGACTGAAAATCAAGGAGGCCATAAAGGCGTCCTATAATTGTAGGAACGACTGACGATACGGCCCGAAGACAGTGAGTAAGAAATCGACCACGGAATATGGGAGACGTAAATGGGTGATTTCATCAACTCTGTAATATCGGCGGCCATAAGTAGCAATATCGAGTTTTTGGATTTCATCGCCTAAAGGTCGGCTCCAGTTTAAGTAAATATATTCCATCGTTTTTCACATTTTCCCCTCTTATTCCGTCTACACAACACGCAACGGAAAATGAACCAGCTACCAAAAACCCAACTAGTTAGTCGATAAATTAAGTCTCACATTAATTGTTTAAGCCTGATATCTTGTTCCAAAGGCAATTTGATTTTTTAAATCATGAAGTCAAATTTGCAAGTGCATTTTCAATGCAAAAGTTCATAACCAGTCTTTTGATTGGTGTATGTATAGAGGATTTGAGGCAACTGAAATCGTAAGAAAAATAAAACAGTTTATTTTTTAATATTTTATTTAATAATTGTACGGATTCGTACCAACATCAATTTAATTAATGTTATTTATGTACAGGCATGTTATTTAAAATAGTTTTATGCGAATAATAAACTCGACGTTTCATCCAAAAATTTAGAAAAATGTGTAATTTATTTCATCATCTAAAAATCTTTTAATACTGATTATGATAATGTTCCTTTGATTTTTTCTAATTTTAGCAATGATTTTGTTACGAAATTTTGTACATTTTGATAATAAATAAATCACAATAAAGTCAAAGGTCAGCACCTTTGTCGTTTTTAACAAAAAATAAGCACAATTCGGGCTGTTTGGGAACAAAATAGTACACAACTTAGTCACTGGTTTGTAATACGTAGTACGAAATTTACAAATTCATATAATATAAATAGTACTTATGTACACATATACATATACAGCGTCATTTTATTTATCGGTTGCCAATAATAAAGCATGACGCAAACACAAATTGTAAAAACTTTCAAAGTCTATTCTCATTCAATCACCTATATAGTTATTAACCTAACAACCCAAAAGGTGTTCTTAACTATAGCATATTAAAAAAATAATAAAGAAAAACATTCTAGATAAACCAGGAGATCACCTCATCTTAAATGATTTTGTACTTTCACAAAAAGCTGATACAACCTTGATTTAGCACTCGTAATAAGAGTATTTATAAACGCTCTGTTATTTACAAAATATATATATATGAGATTTCTATGAGCAAATATTTTAAATCAAGGTTGCGATCAAATATAGAAAATAAATCGACGTTCTCTAAATTTCTGCTTAGCAATATTTATATATAATTATATGAAGATTTTATATACAAATTGTACACATTTCCGATGCCAATATCTACAAAAAATTCACAAGAACTTAACAATAGGAAAAAATTCAACAGCAAATTTATACAATCCGCCTCCCAAGAATCAGGTAAAATATAAAATAACTTATTCGGATCAATTGTACAGTAAAAAATAAATCTCCAAAAATAAAACAACGTATGTACACTTTTTCTTATTACAATTAATACTTTTTTTCTTCTGAAAACCTTTATGAATATAATTTGAGAAATTGCACTCTCCTAGAATTACACTTTAAAGCTCTGGTGGCTTACGGATCATCACTAAATGTCGTCCCCAAATCCGGAGGAGGAGACGGATTGCGCCCCTCGTATCGCGCATCATCATCTGGAATACAAAAAAAAAATTGATTACATTAGAATATTTAGTTGCCCGATACAATACTGAAAAACTGAAATTAATGTATTAACAGAAAATTCGAATTATAAACGACTTTCACATGTTTTAATGGAAGAAAAGTATGTTATATCAAATTTAGTATGAAAAATATATTGTGAGTGATTGGCTAAAAAATTGCTGGTGAAACAATGAAAATATGAAGCCTATTGAATACGCCAACGTTGGGTGTTGTTTTTTCTTGCGTCACTACTGGGTTGACAGGTATAAACAGGTATGTTGATACTAGTTATTTTCCCCGAATTCTTTAATAAATCTTATACCAACATAAGCACATTTTCATTGCAAACATAACGATATAGGGTTGTTTCCAAAAAAAACTGGCTGGTATGATGGTTGGCGGGTTTTTAAAGTAAAATTTTGATAATAATGGAAACATACGACAAAGAAGTCTGAGCTAACCATGCAATAATGACCAATATTTTGGACCAACTGGCAGTAATCTTGAGAAAACAGCGATGAATATATAATAAATAAGGCGACTCTCACCATCGGGGTCTCGGAAACGGTAAGAGAAACAAACCTAGTAGGTTAAATGGGGACAAACTTACGAATTTAACTAAAAAAATGGCACTTAGAAAGTTTCGCAGACGAAAAAAAACAGAATTTTCGCAAAACCGTTTTTTTCTGCTTTTATATGAGATGGGTTCTCAAAATAAAAAGTACATTAACATTGTCACTTTTTCTTCTCTACAAGGTGTCCTAATTAGAATTCCATTTTTTCTTAATATTATTATTTTGTTTATTGTCCAACTGCTCAATAAACCATTTAAAACAACTTTGAAACTATGTATGGATCATAATATTGTGCAGTCCATTTTGAACAAAAATAAGGTATAGCCTTGGGAAACTGCCCATCTCTATACTAAGCTGAGCTATTCATGAATCATGAAAATAATGCTAAAACATCCGAGAATCTCACCAGGATAACAGTTTAGATATGTAGGCGATATTTTTGCTGTTGTTGATAAAATATATGGACCCAAAAAACTAAACAATCAATTTTAGTTAGTTAAATTCACATACGAAATTGAAAAAGACAGCCAATAGGGAATATGCAGTGATTCAAATATCGGTTATTTATTTTTATTCACAATCTATATTTCTATAGAAAGCCACTTTCTACATTATTTTATGCTTATGCTTGCGCTATAAAATTACGAGTGATAATAAAAAACCGGAAAAATGAGGGATAAATTTCAAATATCCACACGCAACGCTATTGGCGTAACGTCACGATATCAACAAGTGAGCAGACAATCCTTTATCGTTGTCATTGATAGTTAACCTATCAGTTTGATCGGTTCCAAAGAGTACTGGTTGCACGGAATCCGCCACTGAGCTATCTAACTACAATGGGTTACGCCCCTTTTTCAACAAGATGGGATTGGGGGAGATTGTAGAAAGTACATATCGGCGGTCTCCGCACGTACCAGCGTAACTAGCATTTTACAAATTTTACAGGAGAGACGAAAAACGAAAATCAGCAACAAATAAGATTGAATATGACATACTGATTTTTTACTCAGCACGTTAATGTTTTTTTGTTAGACGAAAATACTGTAGAACTTTGTTTTGCCATGGTCTAACTTGCAAAAAAATAGGTTTTTTAAGAAGAAAAATATTTTGTACAGTTACGCCACTTCCTGACGACTCTTGTTTCTTTTATTGTATAATTCCGCCAACATTTTAAAACTGAAAGTGGGTATAGAAAATATTTTTCCAAAAATAATATTTGTTTTATTCACTATATATTATAAATACAAACAAAATGTGAATTCTGGAGTAAGCTTAACCTAAAAAACAAATTGCATTGTAAAAATAATGACAGTTTTTAAATTATTTTTGAACGTTATTTTTCATGGGGCAGAGAATAATAAAATTGTTGCATTTCAGAGATACGTATAACTAGAGTTTATCCTTTGTAAGATCCTCATATTTTTTTTTGATATGTTAGTAAGTCCTTCATTCAAAGGATTTAATGGCAGGTTACTTAGCCCGCCCTTAATGCGATGTTTCAATACTAATCTATCGTAATGATGCTCTTGATGGCTGTATTTAAAGAAGAGTGTCATAGGTTCATCCCGTTTTACCATTACCTCCATAACGTCTGGCCATCTTATTTTATTTCCTAGCTCACTCTCTTTTACTGTTAACATGCGTAGTTCCTTGGAGAAAGATTTAAAATAGAAAAAGTCACTGAAATTCATTGGAATGACTGTATACGGTTACTTGGATCTAGCAAAACGGATTACAGGATGTAGTTTAGAGGGAATAAAGAGGTCAACGGCATGCGAGATAGCATGACCGATCGCACTGTGGGCTGAATCTCCCTCATTCTGCCCATGGTTAGTTTCAAAAAAGTTAAGGCATATTTCTTCAAGGGATGGTAACTTGCCTAATCCGTACAGTAACATGGATGATACAATAAAATTTTTATTCTGACCGTAGCATGCATCGCAATACAAGTGAATAGTTTGAATTCCTTTGTCACTATACTCACTAATCGCTTTGAATATACACGTTGCGATTTCGGACGAACCACGTTTGCCACTGGTTTCATTCCAAGTGAAGCAAAAACATTCTTTTGTTGTAGTAAAATTGAAGGTGGATAATCTGGACTAGCGTTTTCTTTTGACTTGGGCAAATAAATAACCTGCTGAAGATCGAAAACAGCGCATAAGAAGTTTGAGTTATTTTGAGCTTCTGTTTTACTTTGATCTTTCTTTTCTCTGACTAATGTTTTTTCCAAAATATGTTTTTCATATTTATTCTTTAAAGACTCTTTCTTTATTTCGTATCCGTTTCTATAGGTTAAACAAAGGGAACATTGATCCTTTTTAGGATGCAGAAACGACAGATTTTTTGATTTAAAAACTTTCCTGTAAGTAGAGAAGCTTGGTAATTTATCGCATCCATTACCAACTTCCTCTCGAAACATGTACATTTTTCGTAGTCAAGCTGGATGGAGGCACAGCATGTTGGTACTTGCCCTACAATAATGTGATTCAACTTGTGGATATCTGGCTATGTGTGTTTAGGTCGATATTCACAACAATATAACAATGTATATAGGTTATATTTACACCACGTGTGCGTGCTGTGATTTGCCGGTCAAATCAAACAAACTACCATTCTAGCGTGGCCTCCGAGATGCGCGAAATTATGAGTGAATGAGTCAGTGTGCAACACAGACTGAGAACAGAAAGTCGACCTGCAGTTTAAACGTAGAGGCGTAAGTCTATTTAAGCCAGTACGTGCGGTTGATTTATCGGTCAAATAAAGCAAATCAGTTTTAATGTAGAGGCGTAAATCTATTTAAGCCGGTACGTGAAAAACGTTTTTGGAATTTTGTCACTTACGTTGTTGTTCAAAACTTGTATTTTAAAGCAGCGCGCTAAGATACACTTACGCCACTTCGTGAGGTGAAAGAGCACAAAAATATATGCAGAATGCCGCCGTTAACTCGATTTTAGATTTTTTGTCATTTACGCCTGTACGTGCGGAGACCGACGATATGGCTGACTTAAAATATGATAGAAGAGATAAATCTAGTCCGTAATGTCAGAAACCTTAAGAAACACATTGAAATGCAAGACGTTAGGAAAGTCATGAACAAGAACACTTTTCCTAACCGCCTGCTGTATTCTCTAGTGACTTAATCATCACGTTTACAAAAATGAGCGATCCAAGTTGCACATACCTCTTACATTTTCTGGCCTACAAAAATACAGAATTGCAACATTGTATTAGCGCTTAAGCTGGTTCACAAAGCATCTAGGTAGTGACGAAATAATATGGACTACAGAAGAGAAGCGTCACGCTGACGTTAAAACAGTTTTTGGCAAGGTAAAAATGATATTGTATCCAAAACCCTACATGCAGTGTTGTCTGTGTTATAGCAGGTAGTGAGGAAGAATGTAAATATCCAGGTAATGAAGGTCGCCTGAAGTTAGTTGACCGCAGAACATTAACATTATCAGAAGTCTTTCACATGTCGCAAAACAAGCAGGAAATGGGGTGCTGATATTTTGATGCTCCATTAATATTGTATTGTAAGTACTGTTATTTCAACATATTTGGAATTTGAAATATCGTCGCTTAAGTTCTAACACCACGTAACTTTAAAAATAAGATATGCACACAAAAGGCTACCGTGATTGCCGAAAAGTCTTCACTATTTCAAGCATATGAGGTTTCATTTACGGCCAAACATGGAAGATATAAGCGTGTCATTCGATAGCGAATCCAAAGACCCACAGTTCTTTTTGCTCTCGTATAAAGTTGTTAGTTTTGAGTTACACTGTCTTAGAACTCAAGCGACGCGAGATGTTCTTTTTATTGAACAGCTGTGGTTTTGGTGCAATTATCGGAGTATATCAATTCAACATGTTTGTATGATGCATGAGTTAGCAGTACGAAAAAGAAGACAATACGACACAAATTTGATATTTAGTTTCACATCCTACGTCAATGAGCAATGGCAAAATTGCGTTTCATGATATACCCAAAAAGTATGGATTCGCTGTTCCAACAGCGGTTGTAGATTGTTCAAGTATGTTGCGAGAAAATAGACGTGACATGTAATTCCGACGGGTAGCAGCACTACGAACTTTTGGTGATACGGCTACAGTCGGCCGCGCATAAGTATGTATTAGCTATTATTTATGTTATGACGTTAGTTTTAATCTTCCCCTGAAGATGCTAAGTGGAATACGTATAGGGTATTTTAATAAACCGAATTGACGACTGGTAAAACTCTGGTGTAGAGATATTTGCTACGCCAAAGAATTCAGCAACACATACTAGCAGAGTTAAGTGAATATTGCTGAAACTGCACACAAAACTCCTTCATACGTGCCAAATTGTTCCCCAATACAAAATGAAAAAAAAAATCCTCAATGAATTCAACTCAATACTCACCAATGGTTGTCGTGTATGTAGTAGTAAAGCTGTCATTCGGATATACGGGATTGTTGAACGGTGGCACGTAACTTATACTCTCAGTTTCTTCAACACTAGGCTCCTTCCCAGGCCTGCCATCTTCTTCATCTGGCGTATAAAATAAGTTTGACGCTTCTCCATCTGCAAGCAGGGACATTATTTTAGTATCATTGCACAAACATCAAAACTGAAGGAGACTAGCATTCGTGCAGAACATGTCACTTTCACTGTAGGATGTTCATACAGCCTGTTTGCTGACAATCAGCAAACTAATAGTCGGCGACAAGTCATGACCTAGTTTGCGCAGTTAGCTGTCACTGACACGTCGCTGTCTGTATTAATTGCGTACATAAGAACGTTACGAGTTGGCTGAGGGAGGTCAGACCGATTACCGACAACTAATCCGCTGTTCGTACAGAAACTTCTGACTGTTTGGTGACTGTCAAATCAGTCAGCAGATAATTTTCCAGTAAATTGTCAGAGCTCGAAATCAAGTACAACAATTATTCGAATGTAATTTTTTTTGAATGAAGTAGACAATTTTGAAAAAGTTCGTGGTTCATTTGCTGTAAACCAGAATGATCTAGGATTTTTCGTCCAAATATGCCCGAATTTTCCTTTATATACATGGACACCTTCTAGAAAAAATAACAGCACCCAAAAATCGAATGACAAGTTGAAGAAGTAAATACATAGTAAGAATTCTGAATAAACGTCTGCATTGATTATGCATGAGAAATGTACAAAGTATTGTGAATGACTTTTAATAAAACTCGGATAGTAGGGTTTTTGTTCGCTGTACCTTCGTCGTCCAGCCTCGAAGTGTATGTATAAACAGTATTTATATTTTCTAGCTATGTAAGTCCAACCCAAAGCTGATGAAAAAATAAACAAAATAACGAATTCTGGAGAATTTGTGATACAGCTTTGTCTCACGGGTGCCCACGGAGAGGGAGTGACTGTTTGTGCTGGGCTGAAAATAATATTTTCTCTATACAGGGTATTTTAAATTCGACCCTCACCATTGAGATCTCGGAAACTTCAAGGGTACGAAGTCACTTAAATAGGGGCAAAGTTGCGTATTCAGATAATCAGCAAAATGTGGCTTAGAAAGTTTTGAAATTGAAAGTACTTCCGGAAAGAGACGTAAAAAAAAGAATTTCCCAAAATGGTTTTAATTTTTTCTACTGACTTTATCTGAGGTGGGATTTCAAAATAAATTTCACATGAACTCTGCCATATTTTCTCCTCTACAAGACGGCTCAATTAGAATTTCAATATGACGTTTCGTCTCTTGTCCTCCAGCATCAACTTATTTTTTTCTTACAGACGCCATATTGGATTCTTACACACATGAATAGAACTTTAATTTTGATTTAAAAAATGTATGTCATACATTGATATTGCAAAACCTTAGTTATTCCAGAAGTTCCTAGGTAGGCCTTGAAATTATTAGATTTCTTTTGTTTGCATAGCAACAGAGTTTGAAAGGCTGTGAATACCTCTGCTTATTTATGGTTATTATTGTTATTACCATCAATAAAATTTTCATTTCGTATTCAGGTTTCACTAAATCTTTTTATTTAATTTTAATTTTCATCCAACAACAAATTTATGGTCAACTAACAATCACTGAATTTATGGCTTAAAAAATCCATTTAAATGTAAGAAATTCCAATATAGTGTCCGTATGAGAAAACGAATTTGATGATGGAAGTCGAAAGAAGAAATGTCGAATTGAAAATTTGACTACGCCATCTTGCAGACGAGAATAAGTAACAATGACAATATGTAATTTATTTTGAAATCCCATCTCCCATAGAGTTGGGAAAAATAGAGCGGTTTTGGAATAAATCTGGAGATCGAAACGAACATCTGATAATTTCAAGGTCTACATAAGAAATTAGGTTTTTCTTAAAGTAATCAAGGTTTGACAACGTGAATGTATGACGTATTATGCATATTTTGAATCAAAATTAAAAACTCTATTCATCTGTGCATTATAGCGTCCTTAAGAAATAATAAAGTTGATGCTGGAGGACAAGAGACGAACCGTCATATAGAAATTCTGATCATGCTTTCTTGTAGAGGAGAAAACGTGGCACTGTTAATGTGCAATTTATTTTAAAATCCCAATATAAATAAAGTCAGGAAAAAATCAGAACAATTTTGGGAAAATTGAGGTTTTCCGTTACTCTACGGAAGTACATTGAATTTCGAAACCTTCTAAGTGACACTTTGTTGACTAGCCCATTTAAGCGACTTCGTATCCCTTACAGTTTCAAAGATCCCAATGGTGAAGGCCAAATTAGAAACACCCTGTATATGCAGACTCGACTAAAACGGCTGAACATAACTTTAATTCTCAAGATCTGTTTACATAGCTATAAGTTCTTAACATGGACAAAAAGAACTGAGACTACGAAAATACATAGATGACTTAAATACTGCATTTTGCAACTGTAACAATAATTTTCAAAAGATTAGTGATCACAAAAATCGTATTAATTATGGTTCTTGAAAGTTATGTCCTCTATTGTTCGGATTTTTCATACTGTATTCATAATCTTCATTTTGCCATTACCGGTACAATAAACAAAATATTGAGCACAAAACACTTTGGCGCTGGTTGATATTTAAAATGGAATTTCATTAAAATTTCTTCTGCCACTTGCTCACCTAAAAATGTTACAAAAACTTGTTTCTGTAGAATTGTGGTTTTCTCTACAAAATTAAGGTTTTTGGGTTTCATTTTTTTACACCGAAGCAGCCGCAGAGGTGAACCCTACATGCCAAGGCATCGCGGCTGCTTTCAGGAGCTTAATGAAACTTTGTTATTCCCATTTTTGAACTGCCTGAACTTAGTACGTCCCGTCGGCGTAGCTAGATCGCCAACGTCCCGTCGGTGCGAACGTGTCACCAGACTGTCCATAAGAAAAGAGTAATCGATCATTAAATGCCTCTTGCGAAGCAGTTTTACTCCTCAAGATAGTTTCGACACACACTGTGATACCTGTCACTGTCATTGGTTGACTGGTGTCCTCTGATCTGTCAGAAGGTTATGTACGAACAGCGGATTAACAGTCGGCAAACAGTCAGAACCTGTACGATTTTGACAGTCACCGATAGGTTACCGACTACTGTACGAACAAACCATATATCGTTCATCGCTTTCATGTATTCGGTAAAGTTAGGATCCAGTTTACCTTAAGAGCCCCATATATGTTTCAACAGAAATGACAAGTGTCAATGAAAGTATGTGACAAAATTACGATTTGCAGTGTTGTTTATGCATTATCTCGGATGTTTGAAAAGTCGAAACGAGACGCTATCACTGCTGAAACATTTACAGTAGCTTCTAGGCGGATACCAATATTTTCAATTTTGACCAGAAAACGTCCAAATACAGCATAAGGTTGGCATCTTCTTGGAGAATATGTTAACTAATGTCTATACTTCATACAGTAAGATCTCAGGGCTGCCAGACATTACATAGTTTATTAAAGACAAAACTTGAGGCATTCAGTAGTATAGTAAAGTAACTGAACTCTACTTTCTTTCTCATGCTTGATTTTTATATATGTTATTTAGGGTGCATTTCACCACGAAATCAACAACCCGTTATTTTCCACCTATCGGGTATCAGTCCGTCAAATATAGCGAATGAGCTTCAAGATCCATTCAAAAAATTTCAGCAACCAATAGCTATGAAATATTGAAAACAAAACATTGTCAAAGTGTGAGATGACAGCTTGTCATTGGAACAACATCACCAGCTTATTGAATAAAATTCTTTTTTTTACTATTGTTGATTGTTTATTCATGTTTATATTTTTTCAATTGCTATGCGATTTTACCGATTTAACATCACCTACTTGATGACAAAAATTTCATAGATATTTGCTCGTTTCCAAACATTCATTCATTTACTTGCCGATCATCAGTACCATTATGACCCCTGATAATATTCGCACAAAACCATTCAGGATTTTTGTTATCCATAATCCATAAAGTTGAATATTTTCCGTTGTTCATGAAGTGAACAAACATCGACACTATATTTACAAGCGATTAAGAAATACCCAAATATATGTCGTAAAGCTACTAGCAAACCTAAAACCTGCAAAAAACTAGAATTTGCAATAATTTTATTTTTTCACCGAGTACACATTGTAGGTTAGATTAGACATTTGAATAACAGATGATTATCTTCTGATATTTCAAAACTCACCATTCGACAAGTGACACATAATTCTGTTGGATGCGTTAACGCTTCGTCCCAGTGGAGCAAACTCTGCCAACTGTTGACATATACTATGCTTTATAAGACTATACGTGGAATTTTTCCCAAAATCGTTGCACAGCACTTCAAAAAATGCAAATGAAAATTTAAAATTATTTCCCTGACGCCCCAAATGGCTCCGTCGCCGTCGGTACCCCAGGTTATACATCTTGACAGTAGAGATGTTCGATACGATCCGATATTTAGAAGTAATGATACTTTTGCTTCCGATACCCGATATTTAGGATCAATATTTTTATATCCGATACTTGGGTGTATCGATACATTTCACTATCGTCATCTTTTGATCTGGACTGTCAGAAAGAGTGACTAACTTCAGATTACTTTTCTTGTTTGTTTCCTTCCGTTGGTGCTACTCACTTCACGAGCTCTCATAATTTATTTTGGATTCCAGGGTTGCCACATTAGGGGGTTTTTCCCAAAAATCAGGGAATTTTCATTTCAATGGTGAATATTTTTGGGGATATTTTTTCTGGGGAAACATTTTACTGGGAAGGTATTATTAAATAAAATTTTAACAATAACATTTCATAATGTACTTGTTATTTATATATTTGTCTTTCGATTCGAAACAAATACTTCTACATTTTGTGGTATTTAGCGACATAACAAAAATATGTCGTTCAAAAAAATATTTGGAGATCGAAGAATATCTAATAAATCTTAAGCCTATGGTAACAAAAAATTAATGGTATTTTTTGAGAAGTTTTTTGAAAAGTCCTGAATTTAGGGGATTTTTACATTTCGACTGGGGTAACAGCTAAACGACCGAGCAACCCAGTTGTATTCGGTTTCGGGGAATTACACACACACATGACACAGTGTTTTTAGTATTGGTTGACTATAGTTTAAAACAAAACGTTATTGTGATAGTGATGTCTCCTGTAAGAAGTGATTTGTGGAGCTATTTTGTAAAATCGAGTTTAGTGAGAGATGTAAGTTACGCAATTGTGAGGTTTTTACCTATTCTTATTAGTGAACGTTTTTGACAATCCAGGCATATACAGCTGAAAAAAGTAAACATTATTTTGAGGATTGTAGAAAAACAACCTCGATTTTCGGTAGTGTATGTTCCGTATCAAAAAAGATATCGATACTTGTGGTATCGATAATTTTATTCCGATATTTTTGAGTATCGATACTTCCTAAAACGATAAGAATCGATACGTGGTATCGATACTTTTCGTGGATCCGAACATCCTTTCTTGACAGCTTGCCGTTCGTGTCAACTGGGTTGCGTTGTACATACGGTGTTGACTTTATTATTTCGGCGTCGCTCTAATGGAATAGAAGCGAGTGTGTCGCGGCTTCTTCTTTCGATCTCCTACGCCAACGCCTTTGCGCAACCTCCTTCGTCGTCGACCTCTCTTTGCGAACAACAACGGTGGGCGCCTGGACGGTCGCTGGCGAGGGTGAAAAGGAAGTATAATTTATTAACTGATTTTTTAGACTCAAATCGACAACAAAAATACTCATAATCTAGAGTTTCGATTTCTGGTATATTTTCAAAGTATTTGAGTATTGTTCCTTGGCTAGACTAATGTTGTTTTTTGAATGACAACATTATATTATCGCAAAATCGGCACGGTTTTATACAAGAATATGATCTTCTACAACATTACTTTTTTTTCATACAATGGTCAAAAGATTGAGGCGAGCAAGTGTCCTGTTGGGATCTTCTGTGACCTTCGACTGTGTCGATCTATTGTTGATGAAAGTTTGTGGAAGACGTGTAACATTAGATAAAACTAATATTGACATAGGAGTACCACGCGGTTCTGTTCTGGGACCAGTGCTGTTCTGTTCTCAGTATACATCAACAATCTTGAGCATTCGTTCCCCGCAGGCCATTTTACATTGTACACAGATGATGCTTCAATTATTGCATCAGGTAAAAATGATACAAACTTACATGGCACATACATGGTGTTTGTTCAGAGTTTCATTTGATTCCTCACCTTCTGTCTCCTGATTTTCCGCCGATTCAGTTGGCGTCTCCTCGTTCTGATGCTTTCCATGAACACCCTCTTCACTGCCACGTTCGTCGACCTCCATCAACTCTTCCGGAGGTGGCGGAGGCGGGGGCGGCGTTAACTCCTTCGGGGGCGGCGGAGGTGCAATGAGCTCCGGAACGGATGGCGTCGGGAGCACGGCAATTTGAGATGGAAGGGTGGCGGTCGCCGCCGTTGCGGTGACGGCGATGCCCTCTTTGCCAAGCGCCAACACTTCACGTACAATGTCGCTGCCCGGTATAGGAAACGTAGGGTTGGGTAGCGCAATAGGCTTCGTTTTTGGTTCCAGTTCCAGGTTTAGAATTGTCTCGACATTCAGGGCTACAAGAGAAACGATTGTTCTGAATGAAGTCTTTTACATCATTTGTTCCACAACTTTATGTGGAGTATAAAAATAGAATAACACCCAGTGACTGAAGTAGGGATTGACGAATACTAATATGTACCGGGTGCGCCATCTTTTATGTCGGTATTGAAACATCGAATGACTGATATTTACCAACCGAGTGATTTGGTTATACGTTTCTGAAACGTCAATTTACTACAATTTTAGTCATGAATCGCTTTACACCGAAACAACGCACCGAAATAGTCACAATGTACATTGAAAATCGTCGTTCAGTTGTGTTAACGCAACGTGCATATAGTCGAAAATGTCGTGGCAAACAGGCACCGTCTGACAACACTATCCGTCGTTTGGTTTCGAATTTTCTTGAGTACGGGACAGTGGGAGATCGACAACATACCGTTCATGAACGACCAAGACGTTCCAATGAATTTGTTGAAGCGGTCAGAGACAGCGTTGCCCAGAAGCCAAAAGTGTCGTATCGTCACCGCGGTCAGCATTGTGGCATCAGTGGAACCACGTTGCGGCGCATTTTGAAGGATGATTTGCATTTGTTTCCTCATTATAAGGAGCAGTTAACACAAAAAAATATTGCCAACTCACCGTCCACGTCGCTTGTAGTACGCCCAAACAGTCGCTCGCATGGTTAATAAGCAACCTGCCGCATTTGGGGGACGGAAACTCCACATGAAATCCACGAAATGCCCTTGCATGAGCGGAAAGTGACTGTTTGGGCCGGCGTTTGCGCCAAAACCACCATTGGGCCATTTTTCTTCAACGAAAACGAAACAGTCGATAGAAATCGATATCGGTGGATGATGGCTCATTATGTCTGCACACAGATGCGTGAAAAAGGTATTGATGATTACTGGTTTCAATAAGACGGTGCGCCATGCCACACTGCAAATGAAAAAATCCAGTTTCTGCAACGAAAATTCCCTGGACGTCTGATGTCAAAAAGAGGTGACCATTGACTGGCCATCCAGGTCTCCAGATTTGGTCCCACCGGCTTCCTCTTGTGGGGTTATTTGAAAAGTCAACTGTACGCCAGCAAGCCCCAGACCACTGAAGAACTCAAGGCAAACATTCGTCGCGCAATCGCCGCTATACCACCAGAGATGCTCGAAAAAGTAATGGAAAACGCAGCAAAACGGGCACATTTTGTTTTGGCCAATAAAGGTGGCCACTTGATAGATGTGTTCAAAAACTAGTCCCAATAAATTGTAATGGACCATATTTAATAAAAATACCCGATAATATATAGAAATAAGTTTTTTGTTTTCAAAGTTATTTCATGTTTACATACCGACATAAAAGATGGCGCACCCTGTATATTGGCGGAATTAGAGTTACAAGTTTGAAAAAAATATAATAACCTGTTTTACAACGGAATTATATTCTTGATGGTATATAAAAAGGCCCCTCACCAAGATAAAAAAAATTTTGCTCGGTGGATTTTTTTTCAACGCAAAGTTCTAAAAGTAATTTTTATTCTCAAATAGTTATGAATTATAGTGAAAGTAGTAATGTTTATTTGTAAATGAAATTATAAAGTAATATGACAATAATGCAATCAGGCTACACAACAACAATATATACTGTCAATCTGAAACACTCGAGTGTTTTCAGATTTCAAAAAATGCATTACATTTCATATTCAAACTCAAAAATAACAAAACAGAAAACTATTTTTATATCTGTGGTGACCTTTAGGATCCCTAGATTTATTAAAGTAAAGAACCGTAATTATATTTAGAATATAATGCAATCATCTTACCTGGTCGTCGTTCATCTACAGGCAATCCAAATGCTTTTTTCAACCTCAAACTTGAGATTTCTCTTTGGCGTTCAAGTTCAGTAGGTTCTGAATTGAATGCAGGTGCTGAAATAAAAACAACTTCAATAAATTATTAATTAGCGCGGCTAATTTCCATGGTCGAATTAAACAATTCAAACTTGTCGAATAAAAAAGAAAATTACAGTTCTAGTGCTGATATTTCAACTCAGTATTACTTTTTACTATTTACTGGATAAAAACTCCAATACAAATACCGTTTGCCATTGCCAAACCTTTTTATAGTCCTTCAGAGTAGATACATACTAGGTGATTTCTGGACTCACTAGACCACTAGACACTCCCTAAAGATACATGCGGAATTTCAAACTGATCTGACAATTTTCTTCTTACAACGGTATGAAGTAAACGTGCTTCGTATCGTCTTAGGAAAAAAATTCAAACTTGTGCACTAATTAAATATGAGCATCGAACAAAGAGAAAATATTGTGTGTTAAACTTGGCAAAACATTTGCCGAAACGCATCAGATGTTGCTGCAAGTGCATGATGATGATTGTTTACCTCGTAGCCGAGTCCATGAGTAGTTTACACGATTCTAAGAGGGTCGTGACCGTGAGTCTGTGGAAGACGTCGAACATGTTGGCCAGTCGAAATTTGTGATTACACCACAAATCGTCGAGAAAGTGCGTGAATTTATCAAAAATGATCCAAAATCTTCATTGACATACATGGAAATGGAATTAAATATCTCTAAAGATTCAATCCATCGCATTTTGACAAAGAATTTAAGCATGAGAAAGCTGTGTTCACGGTTTGTTCCGCACAAGCTCACGGATGACAAAAAAATTGCTTTGAATTCAACGTTCGAGAGACATCATTAAAGAGGCCAAACAGACAAAAACTTTCTGTACTACATTGTGACTGGTGACGAAATGTGGTGTTTTCAATACGATCCCGAAACTAAGCGTCAAAGTGCCGAATGGAAGCACCCAAGCGAGCCAAATCCGAAAGAGCCATTTGGGAAAAGTCCAAAGTGAAGATAATGTTGATTTGTTTCTACGATTCGATTATTCACAAGAATTCGTTCCACCGCGGCAAGCGGTTAATGCTGTGTGTTATCTTGGTGTTATGAGGCGGTTGATGTCGCGTATTGGTCCTGTGATAATGCACCACCTCATCGATCAACGCTTGTGTCCCATTTTTTGACAAATGGCATTTTAACCATCAGCCACTCCCCGTATTCTCCTGATATGGCACCGTGTGACTATTTTCTGTTCGGTAAACTACATTTGGCCATGAAGGGAGAACGGTATGCCGTCGTAGAGGCCAGCCAAAGGGCGCCGACCCATCTATGAAAATCATTCGAAAATATTTTAGTCTGTGCAACTCGCTGTATAACTCTGAAGGTGACTATTTTGAATAAAATAAATTCGATTTTCCGAAAAAAAAATGTTTGTTAATTTTTTTCTGAGCTGTTTACTTTGAGGCAGGCCTTGTAAAATTATTCATACATTGAATTTATGGGAGGTTGTGTTGAAGAATAAACCTATTTTCATAGACTTTTTTTCGTGTAGAGTTCAAAAACTTCTCAAATCACATGGTATATACACACACAGCAGTTCTAGCATTTAGATATCCAAACACATTTTCAAATGAATGATCATACCTTTTACAGGTAATTCCGATAAGGGCATATCATCGTCACTGGACGTTAGTGATGTGCTGCTACTAGTACTTCCCGTCCTAGATCGTGGTATTGGTGTGGTTGACTGTCTGAACGATTCTGATGAGTTATTCTCTTCCGTGCTGGCCTGTTCCTGTTCATGCTCATGTTCTCCACTTCTATCGTTGGTGGTCAACTGTTTTCTTTGTCTATATTCAGTTATGGACAACTGCAAAATTAACATATCCAATTAGTCCTCAAGATTCACAGGCATTATGACTTTATTGAATGCAGTAAACGGAAACCATCAATACTATCAACAGTTAGTGATGTTAATCGTTGACAGAGAAGTAGAAATGAGACTTTCAAATAAAAAAAAAATGGCGCCAAGTAGGTTTACTTCGCAATTCCTATGCAACGCTCTCATCAATTCATAAGGGCACAAGTTAGTCCATCTTAGAAAAACATTGGCGACGAACATGCATAATAAAGGAATTAAATGGTTCATACAGTTCATAGTCCAACATTTGCGATCTAGCCTACTGCCCGACTGACAGTACTGACCATCGAGCAACGACGCTATCCAGCAGGGAGTTATACACAAAAACACGCATGATGGCTCAGTTATTCCTAGCTATCCAAAGCGGTGAGGCGCGCGCTCGTTGAGTAGCCCGGTACGCGTACATCGAAGATATATCCTTCTAATTCAACTTTTAAGGCCATGGGTCCCTTTTATTCAACAGCCTGTTTGAAGGAGTATTTCCAATTGTTTTCGTATGATATCTAAATGCTGTATAAAGAGATGATTGATAAGCAATATTAGCAATTTTTTTCATCAAAAAAATGCATTTTTTGTTCATTTTTTCTGCAATCGTAGTTTGTGAACGAATAACAGTGTAGCTCTAAAATTATATGACAATATGCCACATTTATAGTAGATTTACCTTGAGACATTACTATTTTTCTTGACATTTTTTTTTCCGAAAAAGCAAACTGAGTTTTCAAAAATAAACTTACTAAAGAGCTATAAAAAGAGCAGTACAAACCATTGCTGAGAAAACAACTTTTGTACTCACACGGTTTCCGAGCTATCATTGCTATTTGGAAGAAACATGCCTCCCGCTGGCCACTCCCACCGCGGCGGATGATTGGCTGTAATCCGAGAAGACTATGCGTGTCTCTTCGCCGTGATTCCACGTTTCAGCATATTCATTCTGTTCGCTACTGTTGGAAGTGTATACCTTCGTTGTTGTTAAAAAAATGCCTAAACGTCGTGCTGCACTATCAAAACGACGTAAGCGCACGCATGGAAGCAAAGAAAAAAAAAGGCTAGAAAGGTAACTGTTTCTTTGAGACCCGTTGTATATAATTCTACAAATTCGAGTATTGACTGTAATAGTTGGTAGTATCTATAGTTTAGATGAAATTTTTAGTTTTTTAAGCTGGGGCATAATGCCTCTTTGAAGCTTTGAAATTGAGTTAGTCGATGTATGCTAGGGCAAAAACCTGCGCTATTTTCACACAAAAGATTGGATCAAATATTTTCCATAGAAGTTCCCATTTTCCCTAGTTTGGTTCAAAAAAGTCATATTCATGTTTTAGCTCGTCTCCAGCCTTGACTTCAGATTGCATTCTTGCTTTTTTATCCAGGTTGTTTTCAAGAAATGAAGTTGATGAACTATGTGCATAGCGTTTTGTTGACAACAGCAATGAATTACCTGAGGCTTGTCCAGTTGGTGTCAAAAGTTATGTTGGCAAATCCTCGTTCAATAGAGTGTCTTACGATAAGGATTATGCTTTTGAATCAGTGAAGGACCAAAATTACCTAAGCATCGATGACAGGAGATCTGTTAATTTGGGTCATTTTTTGTCGTAGTAACGTTAAGTGTGCAATCATTAGAGGAAATGTAAAATAGGTAGGATGGACTTCGTGAAAGAAACAAACAGAGGTCATGTCATAAAGTTACATTTTTTTTTGTTGAAATTGTAAAAAAGCTATGGTTATATAATCAGACCCAAACAATAACACGAAAAAAACTATAAATTCTGCAGCAGTTTGGGGGAGCATACCAACTGGCATAGGTCGCCGTCAATATGGGGAATTTATGGCAATTTTAGATGTTCCCTCTATGACCACTCGATCTTTTCGGACAGAAACTGAGACTGTCAAGAAGGTATGTTGTATATAGGTTAGCTCATGGAGAACAAAAAGAAGTTAGACAAAACAGAATATGTATTAGTTCATATGATACTTGCATAGATGTATGGCAAAATTTTTATATGCTACTTTAATCAAAGGTTCAATCCTTGACAGAAACTTTACATTAGCTAATTAATAGCTACACGCATCCCAACTTCGTGATTAGTCCTTACAACTGTGAACATTTTTATATTATTTACCTAAGGAGATAAGTATTCTCATTAGAGTAATGCACTTAATAATTTTCAAAATATCTCTGTACTTTTCACGTATTGTTTTTTTTTTTAGTTTTGGCGTAACGTGAACAGCATATCATTTAGAAACAAAACAGCCAAGAACGTTTGCCAGGCTTGCTGGGTGACCTCAAAACCTGCGAGGGGGACTTTGAGCTTTCGTAATACCAAAAAGTGTCTCCGAATTGGCTAATATTCTCGGAAATTCAGCAAAGTAGCTGCAAAGGTACAAATTCTCCAAGTTGGCAATTTGACCACAAAAACATTTGATTATTTATTTTGTCGTTGTGAATGGTTATCGATCCCTAAACCTATATAGAAAAATGCTAATTAAAACGTTTACCCGATAACTCAAATGAAAGCTACAGCTAAATATTTCGTATTGCCGTTCTCAAATTACAATAATTACACTTGTAGTTGCAATTTTTTCCGAGCTCTGAAGCACGAATTTTAAAGGAAATTCTCTCCGCCACTGGGTGTCCGATTTCCTGCCGTCCGAACACTCGTCACTATTCATTACAATTTTTTCGTGTAGTCTGTGAGGACGGATTTTTCCTTTGCACGTAAAAGTGGTGAATAATGTCGGAAAATCGCAAATCTAAGAAGAGAAAGATACAAGAATTATTGCAGGATCTTTTGGAAAACTCAAGTAAGTGGATAGTGTTTTTTAATAATCTCTTTGTTTTGTAGATCCTTTGTTCGCAACATTTGGAAGTAACGAACTGCTGCAAATATACAATATTTGCATGAAATCAATTTGCCCACCGGTATTTTGTTTTCTTAATATCCCCACCGGAATATACATATATATTTTGTGCAGTTCCACCCGAGCATTTCTGAAAAAGTGAGGCCGGCCACGCCGGTTATCGCTTGTTGATAAACATCTCGCCTCATCTTACGTTTTTTGTTACTCAGCAAACGTGTCGATAAATTCCTACGAATTTATTTGTCCATAGGCGTCTCGGAGATTTCTGACGGGCCCCAACCTAGTGACGACGAGGACCCCGAAATGACCTGTCCCATTGCCGACCTTTCAAAAGCGAATCGGGTGCAACCGCCTAATTGTTTATTGGCCCTGCTAGAAAAGAAAACATCGGACAATTTAGGGCCAGAGGTGCACTCCGATATTTTAGACTTGCTATCAGTTTTCTCGTCACAGATGGACGAAAAACTACCCTGGAACAATATCCTATTTTAAAAGGTTGTGAGGCTCTGAAACCACCAGAGATAAATCCTGAAATTAAATCTTGTTTAACACAGGCAGTATTGAGGCACGATATGTGTCGATCAAAACTTCAGGGTCAATTAGCAGCAGATATAAGTGCCTTAGCTGTTCTTTCAAATACCATGAGACTTGCCCCATAGATTCTTTCCTTTTTGGACAAAATTTCACAGAAAAACTGAAATGCTCTTCTGAAGCAAAGAAGTTTGGCGCGCCTATTATAAAGAAACCTAAGACTCTACGTACAGTGACCACAGCTTCCAGTTCGTCTCGTCTCCCTTCATCATCCAAACAGATTGCTGGATCTTCACGACGAGGTTCACAGTTTTTTTACTATCGCCAAGGTTCGTTTAAACCTCGATACAAAAGGGAGGAGGAGGGGAAACACAACTAACTCAAAAGAATTGGAAGACAGTTTATCTGAACCAGTCTCTTTAGGAGCAACCTCCGCTACATGCCCACAAGTTAATCAGTTTATTGCCCCATATTTTCTCGTACCTCAACCAGTCGGCAGTTCTAGATTTATCTTAAATCTAAAAAAATTAAATACCTTCTTGAAGGTCTCCCATTTCAAGATGGAGGATTATAGGACAGTGTTACACTTAATTTATAAAGATCTTATCATTAGTAAGTCACAACAAGCAGCAATCACTGATTCTCAGTTTACTAAAAAGATCCTAGTTTCTCTAGGATTTATTATAAATATGGAAAAGAGTTGTTTTACTCCAATGAACAATTGCAAGTACTTAGGTTTTTTATACGACTCTCGAGAATTATTATTATCCTTACCAGAACAAAAGGTGTCTCTCTTGTTAAAACTTCTTTCTCATACAGTAAACAAAACGGCAATTTCTGTACAAAAATTGGTAGAGTTCATAGGAAAATTGGTAGCAGCGTGCCCAGGAAGCGTGTCCCTATGGCTGGGTCCATTTAAAGATTTTGGAACGAGAAAAATTTAACACCTTACACCGTAATAACCAAAATTACAAAAGTAAATTTACAGTCTCAAATTATATGAAAATTGATTTAGAATGGTGGATGCAATCTCTTTCACTTAATAAAGGAACGCCGATATTACCAAGTAAAAATTACGATTTAGAAATTTTTTCCGATGCCTCCCCAACTGGTTGGGGAGCGTTTTGCAGTCGTCACACTACTAATGAATTCTTTTGAGGCCTCACACCATATTAACTATTTAGAATTGGTAGCTGCACTAAATGCGGTAAAATCATTTACTCAAAACCTCTCTAATTGTTACATACTTCTTCGTGTTGACAATACAACAGCTGTATCCTGCATTAACCGCATGGGCAGTGTAACATACAGTAAGTTGAACAGTATTGTCAGACAGTTGTGGACAGGGTGTGAAGCTCGCTATATAAATACTAAACAGAATATTTTTGCGGATAGGGCATCTCGGTTACAGAATATACATTAAATTCTGAGGCTTTCTCCACCATCTGTTCTAGGTTCGGAATACCAGACATAGACTTCTTTGCAACAAAATTAAATACTAAATGTGAGCGCTACATTTCATGGAAACCTGATCCAGATTCCTTAACAGTGGATGCGTTTACTTTTTCATGGGAAAAAGATTTTTTTACGCTTTTCCACCTTTTTGCTTACTTACTAAATGTTTACAAAAAATAATTGACGAGAAAGCACAAGGAAATTTAGTAGTTCCTCGATGGGATAGTCAACCGTGGTTACGCTTTATATCAAAGGTTATTGATAACTAAGCCTGTAGTTTTTCAACCGAATTAAACTTTATTATTAGAGATTTTTTCGCGAGATCCCGTAGTGAACCGGAGCGGGAACAGATGGAATTTCCCCTTCCTCTCGAAGTTTCAAGTTACATCGGGAGTGGTTAGATGGCGCATGTTGCGCAAAAAGTTTGCTTTAAGCTCCTTGATAAACTTAGGTGCCTTGTTTGAATCTGAAATAAAAAGACCGATCGTTTTTTGTGCAATGTACGTATATATCAATAAAATCAATCATTTGATATGACAAGTGCGGTTCATATATCTTCGATTACCTTCCCCCTCGTCATTTAAAATCAGGTGGACGTGTTCCTCCATTTATGATTCAATAATTTAACTCAATCTTCGGTACAGCGAGGTCAAACTTTCAATTGAGATGCCTGTTTTTTAAATGAAATTGACATAAGACCTGTCACCCGATAGTACCTCACAGACGTTAGGCGTGTACCCGTACCACGTGATTTTTTTACATTCGGACGACGTCACATCCGTCTTCTTCTATTCCCAATACAATAGCTCCTACCCTAAGAGGTAGGGTTTTTGCATGTCAATCGCCTTATACGTATTCGTTAGATACGCTGATTTTATTTTTAACAGAACAATATAATATATACTCTAAATTCTCAATATTCTGCCTTATCCTTTGTTTTTTCGATGGGAGATAAAGATAAGAATTTTTTTCAGGCGGTTTTTGAAAGGAATATATAGACAGAAACCTCCGCAACCTAAATACCAGATAACATGGGACCCTTCCTTAGTTCTGGACTATTTAGCAAAAATGTACCCTCTACCTGAGGTATCGCTGCCTCAGTTGACCTGTAAGCTAGTAACTTTATTAGCTCTAGTAACTGATCATAGAATACATGCATTGACTAAAATTAGGACTAGAAATATTACTCGTTTTAGCAATAGACTAGAAATTAAGATACCAGATTTAATAAATGTTACAGGATAGGGCGAAATATGCTATACATTATTTTTTGATATTTTTCAACAATAAAGACATCCAGTCGTTCTACTTGTCAACCCTTGTTAGTTGTTCCATACTTTACTGACCACCCTCCGCCAGATGGCTCTCCATATATTACTGTTATCGCTGATGGTGGATGGAGTAAGAGGATCTATGGTCATGGGTATAATGCGTCTTCGGGAGTTGTAAGTTTATTGGGGGGCGAAAGCGGGACTATTTTTTGTATCGCTCTTCAATATATTTTCGGCCATCACATAAGGTAGTAAGCAAATCCTGGGGGCCTTACTCTGTTTACTAGAAAACAGAGTCAAGGCCCCAGGATAGGTTTGCTACCTTATGTGATACCCAATTATATATTGAAGAGCAAGAAAAAAATGGTCTCGCTTTCCCGTGCCGCTTTTGTCCCTCCCCCAACTCCTGCTGCATTTTTACCATTTTCGATCACACACGATCTATCCGGTTCTTCAACTACTTTCTCTAGCAGCTCACAAAGCAACATTTCCGGTGCGGTTTTTCAGCTGCTAGTGCACTTTACACGCTGTATATTAAAAATAAATCATAATTTCCCAAATCGAGTAAGGCCCAGGATTTTTTCGTAGTTATTCATCATATTCGAATGACCCATTAAGCGGTTTTCCCTAATGAAGTCCGGAAGTCCCTTGCCCGCACTTCGATCAGATTCAATCAAAATTCGATCAAACACCATTCCTCGGAAAAAAAACAGTCGCCGCAGGTATGAATGATACGCAAACATTACCATAATTCGACCTTGAATGTAATGTCTACCATCAACCCTTATTAGGTAATCTCATCTGGTAAAAATTGTTCGAGATCACTTGATTGTGCCTCGGCTCGTTGTAATTGTGTGTGGTATTTAATTTTTTAGAGCACCTGCAATTTTCCCTTTATTTTATTGACAATGCAGAATACAGTAGGTGCCCAGTGTACACTGAATGTTATACTACTTGCCTTCCGGACTTCATTGGGGTAAGCCGCTTGATGGGTCATTACAATATAATAAATAGTAACGATTTATCGGAAAAAATCCTGGACCCAACTCGATTTTGGAAAATTACGATTTTTTTTATATACACCAAAGTGCCCTACGAGTTGAAAAACTATGTTCCGAGGCACACCCACAAAACTGCTTTCTGGGCTGTTAGAGTAGTATAATTCTACGAGATACATGCAAAGAAAAGCCCTGAACCTAAATCGCTTTTCGATGTATTTAATATTAAAATTGAGGTAGGGCATTTTTGGGGGGCTGTAGGCCATGCACCACTATTTTGATTGTCATTATTTTTGATTGATTTTGATTTTTTCATATTGCTCTATAACTTTATTACTCTTGGGGAGGAGGGGTATACTCGCTCAATACATAAAATAAACAATATTTCTGTAAAACCACATCGATTCTTCGAAAATTCGTGCACTCCGCGTTTCTGATCGCGCTCGATCGATCGGTTCCTCAACCACATTTTCTAGTCGAAAATATTTTACTATAAATATACAGCTTACGTTTTAGAACTACGATAACAGTCCAGCATTCAGGAAGGTATTGAAAACTCATAGCTGCTGACCATGATATAACGAATCGAGTAATACAGTTTCTGTACAAAAAATTGCATGCAGTGACATTGAACACATGGGCCATTAGGACACTAGATCTAAGGTTCAAAACTTAGTTTTGTATTCTCACCAGGACTCAGTAAGTTCATATAGGTGAAATACGTCCTCTACGAGAGGCCAACACACCTAAGCTTTGTGGAGGAGCACGAGGCTAGAGTATCTCTATCCTATATGGCAGGGTACATGAGGCTACTGCGAGGAGGAGGTATGAAAAACAGATAGGATTATCCGTTGAGCAGTGCGGACTTTTTGTATATCAAAAATATCCTTTTTTTGCAGCTTTTCCGGATGGTCTTGTGGGCACAGAAGGCCTTATAGAAATTAAATGTTTGCCTTCTGTAATGCTACTCTGCCGAAAATAACCAGACTTTTGACACCTTCATAAGTTAACATATCACGTTCAGAAACGCCAAACTAACATTGAAATTTCTCTACTACTCATAAAGGAAAGTAATTAAAGCAACAAAGAGTTAATAAAGATTTGGTGCTTATCTCAATAACACCTGACATCCTTGTATGTCTTTCTTTCTGGTGAATATTTTTACTTTGGACTTCCATCTCGTCTTTCACCACAGTGACAACAGTTGATAAACTGTCAAATTACATTCATGTATTGGCTTCCGCATCTTTTGTTCGTTACTGTTGAGCGTCATGTCCGTATAAGTTAGAGACATAAGCGGTTTGTTTCTATTAGTAGCGCCTGAACATAAAACGAGTGACGTGTGAGAACTTGACAAAAATATCGCCCTATTACTATCTTGCCTATATTTCACGTCTTATTTCGAAATCAATGACTTGATTAGCGACAATTAGTTTGGATCCAGAAAAGGCACATGTTAAACGTCAGTTGTAGTGCAACTTGTGAAGTATGTTAAGCAGTACACGTATTTTAACAATAGTGAGTTTGCAATGGTCCTGCTGCTATCCTAAAATTTTTTGATTCTTTTATATAGAAATATATTGTCCGTGCAGCCATTTCACTACCTTACATTTTGTCTTGCTAACTTGGCCCTTTAAAAAAATAAAGTAGAAGGGTTGTTCCTTGATCATTGTACACATTTTTTACGATGGATCGTAACATATATGAAAACAAACATTAGTCAACGGAACACGTTGCACGCCACTGCAAGCGCATTATCTCCTTGAATTCGGCAGGATGCTCACGCTCCGACTTTGTCACTTCTAAAGGTGGCTACAGACACAACTGCAAGCTTGTGCAGCGTGCTTGCTCAATCTTTCTGTACAAGCACGCTTGAATGTCTGTAGGGAAATGTGGTACAAGCTTTGTGATTGTACAAGCAGCTTGAGGATCGAACTGATTTTAACTATGCATGCTTGAATTAGGCGCGCTTGCGCAAGCAAAACGGTGCTTGTGTACCCAATATTTTCAAGCTTTCACAAGTTGGCGTCCGTTGATGATCGTACCGTGCTTTTGAATCAAAGGTGATACAAGAGAGAAGAGGTTTAAATACGTCTCTTCATCCATTCTAAGATAATTATGCCAGTCAGTTAATTTTCATCAACCATTCTTTACACCACATAGCTCTTTTATTCGGGATTTTCTTCTCTTCACAAAAGCAAAGGCGGCCAAAGCGAGGACATCGTCATCCGAGGTCGACAAATTCTATTAAACTACCTCTATTTTTATCAAGCATGCTTGTACGTGTGGTGCCAAAGGCAAATTGTGCATGCTTGTAGAAAAAGATTGAATAAGTATGCTGGACAAGCTTGCAGTTGTGTGTAGCTATCTTAAGAGACGTCTCGCCTGCAGACAAGGTTAGCGAATTAAAAAGTTACACATCATATTTCCTAGAGCATTTAACAAAAAAAATCGAGGATAGCTATGCTCTGTTATTCAACGCACGAAATAAAGTCACATTATCCTTTCACAAAACCCACCAAAGATATGAAATATACAAAAAGGGATCAAGGGTAATAAAATTCAAATTGGTTTCACCATCACCATCTTAGTTTGAACTTCAAGTGACTATACAAGTCAAGGAATTATTTGGAATACGAACGATATGATGTAGGAAAATTGTTGTGTAACATATATTGAATACCAATAGGCCCCAGCCCAACACAAGTTCTAGTTACGCCACTGAAATTATGTATCATTGTTTCACCTAATCATTGACTTGTTTATAATTCTTAAGTTGTGATTCGTGGATTTATTGTTGTGACAATTTGTTTTAGACTCATTAGTCAACATATTTTTGGTATATCATGACTGAGTCATAACGACCACGCAATCAAAAGTGATTCTCTTGTTACTTTTCAACATAACTGTTTGGAATTGTGGTAATCTAACGATAGATAAAATGTATTTTTTATAGATGAATAAATTGAACTGTTGATAGCAGGTACATAATTTTCCTAAAACGCTTTTATCGATTTTTGCAGCGCTACCGGAGCTGTCGCGTCGTTGGTTTTCGTGCTTGAACAGTGAAGCATATCGTTGGCATGACCATAATACACTGGTTGCGTCTCCCTTCTCCAAGGGATGATTCCGATGCATTGTCGCCGGCCGATCGCCGGTACGCCAAGAAACAATGCATCGAAATCAACCTCGTCTGCGCTATGCGATCACGGTACGTACTAGATAACACTTTCAACATCCAAGGGTCCATCTGAACACGCCATGTACAACTGGGCGTGTACAATGCTTTTATTATCATCTCGAACCTGTCCTGAGATCTAGAGGATATTCCTGTCACCAGAGCATTGCTCCCATCGCCTTAAGGCCAAATTACGGGTAAATCTTTGATTTATTAAATATATCTAATAGGTACGTAGAATTACCTGAGTTGGAAACGTATAAATTGATAGCACAAAAACTTAACATAGACCTTCCCCCAACAACTACAACCCCAACATCAAATTCTTAAGCCCTGCAAAAATTTTTCTAGAATTGATCAGAAGCCTCTAAAACGTCAAAAAACGAAGTGTGGACGATTTTTATTCTGTTCGTTTATTCCCCTAGCCCCGCCGCCACTAGACGGCGATTTTCAAAATATGCAAACCATTTTTGTCTTTGGCATAGCAGTAACCGTGTGTGAAAATTCTAGCCAAATTCGAGTAGTACTTTTCAAGTTATAGGCGGTCCAAAGACTAGCAAACAAACAGACCGACAGACAGACGGAAATAAGTGACATGGTTTTACGTGATGTACATGTCATATAACATACAAAAAACATATCTCATTTTTTGCGGCGCCCAGTGGCGTAGAAACTAAGAATAGAGTCATCTTTTTATTATTTAAAAAAAAAAAACTATGGGAAAGTTGCATATTTAGATAACTTACAAAATGCCGCTTAGAAGGTTTCGAAAGTATGTACTTCCGTAGAGACGGAAGCCAATTCTGATGTCCAAAACTCTACAGTAAAACATTTCGCTTTGTTCCCCAAAAATCGTCTGACAATTTGATCTACCCAATAATAAATTCTACTGAGTCTGCTTTACAGAAAAATGGATTTTGAAACGTATCATTCTAGTAGATATACATAAAGGGTGTTTCAAATTCGACCCTCACCATTGGGATTTCGGAAACTGTAAGAGATACGAAGTCGCATAAACGGGACAAAGTTGGTTATTTAGGTAATCAACAAATGCCGCTTAGAAGGTATCGAAATTCAAATTACTTCCGGAGAAAGACGGAAAAAATCGAATTTTCCCAAAATCACTTCAAATTTTTCCTGACTATTTGTAGTGGGATGTCAAAATAAATTGCTCACTAATATTGCTACTTTTCCTCCTCGATAAGATGGCATAATTATAATTTCAATATGACGTTTTGTCTCTTGTCCTCCAGCATCAACTTCATTTTTTCTTATAGACGTCATATTGGTGTTTTGCGCAAATGAAAAGAGTTTTTAATTCTCATTCCAAAAATGTCATACACTGATAATGCCAAACCTCAATTATTCCAGAAAAAAAAAACAGAATTTCCTAGGTAGACTGTGAAATTATGACATTTGTTTCGCATACTAGACCAGACCTCAAATTGAACTTGGTAACAGAGTTTGGAAGGCCGAGAAAAAGGGGAAACAAATCGAACAGTGAACAATGTTCACAGGAGAGTCAGGCTTTGCCTACAAAATAATTAATATCTTGAACATTAGCTCCTATTTATATCTGCTTATTTATGACTATTATTGTTATTACCAAAAATAAAAACTTCATTTTGTGTTCGGGCTTCAACATACCTCTTATTTCCTTATAATTTTTGTTACAACAACAAATTCATGGCCAACAAAGAAAATACATCACTGAATTTAGGACTGAAAAGTCCATTTAAATTCCATTATAGCGTCCATATGAAAATACAAAGTTTGTGATGTAAGTCGAAAGAAGAAACCTCGACTTGTAGACGAGAATACATGGCAAAAAGAACATGAAATTTTTTTTGAAATTCTAACAAAAATAAAAATGATTTAGGAATACATCTAGTATGCGAAACAAATGACTGATAATTTCAACGCCTAATTAGCAAATTCTATTTTTTTTTCTGGAATCAGAATTAAAAACACTATTTAGCAAAAATCCAATATGTCGACCTCAAAAAAAATAAAGAGACGAAACATCGTATGGAAATTCTAATTATGCCAACTTGTAGAGGAGAAATGGTACTGTTTAATTTATTTTGGAATCCCACTATAAATAAAGCCAGGAAATTGATGATTTTGCGAAAAATCAGTTTTTTCCGTCTCTCTTCGGAAGAACTTTGAATTCATAAACTTGCTATGCTGCATTTTGTCAGTTACCTAAATAAGCAACTTTGCCCCTTTTAAGCGACTTCGTATCTCTTGCCGTGACCGAGACCGTAATGGTGAGGGTCGAATTTGGAACAGCCTGTATACATGGACGAGTATTGCAGAATTTTCCATGTTTCCCTGGCAATTAAATGGAACGACATAATGTAAGATTGACTGTTTACTGTGGTTTGCCTTATTCAAAGTACAAATAAAAAAAGAAAATGACAACATATTTTATATTTATTACCTTCCAGGTGTCAGTTCGTTTGTATTTTGCTGCTACTATACAGTGTGTGACTGCAATAGCCCGAACGGTCCTGTACCATGTCAAGATCTTGCGAAGCCATCATTACAACTTTAAAAATGGCACCGTACAAAACCAGCAAAGTACAGGACCCTCTGGAGTAAGCATTACTGCTTTCAAAAGACGTCCAGCCTCCCCAAGCAAAGATATAATTATAATTGATACTCAACAGGTTGACCACAAGTTTTTTCTTTCAGGTGCTTCTCTCGGTTTGTTATTAGATCCGACATGCGCATATGTTATGCTACGCCACCTCAATGCGAAACTGTTGTCTTATATTATTTTCTCAGGGGACAAATAACATGATGCCCCCGAGGTGTCAAAGTACTACTTTTCGCTCTTCGGAACCATGAACAATACAGATGCAGCATTCGTAGTCGAAGATTTTTATAGCCAACTGGTATGTTGCGACAACAGTTCTTGATGGATTTTTGCGTTCTCGAAGTTATCCAAAACAGATTCTCATGTTCGCTCGATGCTTTGGGGGTGGCAGAACGTTTATTGGGAGCGAGAAAGCCTACCCCAAGCGGACCTGGAATATGCTGGGTTTGCAAAGTGCCATTTTTAGAGTTGTAACGATTGCTTCGCGCGATCTCGTCGTGGTACAGGACCGTTCAGGAAGTTGTTGCAATACACCATCACCTGGAAGACGGATAAATATGAAATATGTATATTGTTAATGTCATTTTTGAGTTGTACTTTGAAAAAGGTTACCGAGCTGGAGGAAACGTCAATTACCAGATAATCCTACACATGTGGTATCATTTAACGGCCAGGAAGATATGGAGAATCATCAGCATGAAAACCACAAGTTTCAAGCATTAAGTTAAAATCTGGTCTGTGTTGACACTTCATGAATCGGCCGAAGTTAAACTAATGTGATATGATAAACCGGCCCTCAGTGTGGTTTTCGGAATGCACTAACCTTAACTTTCCGCTTAGGCGTAGTATCCTTCTGCTCCTGTTTCTCATTCTCAAAGCCCAGTATGCTAAGCGTCTTCTCCACCGTACCAACGAGATCCGCGCCTGAGAACATGCTGCCCTCCCTGGTCAAACGCGGATCCATCAAACACCCCAGTCCTGTGGGCGGTTGCCTAATGGAGGAAGGCGTGTCCGATAGAGACTGGATCATGCTGAACTCTTGTTTCATTTTTGCTGCACGTTCTTTCAGCACAGCGTCGGACTCCAGTGTCTGCGTGGGGCTATCGCCGTCCGCGGCGCTATACACGATCTCCACGTGACCTTCTGGACGATCCTTTTGGATGAAATAAGGTGTTGGTTATTAGTCACCAGATCAGTATGATATTCGAATTCAGATTGCAGAGAAGTGCAGGTTGCAATATTTGACAACAGGAACGTTATGCTTGACATTATTGTCACTCGTATAGCTTAAATCTGTACCTATCTGTTTGCATCATTAAAATTAGTTTCTATGAATAATCTACGATAATATAATAGCATGACCAAATTGCGTTTAATTTTGACATGCATTTCAATAAAAAAAATGTCTGATAACAATGATCGCTAGGTTACTATGGAACATTTTCGGGATTGGGTGTTAATCAAGGGTTGCGGCCTGGCCACAGGACATTCGCCATAGCGAATATTCGCGCAGTGCGAATTGCGAAGCGTCCAGCGATTGAAACAAGCGTATGGGAATGTACTTATCAAGCCACGTGCAGCGGCGTATCGCGAAGCGACCGGCGAAATGTACTGAGCGAACCGCATGGGTGACTGGCAGCGCGGCGGGCGAGTGAAACAGACATAAATCACTACGGCGCAAGAAACCGAGTTGATCGGCAGTCGCGGCGAATTGTGCAACAATCAAGTCAGTTTAATTTTTTCGCCGCAAAAAATGAACACCGAGGATTTTATTGCCGAAATAGTTGCTAGGCCAGCTATTTGGAAGTCTGGCCACCCACAGCATAAATATAAACATGTGGAGAGATTATGGGAAGAAATTAAAATAAAATTTCCAGATTCTGAAAGTAGGTAGCCATTTTTTATTCATAGGTTAGGTACAAATATTTAGTCAATAGGTTACAAAGTAGTCTCTAAAATGATTTACGTTTATAGCTTGTAACGTAGCTCTATTGTTCCGGCGAGACGTTATAACTTGATTAGATGTAGACCTAGAACTCATGTACCGTCTAAAATCGGGATCACTGATCCCATCTTTTTCTTTTCAATATTATGTAGTAGACATCGAAACTTAATAATTAATTTTGCATGTTTAGTGTGTTTCCAGCTCTTGACAATATTTTATTAAAATTTCTTTTCGAATCAGCACTGGACGGAAAGGGTTGCAAAAGATAGGTTTTCAGTGTATAGGCTTCGTAGCCAACTAGGACGTGTGGCAGTAAAATATCTGACCCCGGTAATGATCTTGGAGGTGGCATATTAAATCGTTTGTTAGCAAGCAATTCATTCAATTTTGAAAAATGAAACGTGCCTCCGTCACTTTGTCTTTCTTTCCCACCAATTTCTATTACAGAAAATTTATAATCTGCATCCGAAACTGCTTGTAGGACCAATGAAGTTTTTTTTTATAATTATAATATTGGCTACCGCTCCGCGATGGCTTCTGAATGCGAAAATGTTTACACCATATATGGCTCCTACGCAATTGGGAAATTGCCATCTATTTTTTTAATGAGTATTTTGCCTGAAATGGAAAAACTACCTACTATACAAAAAATAAGGTTAAGAGATAAAATTAACCAGGCTCTTTTAGACAAAATAAGTGCCACTGTGTACGGTGAACCTGGGCAACGTGGTGACTCTACTCAACCAAACTAACTAAATAGTTTTAATCACGAATAGAGTACCTAAGCACACAATAAACATCGAAAATACTGTCTGATAATTGGTTTGTTCGAACAGTAGTCGGTAACTTGTCGTTGACTGTCAAAATCAAAATCAGAGAGATGTTATCTGTTCGTACAGTTTCTGACTATTTGCCAACAGCTAGTCCGCTGTTCGTACAGAACCTTCAGACAGGTCAGAGAATGCTAGTCAATCAGTGACAGGTGACAGAGTGTGACGAAACTATCATGAGGACTAATATTGCGTCGCAAAAGGCATTTAGCTTTGCTCCTCAGAGCTCTCCTCAATGATGCCGCCGCGCGATGAGACTGCCAGATAGACCCGCATGACTGATAGTGTATCGAGATTGTGAGGCGGATGCTGAGGCTTTTCCCAGTTCTATTAACCTTAGGCAGTTTAAACATCGGATTAACAAAGTTACTTTAAGCTCCTCATAGCAGCCTCGCTGCCCTGGCGCTTAGGCTTTGCCTGCGCGGCTGCTTCGGAGTGAAAAAAACTATGAGCGATAAACCAAGCAGCGAATACTCCTAGAAAGAAACCCAAAAACCTGAATTTTGTGGAGGAATTAGTGCCACAATTTCAACAGAAACTATTTTTTGTAACATTTTCGAGTGAGCAATACAGTCGCAAGAAAAAATTCAGTGATATTCAGCGGCAGTAACCATTTTAAATATCAGCCAGCGCCATATGGATAGCTTACTTCCGTATAAAGAAATCTGAATATTTTTATGGTTTGCTGGATATCAAACAGCTATCTTCAGTCACGTACCTGATAGGTTCAATTTTTCGTGAGTACCCTGCAAGCAGTTATAAAATAAAATATAGTTTTCTTGGAATCGTTTGTATCATTGACAAAGCCCATATAAAGATCGAAAAAACAGAGGATGCTCTGTAATCATATATTAATAGAAAAGGATGCTACTCTATACAGGTTGGTCCAATTATGGGAATGTACCGATGCACTAAGTAAAGCTACTAATTTCTGAATATATACAGTATACCCAGAACTAGCTTAAAATAACTGTTGTATTTAGCTTCTATCGTATGTAATGATTCCTTCCATACTCTAGTTTTCATACACCTCGAAAATATGTGTTTATTTCCATGATATAACTATTTTTTCATTATAATTATTTTCATTCAGGACAAACATACATGCGATCAAGATTTGTAAATTATGAGTATGTTCAATGGTTATCCGGGCTCTGTACGTGATACTAGGGCTTTTAAAACGTCACCAGTTTTTCAAATACTGGAGCAGAAGTGTGGTACCGATCACATACTCGCATACCCCTTGTTACCCAACCTCTTAATTCCATTCCAAGACCTTGGCCAGTTATCATCCAGACAACTAAACTATGACAGGAAACATTCTTCACATCGCATTCTAGTAGAGCACTGCAATGGCCGTTTGAAGCAAAAAATGTACGAAATTCTACCACATTAAGAAGCATCAGATAGACAGTGGATTTCATGCGAGCGTGATAATTTTGTAGCGGAGCACACTGAAGATGATGATGATAATAATCACCTCAAAAATCCTCCATCAGAGCTAAGTGATGTGGCAGAGAATAGTGAAGGCACTTAAAAGAGGAACTGTTTTGTTGCGCTGTGAAGTTAATTTATACATATAATTAGCTATAAGTTGTCTCCAATTTATGTTTTTTATATGACTATAAGGTCTAATATAAAATTATCTGTTTTCAATACGCGTTTCAAATTATATTTATTCATATTTGATGTAGTCTCAAATCAGTTTAAGCTATCAAAGTGTTTCATGCTAAAAATGTTGTTTATTGGCCATGCAAAGGCAGAAATGCAATCCCTAGATTAGAACATTAGACAAAACTTTCAAGAACCATAATAATTAATATTATTTTTTAGTGAACACTAATTTTTACAAAATTTTGGTTATAGTTACAAAATGCGGAAATACGAGATTAGTTTGTTCCTGTCAGTGCGGCTAGTTGCCATGTTGATCAACCTTGCCATCTCAGATATTTATATTTATCCATATTTCTGCTTGTAGTAGGTCTCTAGGGTGAAAACGCGACTTGAATTATGATTTTTCTCTGATGAGTTTTTGTATTTTCGTAGCCTCATTTCTTTTTGTCCACGTTGGGACTCTGTGAAACTCATAGCTCTATGTGAGCAGATCTTGGTAGTTGTAGCTATGCTCAGCCGTTTTAGGTTTTTAGTGTATATTTACATTTTGTTATTAAGTCCTTGTATTATTTTTAATTCTTTCTTCCAGTGAGACTCTGCACATATAAGGAAGATATTTTTAGTAGAATATACGAAAATGCCAAGTTTGACAACCTGGCAGTCCGCCATTTCCAAAGACATTCGGCCACTCCGGTCCTCTTGAAAATAGCTGTATCACAAAATCTCCAAAATTAGCCTTTTATTTTTCGTTCAGCTTTGGGTTCGACTGGAGCTAGAATATACATACTGTTTGTGGGTACACTTCAAGGCTGGGCGACAACTGTTAGGGAACATGGAACAAAAACCATACTACCCTAGTTTTACAATAACACATTTAAAATACCTTGTGCATTTTTTATGCATAATCATCGCAGACGTTTATTCAGAATTCTTACTTTTTGCTTCATCAACTTGTCATTCGATGTGTGGAATCACATTCCTTCGAATTTATGAACATACTTTTTAATTGAAAATTGAATGGGAATTACTGAGTAAATCTATTTGACATTTATTGATGCTGTAATTTTTTATAGCAAGTGTTATCCCCTCTAGAGGAAAATTCACGCACTCCTAGATCATTCTGGTGTACAGAAAATCAAAATACCCGAACTTTTCCAAAATAGTCACCTCATGCTGAAAAATGTTAAATTCGAATAATGATTGTGCTTGATTTCAAGCTCTGACAATTTACTGGACAATAATCTGCTGACTAATTTGACAGTAATCAAACAGTCAGAAGTTTCTGTACGAACAGTGGATCAGTTGTCGGTAATCGGTCAAAGCTCCCTCAGCCAACTAGTAACGTTCTCATGTGCGCAATCTATACAGTCAGTGATGTGTCAGTGACAGCTAACTGCATAAACTAGGTCATGACTTGTCACCGACTATCAGTTTGCTGATTGTCAGCAAACAGGCTGTACGAACAAACCATATAATAATCATAATGTTTTAAGTGAACCTAAAAAAAAAACTTAAGAAATCCTCTTGTTTTAGTTGTACCAAGAATTAATGTCATGTAAATAACAAAATTATTGTGAAGTACAATAATTTCATGAAATATTAACATTCAGGGTGAAATGTAATTTAGGTAACCATATTTTGGGCAATGACAGTTCAGAAAAAATTCCGTTTGCGACCATATGTTTTTTGGAGAAAGTTGTTCATATTGATGGGTACTATCATTCCACAAAACATGCTCAGCTAATTAAATGTCATCATTTAAAGATGTGTATATACCTTAATGTCAAAAACAATTTTTCACCGGCACATAAAATTCTATCTGCAATGACTTTTTTCCAATTCTGGCTGAATATTAATTAGAATATAATCGATGGTTTCGACATTCATTCTGGTATACTCGAAAAATGTTTCTGGATACATTCTGTATTTCTCGTACTTCTTGTGGAACTCGCCATCTCTACTCCGATTCCTATTCAAATCATGTACTCCACTATCTCTTTCAAATATTATGTCTTGAACCAAAAAACTATTACTTTCTAAGCAATGTCGAGATAACGTTGACAAAGACATTTCGCTCTCGCCCTATACTGGTGGCGGCGGCGAACGTGACTGCCCGTGGCCGGTAAACTGTGCCGCGCGGAAGGTCGCCCCGCCCGCCGCATCGTCGCGTCGTTCGCGCCGCCTGACCCCGTGGCCAAGCCGTTAGGTATGGGTCAGACATATATACGGATATTATTTGATAATATCTTCGTAGATTTAGGTTAATTTCAAAATGAAATATTTAAAAGTCATAGGAAAATATATAAGCTGGAGGTTCCATGAATAACATATTAGACAGCAAACATTTTAACCATTTTAAACAGCTACATCCTTTAGCCTCTGGTGCCTTTCAAATTCTGCAAATCGAAAGATATCTGTCACAGATTGAATTAAATTCTGATATTCTGGACTCCCGTTCATGAAAACGAGCGAGTTGGGTCCCTGGGGTAGGGGGCTGCATAAAAATACTTGCTTTTGCTTCGCTATTGGCCGCTTTTTTCAAACGTCATAATATCAAAAAAAAAAAAACGATAGCATTAGTGACAAAAAAAGCCATTAACAAAAATAAAATTCCAGTGTTGCAGGGCCCCCCGGATGAACATTTATGCCATGAATTGTTTATGTGAAGCGAATAATTTGAGGTACAGTTTTGTTATACAACATTAGTAGGTGTAACATTGTATGAATTATGCATGTATTATGATGGCATCTTAAGCTTCCTGGGACACCACGTTAAAATAAATCGCATCCGGGACTTAACCCCTCTGGTAGTGATAAAACGAGTCTTCAAAAAATAAATTGGGTGGATTTGTAGAAAAAATTAAATTATTCAGAAAAGAGAGATCATGATGCAGAGTAGATATTTGCACCTAACTACATCTAAGCCATCTGTTCTCATAAGAATTCTAACTTATTTAATTACTTACATTTACAGAAGTTGTGACATCTGTTGGAGTACTTGGAGGAGAGGCATCATTTGATAATGACTCTCTTGGTAATCTTCTTTTTTTGGGCGGCGCTACCGTATCACTTATAGGTGGCGAATCTGAAGAAAATTAAAACATTATCTCATTGATTCAGATACTCTTTTGTTTCGTATAGCGGCAGGGGTATTATGTAAAAAACAAAAAGCGTCAAAAAAAAGAAATGTCTAGCAGACTAGGTAGTTTTTAGTGTTTGCTCGCTATGATCGCTGACGTTTAAGCAGCTCATACAGCTACAACACAAGTTCAGAACAAGTCTACAACAGCTTCTGCTGAGTTAACATCTTTTAGAAAAACCTATGTTATGTCACAAAAAACCTACAAAATGTAAAAAAAAAGCAGACAAAATGTCACTTTTCAGGATACGTAATACCCGTGCCGCTTTATCGCAAAATCGTTGTTGACTTCCTGGTTTCATTTAAAATGTGATTTTAAAATAAATTGCATATTAGTTAGCATTTCTACCCTTTCTCCTCTACATGAAGGCGTAGTCAAATTCTCAATTGGACGCTTTCGATTTCAATCATCAACTCTGTTTTTTCTTATGGACTCTTAACTGAAATTTTGCACAAACGATCACAATTTTTGATTCATGTAGTTACGAATATAATACATTTGTCTCGACAAATTTCACATAATTAAAATAATCTATTCTTAGTAGTATTTAAATGCACAGAATTCCAATATAGCTTCCAAATGAAAGAAAAAAAAAATGGTGATGAAAGCCAAAAGAACAAACCTCGAATTGAAAATTTGACTACGCCATCTTGTAGAGGAGAAAAAGTGGTAACATGCAATTTGCTTGTAAATCACATCTCAAAAAGAATCAGGAAGGAATAAAAACGATTTGGTAATAAATCTGGTATAAAAACAAATGAGTATCTGATAATTTCAAGGCCTACTTCGACAATTCTGTTTTTTGAAATAACTAAGTTTTGGCAATGCCATTGTATCACACGTTATATATATTTTTCAATCACAATTAAAAACTCGATTCATCTCTGCAAAAACCCAATACGAAGTCCATAAGAAAACATAAAGTTGATGCTGGAGGGCAATGAAATTCTGATTAAGCCATCTTGTAAAAGAGACAAAGTGGCAATGTTAATATGCAATTTATTTAAAAATAACACTACAAATGAAGTGAGGAGAAAACTTAAACTATTGTTATAATACTTGCATGCTAATTTTTGTGCATTTTATTACAAACATTTTCTGATGAAATATATTTTTCAAATTGTCAGATTTACAAGATAATAGCCAAATTATGAGTCAGCATGACTAGGTCATCTAGCTGGACAGCCTTATGGTAATCTGACGCACCGGAGTATTATAAAATGCCTTTTTTGCAATTTCAAAAATCAGCTTGCGTCACTTGCTTATTGTGGCAGATTATCATACCCTTGATATCAGAGATACGTGGGACATATACAATATCAATGTCTGATACGCTCTAGTATTTCTGCGTAACTATTTTTTTCAATTTTGAAAACTCATAAGACTCCCTCCATCCTTTCTGTCATTTAATATTCAAAATACAATCTCGAGTAATTCACCATTTAGTCATATTATAAGACAGCTATTAAAAAAATCGATAGGAATTTAAGCAAAGTGCCGTACTGTTTCCAATTTCCGGTATTTCGCCCTAGCTGATGTTTGATGACAATTGTTCGTATTTTAACCTTCCAAAATTACGAACTACGCTGGAATTGTTCATATGCTGTACCAATAATTAATATTTACGTTCGTGTCGTTGCCTTATCTAGAGTCAGATTTATAGACCTACCTTGAGGCTTCCTTGGAAACAATGGATCTCTCATTGGAGACAATGACACTTCCATGAGGATCGTTCAAGGGAGGATTTAAATTTTCAATTCACAGTAGGCTGTAACAGTTGACATCAGAAGTTATCATGTCAGAAAGGTTTTTCTTTGTTGTCCATATCTATTTAGCATTTTGATAATTAAGTTGTGACGATTTGGTTGATTTTTGCTAAATATATCAACTAAAGTACAAAATATTAATTTGTTTAAATCTCTGAATTACACCACAATCACAGAGAAGTAAGAAACTGAATGCAACCAGTTGCACCGAACTGCTCTGCTATCTGTTTTTATTTTCAATTATCGCTTTAAATTTCTCTAGTATCTCTATCAAATGTATCTTCTCGCTAAACTCCTTTCTTCCATAGTCACACATTAAAATTTACAATGATATAGAATTTGGGAAAGATTTTGTGTGATTGCGCTCATTCGAAGAAGCAAATAGCAAACACATTATTTTGCATTGTTCCTCAATATTCAGTGCAAATAAAAATCTGTATGACATCGATGGTAGCTTGTGATAACTGTTACAGCCTACTGTGGAATGAAAATTTAAATCCTTTGAACATTGCTCAAGGAAGAGAATTGTTTCACTGATCCCAAGAAGATATCTGATATTCATTATTTCCAACAAAACCTCAAGCCTCAAGGAAGGTCTATAAATCTAACTCCTAATTTATCATTAATAGCAATAGCTATGCCGATGCCTTGTACGCATACAGGCTTTAATTCTAGCCTATTCGAATTCGTTGGTTTCAACAACAAGCGGTAACAGGTAACAATTGAAGAACAATTATGTTAGCAGTTACCTGGCCTGCTGGAAGGACTATCGCAATGATCTTCGCTGATCGCCTGTCGCAACCATCGTTTTTTTGCACTGCCTCTCGTTGGCGTGTTATCACAGTAGGTGGCGGCCTGAGCCAAAGCCGCCAAATTCTTGTTTGGTGTGTAGAAGCCGGTCGCATCGTCCGAATTGTTGTTGATATGTGGCATCAAAGATGACGGCGATATGGAGCTTGCCGACTGTACGGGCTCAGGAGTTTTGTTCAGCCACTCGTTCATTAGGCCTTTCTTGGTTTTTGGAAACTTGAAGCCGGGTTCCAGAGGCTCAACGGCAGCTGGAAATATGAAGTTTGGTATAGGGTATTTCAGAAATGTAAGTTCTGAAAATCATTAACAAACTTGGCGCCAAGCACATCGACTCTTTACTTCCCTTCATTACAGCATACAAATAAACTAATACAATTTTGCATAAAGAATGGGCCAACTATATTTATGAAACTCAAATGAAATCATTCGCTTAAATACGATAAGTTCATATTTGTGTTACAATTATAATGTATGTACAAATCTGCGACTATTATGTCACACAGGTAGGTAGAAGCTTCTTTTTTTTTGATAGACTGAAAATCGTCAAAAAACGTAATTTCAGTTTATATTCTTTGTTTGTTCATAACGCCGTCGCCATTGGAGCTATTTCTAAAATACACAAAGCTTTTCTCCCTTCACGTAGAAGCCTTGTGTCAAAATCTTACCAAAACCTAATCGCTGCTTTCAGAGTTATAGAGGGATCAATGATTTATGAACAGGGAGAAAAGTGGAAATGGCATATTTTTACGTGGAATATATTTCTTTTATACCGAAGCAGCCGCTAAAATATCAGGGCACCCCGCGGCTGATATAAGGAGCTTAGAGAAACTTTGTTAATCCGATTTTTAAACTGTTCAATGTCAGTAGAACGCCCCCTCGGATAGATTGCTCCACAATCTCGATGCCCTATAGGGACAAAGGAGCATCGGTTCAGCCTCCTATGGATGTACAAAGTTCGACACAGGGTGACAGGCTGAAGTCTGAAAGGCACATCGCGCAGCGGCATTAAGGGGGAGAGATCTGAGAGGCAAAGCCCATTGATATAGCGGTAGAAGAGAGCTAGTTTGCCGCCTGCCCATGGGTATGAAAGGGTCCAGGGACTGTTCTTTAGTCATAGATCAGCTCTCTTCTGAACAGCTTTGGGCAAGGAAAACGTAGTGGGGGCGGCAACTCCCCAAAACACTCAGCACACAGCAGCTGTCACTATTGACGAGTTGTGTTCGTGCCAGATCAAGACCTCGGCCAGCCTAAATGCTCGGATCTTTGATAGAACTGGGCCATCCATTGAAACCAGGTGAGCGCTAGGGCGCTTCTTATTATTCAAGGTACAGTGACATGTCTTGAACGCATTAATGGCCGCCTTTATGGCATCCTTGATTTTCATAACCTTTTCTCTCCAGAAAGGTTCGGGTATTTCTTGATTTCTACTGTTCCGTGTCAGCGTCAACGCTCTCCTATTGTGACGTTATGTTTTCTTTTTGAATTGTCAGAAATTTCAGTCTGAAACAAGATAAAACCAAAAGCATGAACAATTTGATGCAAATAGACATTTGTGACATAACCTCAAAATACAGCGCTGACACGGAACAGTCGAAAACTATGAAAATCAAGGAGGCCATAAAGGCGTAATACAAGTGTAGGAACGACTGACGATACGGCCCTAAACTGTACCAGATTGTTGCGTCCCCAAGCAGTGATAACTTCCAGGTCTCTCGTCAGAGAGGAAGTTCTTCTTATCTTCAGCTCACTGGAAGAGTTCGACACTCTGAATTCCAGCATTTAGAGAGCTATCACCAGCAAAGCTGTGGATCGGATAGATCATACAGGAAAGTAGGTCGCTGAATGAAAAGAGGTACAATGCCGGAGCCAAGACCGATTCCTGGAGAGCACCCGCGTTTACATTGTGGAATAGGAGAACTCGTCAATTACGACGGATATCTTGCGGCCAGAGAGGAAGAAATGATGGATTAAAAAAACGTGCTGCTTCATTTCTGCACATTTAAGCCCATTGGAAAGATATTTCTCTTCATATTACTTACTTCATAAATTGACAAAGATAGCATTGTAATATGATTCCTGATTTTTTTTGCTGTGACCTGATCACAAGCTCCCTTAAATTACTCCCGAAAATCTTCATAAAACCTCAAGTCATACAGGGTTTGAGAAAGTTTTGTACTTTTTTTAAATACATCTGAGGTTCAGTTCTTGAACTGAGGAAGTAGAATAACAGAGAAAAAGCGCACGTGGTTCTCTTACCTTTCGAGAAACTGTATTACTCTAATTAATAGAATATTCGCCCCCAGAGTTATCTTCCGGAGAAAGACCAAGTTATCTTTATCTAACGTTTACTGATATGAAGAATCCCGGAACATATTTGTTGTCCTGTGTTGTTTGTTTATCAAATGTCACCACCTGGTACAATTTGAGATGATTCTCCAGGGAAGAGAGGATCACGCCCACTTTATCCAAGTGCTTCTACTTCCTCGTCTTCAAGAGCAGGGATCCACAAAGAAAACGTATACTGAGAGGCCTCTTAACGAGCAATATTTTTGTTGCAATATATCGCTACAATATTATAAGAATCTGACAAAAGTGTACCTGTCGCGGAAGGTTATACTTACATTACATTAAGTAGGATTCCGAACGTTCAGCAGGTAATATTAGAGGAAGCAAAGTCTATATTTACATTGCATTGTTTATGACAACAATTGCGTAGTTTTAGTGCATAGTTTTGTCTCATTAGAAAAATATCATGACCTGAAATCGTCTAGCAGCACAAACTCTTTGAAAAAATATTACTAAAAATAAAAATTTAATGACACAACTGTCAAAAGATTAACTTTATGTCAAGTCCACTTCTGCAGTAAAATATTGCCCGTTTAAATGCTCCTATAGGGAAATCGATTATTTTAAATGCTTTACGAACATAATACCTTGCACCAAAAGACAGGCCGATGACAACTGCGTCTCAGGCGACGAATGTGCCGAATTGGAGTTTGAATCCATCTCCCTGGGCGGTGACTTTTCATGCTTGCTTGTAACGTCACCGTTGGATAAAGCCAATAGCAAACCGACGGCTCTATTATCATTTCGATCCGGGTTATCCATGTGCGGCTTTTCTGGCTGTTGGTGGTCATCGTTAGGCGACAGCATGTTCTCGTCTCCGGAAGTCATGTACGAATCTGTGGAATTGAGTCGGTTCCTACGCGCCGATTGGCTCACAGTCCTCGCTCGGCCCTTTCTTCTTCTTCGTTTAGCCTTCGGTCCCTCTTGCTGTTTGTCTTCTTCTTTTGGTGTTGTCGGACCGGGCTCGGATTCCCTTCGATGAGCTTGCTTCTCCTTATGTTCTTGTTTTCTGGATTCCGCCTTTTCCATTTGTTCGATAGCCCTCAAAATTGCCTCCAATTTTCGTTCCTCGCGGCTCAACTTCTTTGATTTCATTTTTTCCTCCTTGGTATCGGACTTTTCGTCTTCCTTGTCAGATTTGTACTGGGACGATCGTCTGGTAGTGATAGGGGGTGGAAGCGGGCTTTTCACTTCTTCTTTTGCCTACGAATAATGACAAATTCTAGTACAAGCTCCCACGAATGTTGGAAACAACCCAAACTCCCAAAACTGGTACGAGAGATGTCTTTTAAGTTTTGCATATAGAAACATAGTAGGCCGCGCGGATCGAACGTCAGTACTGAATCTTAACCTCACTCTTTAGTAAACTTAAATTCAAAGTTTCACAACAATACGTGCAGTGTTCTCACTACAGTGAATTTTTAAGTGTCACCAAGTCATTAGAAACATGGAACTCAACCGAGAATGTTTTCGCGCCATAATTTATTACAACTTTCAGAGACAATTATTGCAACAAGAATGCCTTGCTGAGTTACTGTCTGTTTTCGGAAACGAAGCGCCACATCAGTCGACAATTTCCCGTTGGTATGGAGAATTCAAACGTGGACGGGTGAGTCTTAGCGATGATCCCAGGGTGGGTGCACAAAAAACGGCAGTCACCAAGGAAAACGTCGATGCTGTGCGCAAACTCATCGTTGAAGGTAGGCATGTGACATATCGTGAGATTGAGGCGTCCTTGAAGATCTCAAAGACCTCAATTCATAAAAATTGACATGAAGAATTAGGAGTACGTACGAGTAAGAAAATTAGTTTCTCGTTGGATACCCCACCTGTTGACTGAAGAGCAGAAAGCAGCCAGGGTTAATTGGTGTCAAAAAACAGTTCACCGTTTCAATTCCGGAAACTCAAAAAATGTGTACAGCATTGTTAGTGGTGATGAATCGTGGATTTACTGTTTTGAACCAGAAAATAAACGAAAGTCGGCGGTTTGGGTGTTCCAAGGTGAAGAAAAGCCAACAAAAGTCATCCGTTCTCGAAGTGTTTCGAAAAAGATGGTCGCGACATTTGTGTCAAAAGAGGGTCATCTTGCAACAATTCCTCTTAATGAGCAAAGAACTGTTCCTGCGGTTTGGTATACCACCATTTGTTTGCCAAAAGTCATCACCGAGCTTCGAAAAATCAACCCCGAAAGAAGAATCATCCTCCACCAAGACAATGCAAGCTCGCACACAGCCCAAAAAAGAAGGAAGTATTTAACGGAAGAAAACCTGGAATTATTGGACCATCCTCCATATAGTCCCGATCTAAGTCCTAACGATTTCTTTACTTTCCCGAAAATTAAAAACAGACTGCGTGGTCAAAGGTTCCAGTCACCAGAAGAAGCAGTTAACGCATTCAAAAATGCCATTTTGGATCTGCCAGCAAACGAGTGGAATAAGTGCTTCGAAAATTGGTTCGAGCGCATGCAGATGTGTATTAATCTTCGTGGAGAATACTTCGAAAAACAATAAAGTCATTTAAAACTACCTACCTTGTTTTATTTCCATATGCAAAACTTAAAAGACATCCCTCGTATAGATGACACGAGGAAACATTTTCATCTCATTTGATTTCAACAAAACAAGCCATTTTTGAGAAAACTAGTCTGATTTCAGTACTGTTTTACAAATTTCGGTGGTGCTGGATACGGATTCCGCCATTCTGATAATACGATAAATTTTATAACAGATTTGTAATCAGCGATTCGATCCCCAATTATATTTTTTTAGATCACTTAATCAAGTTTTTTCTCAAAAATAACAATAACAAAATAACTTTAGTGGGATCAAGCAATAATACATTTAGGCTTTCACGAAATCAGAATTAAGAGCTCTATTCATCTGTGCAAAATATCTAATATGGCACCCATAAGAAAAAATAAAGTTCAATGAAAACAACTCACGAAAAATAAAATTGAAATTCTAATTGTAACACTTCGTAGCGGAGAAAACTGGCATTGTTTATGTTGGAACATATTTTGAATTCTCATCTCAAAGTCAGAAAAATACGGTTTTATGGAAATTCGGTTTCGTTTCGTTTACCTTCGAAAACATTCTAAAACACCCAGTATGCATTCTAGAGATTGACATCTTCGGGAAATATATTGAAAAGTGTTTTGAAGTGTAATTATCGCCATATGATGATTCAAAAATGAAGATTCTGATGCGAAGGATCCTTCTTTCCCTTACCTTTTCTTTCTTCACTTCTGGCACATCAGCGACTTCAGCTTCCTTCTTAAATTCTACTGGCGGCGCAGGTGATGCATCCACCAATTCTTGCTTGAATTCGATTTCTTCTTTTACTTCCTCCTTTTTCACCTCAATCTCGCTGTCTTCCCTCTCCTCTCGCTTAGTATCCACAGTAGGTTCATGTTTGACAGTGACAGCCGGTGGTGGTGGATCGACTATTTCTTGCTTAACCAGCTTGACAGGTGAAGGTGTCCGGGGCTTTGAAGCAACAGCGGGGGCGGACGGCGATGGGGTTGGCGGCGGCTCCTGTTTCAGCTGCTTCGCCGTTTCCGGTTCGTGCGCGTTATTAGAAGATACCGTTCGTCTGCCTCTTCGCTTTCTGCTATGCACCTTTGATAGAACAATAAATGCGTTAGATTTATTGAAGCGCGAGTTATGGAGGAATGACGCAACGATAGTTTTTCTGTGATAATGAGTCGCATGCGATAATAGGCTTATGTCCACTATTGTAATTTAAAAAAAATAAAATTAAAAGAAATAGGCATCTAGTCACGTGACACTGGTCCTAAAGTATTACGTCAAGCAGTGTCGAACATCTTGTTGACATTTTTATACAGAGAGGCTCTCCCGCAAGAGACATTTTTAGTTTTTGCCCTTTTTGACTAGTGATTTGAATATATCTTGGAAAACAAGTTTAAATCGCTATGGAATCAGGATTCATCAAAGCAAACAGCACTCAAAATCGACGCCTTATACTGGGAAAATGTTTCGCAGCCAGCAGTGATATTTGTTCATCAGAATTCTGTAATGTCAAAAATTTTATGTAAGTACATATAAATGTAAAATATATGTTTTATACTCAAATGGTATTATTTCAGTTGTGTATAAACATAGGACATAGAGATGATGCCCTGCACACTGTGTTACTCCAATACATTTTACTTCCCGGAATTACGGGATCCCGTATAAAAACGACGAATTTTGAATCCCGAGAAATCCCGGGATTATAACCTATAATTTTTTTACACTGCTTAATCTCACCTGGCGTCCACTTGGTAGCCAACCAATTTGGTGGAGCGATCAGCACTATGCATGCTCGAAAATGTGGCGACCGTACTCTGGTGTCTCGGGTAGTGATGTGTAGTTCGCGAACGAACTAGTGCAAACGAACGATTTTTATGACTGAACTAAGTGAACTATTTCATCGTTCCTGAAAAACTCATTCACTCGTTCACCATGAATGATTGGTATTACACGATCCCTATTTTCCGTCGGATGTTTATGTTGTTTACTTGTTTACTAGAAAATGTATTATAAGTTTGCTATAGCCAATAAAAGTTAAGAAAAACATGCTTAATAATTAATTTTAAATCCCAGGACCAGTCCCGGGATTACAAGAATGGCAGTCCCGAAATCCCGGGACTCGAATATCTTACGAGATTCGATCCCCTAGTTTTGACGTATTAACATGAATTTAAAATCTGAAACATGCATTGAGGAGCATATGTGATGTAACAATACAAATTTATAAAAACAGTAAACACACCACTGTTTTGTTTGTATTTAGATTGAATATTTATTGAGATCAACATTGGCAATTTCACAAATATATCACACCATAGACCATATCTATAAGTCCACTATAAATCGTGAAGATTTTATCATATTTTACAAACAGTAAAAATGTATGGTGAACTGCCAATGCCGTCGCTCATATGTGGGTGATACTTTCTCTTGTCTTCTGTACCGATAATAGGAAAAATTACGCCATTACACTAACATTTTATATAACGGATTTATTCGAGTTATCCGTAATATCATCTTGGTCTATTGCAAATGTTACAAGTTTTCCTAATACAAGTTTTACCACCGATTTCAAAAATATTACCCCTGATCTCTTCCTCGTTTCAATCTGACGACTGAGATTAGTCAACCCCTGAATGCTGTAATCTATGAAATTCTGGGACGTGCCAAAAATGTGACGCATGTGGAGCAAACCTGAAGGGTTAGTTGATTTTTTTATATACGATATATCACATATACTCAAAAAATACCTCTGTCACTTCTCCATTCTTCTTGACAGTTCCTTTGTTCACCGTGCACTCTTCTGCATTTCCGCACGCACACGGTATCTGTGAGGTGCCGATCGCGGCAAGGTCATGAGATTCATGCTTGATAGTCAGCTCACAATTCTTCTCAACTATCTCCGTTGATACTATGTACAAATGGAGCACGCCCTTGTCAATGCAATGCCTTAGTTCGGCGTTCGGCTTGCATGATCGCCTGATAAACCTGTCAACAAAGGAAGTATTGTACAGTATTTCTCGTATGTGTACTCTCATGCATTTTGACAAAAATAAAGAATTAAGGCAGGCTTCGAATATTCTTAAATATTTTAGATGATGCCTCAATTGGTAATGATTTTTGTTTTTAAACAAAACCAATAATCTTTGAAATACAATATGCTTGTTAAGGTCAGAATATATGTAGAAGGAAATTATGTTTTATAAATAACATTCTCTAGATGTCCCCTTCAGCCGTTTCTACAGATGAGCGCTCGTCGGCTAAGATTTACTTTTTTTATATAATTGGAGCCCAATTTCACCAATATCTCAAGATATTTTTTCCTTCAGGCCATTAATTGCATATGGATTGTTTGAATCGGCTTTATCCTTGAGATATCAATACAAGAAATGTCAAGCTGTGTTAGATTACATGACCTCGCAAGTGAGTGACTATTATCATTGCGAGAAAACGTGACTGAGGCCAGTCCTATCTTGTTGAAATAATATATTGTTTATGTGCATATTAGTCAATTGGGGTTCTGAAAAGTCCATATTTCCACTATTGTAATTTTCATGAAAAAATAAGAGTAAAATTTCTTACTGTACAATTCTTATACATTCCTCCATCATGATTCTTAATTAAGGCGGGGTTTGCAGGGTAATCATTCTGGGAATTTTTGAATTAACAATTCTATTTTGACATTGAACAAAATTACGCAGGGAGATTACACGATTGAGTTTGCCGCCTTAAATTATCAGTCATCGAAATGACATCATTGTGAAATGGTGCTGATTTTTATTACGTCTGTACGTATGGAGACCCCATTTACATTTGCCGTGAATGTTTACGTTTGCATACAACACTATGAACCCCAAAGATTAATCGGGTCACAATGAGGAGTAATATTGTAATAACTGCGGATGTGAACCAAACACCATTTACTTCGTAACTGATTTATTTCTCCTTTCTAGTCAAGGTCGACCAACTGCCTGACAAAAACCATACATAAATAAATACCAGTTTATTAATAAATTCTACAACTATGGAATGCTGGAAGAAGAGAAAGCTAGTTAGATTATGCTATATCTAAGGTTATATAAGAGTTAAGTGGCACAATAGCTTCAATCTAAACTTCGCCCTTTAATAAAGAGACGTTTATTACTATTATTATATGGAGACAAATACATCAAAACGTGATGAAGCAGTGAGAAGAAGTAACCCATCATTCAAATCTCTTTCCTGTCTACTTTTGTCAGTTTGACCCCCAACCACACAAGCGCCGCCTAGCAGCATAAATAACTGTCACTACTTATTCTTCAAGATTTCTCGCAATCAACATACCTTGCGCTGTTGCCATAGGTCCTGGTATCAACACACACCTCAGTGTTATCCTTGCTCAACCTGTAGAAGAATAGGAACGGTCCTGGACGCTGCGAATGTTGCCTGGTGTTGAGTGAGCCGCCGGCGTTACGATGTTGAGTGGACAACATGTACTTTCCTCGCAGTTCGATGACTGGCGTATCAGGCGGTAAGTGTGCTGTTGCTACCAAGTACCTGAAAGACATTTGAATTTATTTGAAACGCCAATTGCCTTCTCATAAAAAAATGTTGAGAGTAATGTCAAACAAAAAATGCTTTTATCATGTAACATCTATTAAATTAGACAGAACAGAAACTGAGACAACAAATAAAAGTTCATCATTTAGTGACATTCTAAGTAATCCATATAGTCAAGTAACAGAGGCGTACTTCGTGCTGTTTCGTAGTTTCCAGCGAACCTGACGCACTGATGTGATTTGTTTCGCATAAGATAATTAGGAAAGTTTCAGGACACAATCAGAGCTAACCAATCGATAAGGCTACTCATAACTACGAGCCCCTTCCCACTTCAGTTGGCCCAACTATTGAAATCTTAGTTTCTTTCTTATCAAATACAAATAATAAAAATGTATTTATGGGTTTAAAATACTAACAATGAATATTTTGATAATATATAGTAGAAAACACCAACTTTATCACTCCCTAATCAAATTTGCATTTTCAAAATGGGTAGAGAAAAGGTTATTAGTGAGAAAATTCGGTTACTGACAATTAAATTTTTTAATTCTGGGAAATCAAACTTAGAAATTGCAACTTTGTTAGTCTTATCGAGGTACATTGTGAGAAATATTGTAAGAAGATATAACGTAACTGGTTCAGTTAATATTAAGCCACGATATGGGAAAAAAAGTAATATCACAAATGCCGACCGAAGAGCATTAAGAAGAATAATCCTGAAATACAGGCGTGCCAATTATTTACAATTAAGTGCTCTGTGGAGTGACGCTGTCAGAAGGAGAATTTCGAGGTCCAGAACTCATAGAGAGACCCACAAACTGGGATTTAAGGTAAGTTTTCTCATAAAAAAGTGAAGTAAAAACCCTAAAGTTGCACAACTTGTTTATAGGCCAAAGAAAAGCCACTATTAACTCCACTGCAAAAGAAAAATCGGCTTAGATGGGCTAAAGAACATAGACAATGGACACCTCAACAATGGTGTGCAATACAATGGAGTGATGAGGCCCGATTCGAATTTTGTGTTGGTGACAGTCGAGTAGAGTTATTCGCAAAAAAAAATGAAGCATTCCATGTTGACTGTCTATAGAGAAAAGTGAAATTTCCAGCATCCATTATGGTCTGAGGCAGTATGTCATCAAAAGGAGTAGGAAAACTTCATTTTATTGATGGAAATGTGCATACAAACAAATATTTGACATCCGGCCAAGATTTTTTGTTTCAAAGATGGTGCAGCGTGCCATACCTCAAAAAAGGCTATAAAATGGTTGGAAGAAAATAATGTACCACTTTTGAAATGGGTTTCTAGCAGTCCAGATCTGTCACCTATTGAAACTTTGTGACACGAGATGAAAAAGGTTATACGACAACATCCTGCTCGTACAATCACCGAATTGAGACAAAAGCTTCAAGAAATATGGGATTGTTATACACCAAATGTTTGCCAAAACTTGGTTAACACTATGCCCCAAAGAATTTCAGCCGTAATAAAAAATAAAGGTGATGTTACCCAATGGTAATCTTTCAATTGTTGCTTTGTTAACTTCGCGCATTTATTCGCACATTGTTTATTTGTTCAGATGTTCTATTAGTTATAGGTCTAAGTGATTGCAAATATGTATTTTTTACGACTAGAGTGTATCTAAAATGTTTTTGAGAAAATAAATTGTTTTAGAAGTAAATAGTTTCGTCATGTTTAGTTTATAAAGGCATAGTTTTGTACAAATCTTGAAGTGGGCCAACTGAAGTGGGAAGGGGCTCGTATAATTCAAGTCAGGTAGGCATTAAATTGAATATTTAATCAATAATAATCCTGGTATGCTACTGTCCAACAAAGTACACCACACAAATCCTAAGATATTTGACTACACTACCGGTCAATTTTAATGATAATAATTCATATAGTGATAGTTCATGTTATGCTGATCAAATGTTCCAATGGACCCAAAGACCAGAATTCATTTTATTAGTAATACATGAATAAAAGACGACTTAGTTGTAAAATTGTGTAGGGATAAGGCACCAATACTAATCTTTGACACCCTGTATCTCGAATAGTAATTAACTTGCATTAAAATTGACCAGTGAGCAAATAATATATATGTTGTGCCTGGTATCTTAAATAGGAAACAGTTTATCCAAAGGTCAACAGCAATGAGTTTCCATTACTTGAAAGTCCTTCAATTCAAACAAAACTTCTCATGCCTTTTTCCTCATAATAGACGTCGCGTAAAAAATGAAACTTTAAAAATAATTGAATGTGGCTTGATTAATATCCGGATGTCCAGAAAAAAATGTCTGTTTGCAAACTTCGTAACTATAGAACCTTTCGCACCGTTCTCACCAAAGCAACTCGACTTCAACCCGATTTCGACTTGTTTTGAGGTTGTGAAAAAAGTCAATAACTGTGCGCTATGTGGGTGCGATGCGGAATATATAAGCCAACGGCCGGGAGAGGGAAGCAGAGTTGAGTGAATGGCGCGTCATAATAATTCATAAATAAGTAGTCAAGACATAAATAGTGGTGTACGTAAATGTTTTAATCTAGTTAAGTTTAAGTTAGTTGTTTTGTGTTTACATCGGACGATCAGTGAAGGAAGAATAACGCGATTGGTTGATCTGAAAATTGCCGATTTAAAAAGAGAGCTGAAGGAAGATATTTTCATTTTTACCGGTGCAGGGGATATTGGTTTAATGCTGCAACCTAGAAGGAAAGCTCGTGAAAAATTGTGCCAATCTAGAAGGAAAACTCTTGGAGTTACACGAAAGTACAGCTAAATTAGAAGAGATGTTTTTCGAAAATACCGCCAATTTAAAAAAGAATTGCTGGCAAGTTTGCCGCTTTAGACCCCAAGACCATGGAAAAATCAAGTGAGGCTGGAGCTTCTGTTGGGTCAGCTGGTCATCTGCAAATGAAACGCAATTTGATGGTACAACGCCTTGGAATGTCTACCGGCGTCAGTTTGTAGCTATTCTTCAAAAAATATCACCACTTAGAAAATGTCTACCATACTCAACTAAAGAATCGGTTCCAGAAGTTAGGCGAGTCCTTGCAGGAGTTCGAAGTAATATTGCGCGGTTGGTACGATTAGCATATCCCGATGTCCAGGAAAGGATAATGGAGCGATTGGCATTTCAAGCATTTCTGGATGGACTTCGTGATGGTGAAATGGGGCAAGCAAGCCTTACTATTAGCACATCCACCTAAGCTATTAGATGCGCTAACTCGAGCCTCACAATTCGAAGCCGCTAAAAACACAAATAAAAGCCAGGTCCGAGTCCGCCAGATGGTACCAAGAGATAAACGAGTTCGAAGACTCCGTCAAGTACATTGTTACGAGGGATGACTTTATTGTTTTTCGAAGTATTCTCCACCAAGATTAATACACATCTGCATCCGCTCGAACCAATTTTCCACTCGTTTGCTGGCTGATCCAAAATGGCATTTTTGAATGCGTCAACTGCTTCTTCTGGTGACTGGAACCTTTGACTACGCAGGAACAGTTCTTTGCTCATTAAGAGGAATTGTTGCAATATGACCCTCTTTTGACACAAATGTCGCGACCATCTTGTTCGAAATACTTCGAGAACGGATGACTTTTGTTGGCTTTTCTTCACCTTGGAACACCCAAACCGCCGACTGTCGTTTATTTTCTGGTTCAAAACAGTAAATCCACGATTCATCACCACTAACAATGCTGTATGCATTTTTTGAGTTTCCGGAATTGAAACGGTCAAGCGTTTTTAGACACCAATTAACCCTGGCTGCTTTCTGCTCTTCAGTCAACAGGTGGGGTATCCAACGAGAAACTAATTTTCTTACTTCTAATTCTTCATGTAAAATTTTTTGAATTGAGATCTTTGAGATCTCGTGATATGTCACATGTCTATCTTCAATGATGAGTTTGGGCACAGCATCGACGTTTTCCTGGGTGACTGCCGTTTTTGGTGCACCCACCCTGGGATCGTCGCTAAGACTCACCCGTCCACGTTTGAATTCTCCATACCAACGGGAAATTGTCGACTGATGTGGCGCTTCGTTGCCGAAAACAGACAGTAACTCAGCAAGGCATTCTTGTTGCGATAATTGTCTCTGAAAGTTGTAATAAATTATGGCGCGAAAATTTTCTCGGTTGAGTTCCATTTTTCTAATGACTTGGTGACACTTAAAAATTCACTGTAGTGAGAACACTGCACGTATTGTTGTGAAACTTTGAATTCAAGTTTACTAAAGAGCGAGGTTAAGATTCAGTACTGACGTTCGATCCGCGAGGCCTGCTACGTTTCTATATGCAAAAGTTAAAAGACATCCCTCGTAAGGAACTTGATGGTGAACGTCGCCGCCAGAACAGCAAGTTGGAATGATGGAGATGTGGAAAAATAGGGCATGTTTGGAGACGCTGTTTAGAGGATTGTAAGCATTGCCAGCGGGCAGAGGAGAAAGCTGCCCAAGCATTAAGAAGCACTATCGTTGGTGATACTTGGCAAAATGAAGATCTCATTAAAGACCAAGAGGCCAACCCCGATCTCCAAATGATTCTAAACTGGATGAAAGAACAACGGAAACCAGCCTAGGAAGAACTTGCCAAGTATTCTCCTACCATAAAATCATATTGGACACAATGGAATTCTCTAGTTATGGCCGACGGACTCTTACTGCGTAAAATGGTGGACCACGACGGCAAAGAGGAAAGAAGGCAAATCGTTATCCCCCGATGTCAGATCCCGGAGCTGCTAGAGGAAATCCATCCCGGTGTGTAAGGAGGTCATCTCGGAGTTACAAAAATTCTGGGAAAAGTGAGGGAAAGATTTTACTGGGTCAATAGCAAGGCGGACGTAAAAGATTGGTGCAGAAAATGCATTGTGTGTGTGCGGCAAGTAATGGACCGCAAAGGAAACCAAAAGTTTCGATGTTTTGAGCCTTATAATTTATCCTCAATAACATGTATCTTACCTAACTTCACTCGGTGGTTGAGCGTGCACTCGGCACTTGTGCACCGTGGGGTCAAAAACCTGGGTTAGTTCCTGATGAGCGCCATTCACACGTAAGCTGGATATACGCGCCCTTAGTTCAGGAGAATAATGGTTCGTGACTGCCTCTTCGTACTTCTCTATCCATTGACGGAGCTGTGGCAGTTGAGAACTCCATGTATCTTGATTCTCGTCGTCCGAATGCGATTTCGCCTGCGCTTTGGTCTGAAACAATGAAATAGTACATTAGTAGATATCTAGGTGGGCAAGAAGGCCAATATATAATTTGCATGCTTTCATTATACGTTATAGTGTCATTCACCCTAACCCATACGTAAATCAATTGTGACGTTTCATAATCATTTTATTAACACTTTGGGACAACTAGTGGCTGGATGTCAAACTGACAAACTCAAAAGATTACGGCAGGGGTATCTTGCAGACTAGGTAGTTTTTAGTGTGCAAACAGTTCATTCCACGTTTGCTCGCTATGATCGCTCTTCACTGACGTTTAAGTAACACGTACAGCTACAAAGCGAGTTTACAACAAGCGTACAACAGCTTGTGCTAAGTTAAAGTCTTGTAGGAAAACCTACGTTATGTCACATAAGGGCTAGGAAATGTCAAAAAAAAAAGACAAATTGTCACTTAATAAGTTACATAATTAGGAAAAAAAAATCAATGCATACTATTAGTTTTGTATACGCACTATTTCGGATACATAGCTTGCAGCCTTCAGATTTGTTCTGAAATTAATCTCACCTTGCACACCTTTTTCCGGACGATTTTCCTGTCTTTGCGCTTCTGCCGTCTCTGAGCAGCTTCTTTAGCAACTTCTCGTCTTTGTCTAGCACTGTTCTTGATTTCTTTGTTGTCCTTCCTTTTGTTTTGCAAACGGCTTTTGCTTGGATGGTTGTTATGCACTGCAAAAATGGAGCTTTAAGAAACTTAATAAACAGAATTTTGTTATAACACCATCAAAAGAAAACTGAACAATTTTATGACCGTAGATGTTAGGGAAAACTGATTCACTACCGTTTCGATTACAACTGCAGCCCTTTCTAACGTGCCATTTTCTTTTCTATATTCTTCAACATCAGTGGCTTACATACTAAAAAAGGGCAACGGGTAATTTGTCGTTTTTCATGCAGACAACAATGAATTGCATTTTTCTTGTCAAGGTTGCAACTGTGAAAGACTCGACAAAAGGTTAACTAAAATGGTACGCCCTTGACCAGTGAGTTGTCATACTGGCAGTGAAAAGATTGTAGAAAGCCATACGAGAAAATTTTCTAAACGGTTTTCGTGATGTGCATATAATGTAACATCCAGAAAACATAATCTCATTTTAGAAATTTTGCACGAATACAATACTTCCTCACTATTGGCGTTGGAAGTAAAAGGGAATTATTCTCTTCGCCTACTGAATTTTAAACATTAGCGCATTTTTAAAAGATATTCAGTTCTATATGATTCGCTTCTCCTTTTATCAGTCCACCTGTTCAGGTGAAACATTGATCTATATTTGAAACATAATTAGACTTCACTTGCATTCTGACGCTCGATTTGTATTTTTATTGTTTAGGCCCGATTTCACTAACAAGAGATCAAAATGGACCAATGAGAAGGCACCTTTCTAGTGATGGATCTAATAAATATAGTCGATTTTGTCTCAAATTTCTCTCAAACTAGCGAAAAAAATATAAGATTTGTGCAAGAAGGACCTCTAATCCTCATACTAAATCAAGAAATTCTTTATATCACCTGGTTTAGCTACAAAAACATGTTTTTTCACTTGATCCTGAGATCAAAACATATGATTCGGATCAACAATGACCAATTAGAAAGCGTTTTAGTAAAACTGGTTCAAAAATTGGCCAATTGGAGAAGGACCCTTCAACCCATGCTCAAATCGTGGACCAAGTCTGATAAAACGCCAAGACTGATATGACATCAATTATTGAAAAGAACAGTATTATAGTTGTAGTCACCGTTCTTGGGTCTACGTCATCAACGCCATATGAAATAAGTAAACAGATCGAGTCTCGTACCATAGGCGGAACACTCCGCAGACTAATATTCAGCGCATCTGCTACTCTCTCCAGTACGCATGAAGTGGGTAACGGGGACCTCTGTTTTCATTCACTTCATGGAAATACTCTAATAAATTGAAACAGCGAACGAGCTGTCGGCCTTCATTGATCGTATTTGCGGGCATTGTACAATTTTATACTGAAGACTGATAACAGGACAACTCGAATTGCACGCTGATGTCAAGTATTTCATTAGGATGATTTAACGCCATGAGGAATATGTTAATCAATCCATAAACACAGTGTTTACACTGAATCTTGCTCAATTTGTTACAAGCTTGAAAGAAATCTGTGGTTGTTTATGTACACCAAGTTCGATAGCTCGATCTCTCGATGCACATAACAGGTGGGCTGAAAAGTCCGTATCGTTTCTATGAGATGGCGCCACCAGAATAAAATCCATACGCTTCTTAGCTAGTACCAACCTTCAAAAGATGCCTGTCAAAATTTGACAGCTGTCGGATCATTAGTTTTTGAGTTATCGTATCGAGAGTGACGCTACTTTTGTTATTTTTGAAAACCATGGAAAGTCAAGAGTTTCGTGTGTTAATGAAACATTATTTTTTGATGAAAAAAAGTGCCGTCGAATGCAAGAAATGGCTTGATGAGTGTTATCCGGACTCTGCCCCGGGCGAAGCAACCATTTGCAAGTGGTTTGCTAAATTTCGTACCGGTCACATGTCAACTGAAGACGACGCACGCAGTGGACGCCCAAAAGAGGTCGTTACGGACGAAAACGTGAAAAAAATCCACAAAATAATTTTGGGAGACCGCCAAATACGGTTGATTGACATAGCTGAGGCCTTAAACATATCAAAAGAACGTGTCAGTCACATCATTCATGAATATTTGGATATGCGAAAGCTCTGTGCGAAATGGGTGCCGCGCAATCTCACATTTGACCAAAAGCAACAACGCATCGACGACTCTGAGGCCTGTTTGGAGGTGATTTTGCGCAATAAAACCGATTTTTTTCGCCGATACGTCACCATGGATGAAACATGGCTCCACCACTACACACCGGAGTCAAATCGCCAGTCGGCCGAGTGGACGGCTGCATCCGAACCACCTCCGAAACGTGGAAAGACGCAACAGTCAGCAGGCAAGGTTATGGCCTCTGTTTTCTGGGACGTGCAAGGAATTATTTTCATCGACTATCTTCAAAAGGGCCAAACTATCAACAGCGACTATTATATAGTGTTACTGGAGCGTTTGAAGGCCGAAATCGCCAAGAAACGGCCACAAATGAAGAAAAAAAAAATCTTGTTTCACCAGGACAATGCGCCGTGCCACAAGTCCATGAAAACGATGTCGAAATTGCATGAATTGGGCTTCGATTTGCTCCCCCATCCACCGTATTCTCCGGACCTTGCTCCAAGCGACTATTTCCTCTTCTCAGACCTTAAGAGAATGCTCACCGGAAAAAAATTTCACAGCAACGAAGAAATCATCGCCGAAACTGAAGCCTATTTTGAGGACAAGCCGAAGGATTACTACCGGAAGGGTATCGAAAAACTTGAAGAACGTTATAATCGCTGTATAGCCCTTGAAGGCAACTATGTTGAATAATAAAAGCGAATTTTGACGAAAAAAATATTTTTTCATTGAAACGATACGGAATTTTCAGCCCACCTGTTAAAATTACATCTCGCCCCTGGATTGGTTTTTAGTTTTAAGGCTTTTTTATTATGTAACCGGGTAAGTACAGCCATCTAGAGGATGCATTCTGTTTGTTTGTCATTTTAAGAGTTTTCTATATAATCAATTTTATCGTTCACCTGTAGATGGCGGTACATACATAGCCTTATGTTAACTGAAGTTATAAGTGGCTATGTAATAAAATGTAAAAACCACGAAGCTCGCCATAAGCAAATTTTGTCTGCTATTGATTTAAATAAAAATGAATAGGTGTCAAAGTGGCGATCCCCGTTATCAATAACGTAGCACAAGGCGAATGTCATACGATCAGTATTTACTATGATCCAAATCATCAGTATTTACTGAGGATTCCATCAATGACAGCAAATTTCGACGAAGTCTGATGCAACAATAATTATTGATGTCCTGACTACACAGTCAATAAATATCACATTCCATTATAAATATCGATGGATCACAGTAAATACTGAGAGTCTGACAGTGACTGGATATCTTAATACTGAAAGAAAATTTGAGGTTCAGTCGTATAGTCCTTTGAAAGCTAACCTGGATGCTCTGCATCTGAAGAATCCGTATCGCTGACTGTCTCCTTGACCGCAGCAGCTGTTGTTTTAGTCTCCTTAGTCACCCCCTTCTCCTTCCTCTTTCCAACTGCGCCTCCGCCCACGCCACCTATAGCTTCACCTTGCTGGTGTACCCCTAGCACACTTTGCTGCTGCTGTTGCTGCGCAGCAACGATCAGGTGCCGTTCGCGCAGCCACTGTTGCTGAACGGTGCGCGCGCGTTGTCGGTCGATCGGCTTCCGAGGGTCACACACCTCGCACAGGTACTCGTCTGGTACTTGGCGGTTCTTCACTACGCACTGCACGTGCTGCCATACCTTGCACCGGTCGCATTCGACCATGTAGCCATCATCGTGTAGATAGCCACTGTAAAGTGCATGAAATTAAGAATCTGGAGCCTTTATTCCATAAATATAAATACATAAAAAATACACATTAAAATAGTTTGAATTTTTTATCATAAACATATTTTATTACTATGGAATGCAACTCGGCTTTTTTCGAGACTAAATTACACACGAAACGGATTTTTTAACATTTAAATCAGATAATATATCAATTATTCTTAAAAGAAAGGCATCAAGTAGATTGACTCTGCACTTCCCACGCAACGCCGTCATCAGCCCATGAAACACTATGTTCGGTACAAGTTGGCTAATATTAAAAAAAATAGGTTAACTATGAACATGTGTAACAGAGGGATTAAATAGTCCAATCATTCTAATAGGCCCATACATTAGTGATGTTCATCGATGTCCTACGATGCTGATAACCTCGAGAAAATAAAGTGCAAAATTTGTTTTGAGCCTGCGGACAAACGCCCTGTGAAATGCAGTGAATCCAAATGTTATGTATGTCTCCATAACAAGTGTGCTATGATATTGTTATGAACGTTTTTGTTGTGGATGTCAAAAAGTGGCGTTGCCGCAGTTACTGTGAGGATAGTAAGGCGAAGAAATGTGACAGGAGCCTTAGTACAGGCGATCCCGTTTGTGATACTGATATAGTTTTGAAATGGAAATTGATTGTCTGAATAGGGAGGAGCTGTTCAGTGACCGTGAATATACAATAAATATGCAGAAGAAAAGGATAGCTGACCTCGAAGCGAAGCGTCTTCTAAATGTGAGTGACAAAAACCTAATTTTACCTGTCGAGCAAAAAGTGGGCTCTGTTTTATACAGCCAAGCAGTAAAAATAAATAAACTGAATGATCTTCCTTCTGTAATAATAAAATAAAGTTGTGGTTTCAGTATAGTCCGTGTGAATCTAATATTTTTAGATACAAGCCAGTCAAACATTACTTGTTTCCGAGCGTTGCAGTTTGGTGCAGGATCCACTTGTATGTTGTGATAAGTTGCACTATCAGTAACTATCACATAATTTGGTGGCAAATTTGGAATAAGCTGCTGCTTCAACTATTTCTCAAAATGTATGTAGGACTCATCTAGGTATATAAGTTTGCGGCCTTGTTCTCGGAAGTACTTGATTTTCTGTAGATAGCTGATTCTTAGTTGACGAATGTCCCATTTCTCGATGAGTAGTTTTCTATTATTCTGTGTTTTTTCCATTTGAGAAGCCGAGTTGTTTACCGATTCTTTTCAAAGATCTTTCGCTACCATGCCATTCGAAATCTCCTAGTTTCTTGCGAAGCGGTCCGATTGTTACTAGAGACAAATTTGTTAAATGGAAATTATAGATAATGTTTCTTATATCTGCAGTAGTGAAATTCTCGTTTGACATATCTGTCACGGGAAATTTGGGCTTTCGTGGATTACTAATTTCACCAGAAGACGCTGCGAGTTCTTGTCCATTGCTTTCGGCATCCTTAACCTTTTTAACAATGCGAGTAATACTGGCAATGATACTCCTGTTGCTTTAGCTACTTCGACTTTAATATCTGCCATATTTTGGAAAACGTCACTTCCAGTTTTCAAATTGAGGATGTATCGGTATATTATATTGTATACCACCTCAGTCGTCTGGTCGGACAAAACTTTATTTCTACCCAGATTACTCAAAATAGAAATATTATCACTATTCTATAAACAAAATGTGCGCTTTAACTTCAGCTGTAGGCGTCAGTCGGTACTCGGTACGCTACTGGAATAACGGCGGACGAGGTACCATGCAGTATTGCCGCCGTTCCGTGGGACGCGCTTGTTACAACGCACCATATGATCAAATCTTGGTACGTGCCAGCAACTATAGCATTTCTATTGTACAAGTCTTTGAAGATGGAGATATCCAAAGCTAAATCAATAAAAAATGGATCTCTTATAAGTTGCAATAACACAAATGATTTAAATGGCCTTCTACTTCTACTTTACAGTCTGAAGTAGGAAATAAATAAGTGAAGAATGTCCTCAAAGATTGGGTAAAAAATATGGGAGTCCGTAATAGATTAGAACTAATAGATAGTTTCATTGATACGTATTTGACAACAACCTTGATTGTGAATCAAGTTGCATAAAAATTTGTAGCATATTTATTAGGCATGAATTTATAAATGTTATTATGGAGCTTGAGCCGTCTACTTTCAAAATATTGTTTGCTAAGTCTTTTGTGTTTTCGGTTGGACCAAATGTAATGTAATGGAGCATTCAAATGTAAGTCGTTGTTTCAAATGTAATAAGTTTGGTCACGAGAAGAAAAGTTGTCGTAATGATACATCTATATGTGTATCTCCAAAATGTTCAGAGCAGCACGAGATTAAAAATTGTAAATCCAATGTATTGTGTTGTCCCAATTGCAAGAATCATAATGATGAATTTAAATCTCGATTATCAACTAATCAATCAATCAATAGTAACGGCTGTGCTTGCCTCAAGTTCAAAATACATGAACAAAATAATAATATTCAATATGAATAATCACTGTAGCCCCCTTAAGCTTGATCACCTTTTATTGTTTACTTCATTTGACAATCTTGTTGATTTAGTCTTCTGACAACTATGATGTGATGTGCGTTACTGAGACTTGGATAAACGATGATCAAACAGTTGTTGAGATACCCGGTTTCAAGTTCATACATATGTACCGTGTATGTAGAAGGGGAGGGGTTGGGATATACATTTGTGAACAATTCCCAGTAAACGGGTATTTGATGACTGTTCCATCTGATAGGATTGAGCATTTGTTTGTAGAGTTGTCCATATCTAGATAAAAAATCTTACTTTGGGTAATTTACAGAGCATCTTCTAGTAGTGTAGTCTTATTTATTGATTATCTGGACAGTGTTCTTTCTTTTAAATATACGTGATAATCTTTTTGAGAACTGTATATCGGCTTATGATTCTATTTCACATATTGGTAAATTTGTACTACTACTTATTTAGCTGATCTTTTGACAAATATTGGTGTAAATCCCACTGATGATATCTCGGATCACTGCGTTGTTTTCTAAATTGGCCGTCCATAAATTTGAGCCCAAGTTCGTACAATACCAGGACCTCAAACATTTCTCAAGAACTGTATTTATTTGCGATCTAAATATAAGAGTGGAGTCAAATTTACTATATGAACAATATACACGACAAAATACATTTTTTTAACAAACAAATATTTTTGAATTCCATGCTCCAATGGTAATTGGTACGTGTTACGAAGCCTTATGATCCATGGTTGACGCCAAATGTCAGACTTTTGATGGAAAAACGTGATGCCGCGCTCTATACCTATAAAAAAACGCGTAAGATAAAAGACTTGTCTCATTACCGTGTTTTGAGAAACAGTGTTCTTAATGCAGTTTGGAAAGGAAAACGTGGTTTTTTGTCCTTCCATGCTTCGCAGTCGAATACCAGAGACCTCTGGAAGGCCATTAAATCTGTTGGCACCAATTCTAATACCAGCATAAAAATTCTAGACCATTTGAAGGATTTTAACGCTATCAATAATTACTTTTCATCTGTGTTTACTCCTCCACACAATTGTCCTGCTGTTTAGACCTATATACGAACAGGCTGTAATTCACATTTTGATGTTCATTAAATAGAATGCAGCTGGTAGTGACTACATCTCAGCTGATATGCTCAAAGATTTGCCTTCCCAATATGGCATTGCCAGTCACTCATCTCATAAACTGCTGATTAGAAGTTGGATATTTTCCAAGTGCATGGATACTTTCTATAGTGAAACCTTTACCGAAAGGTAGTGAACCTCAAAACTTTTCAGATCTTAAGCCAATCGTCTGTATACCTGTATTTTCTAAAATTTTGAAGAAAGCTATTAAAACTTAAATATGCGATTAGCGATTATTTTATGACCAATAATATACTCCCTGAAAGCCAATCGGGATTTAGAGCGGGTTATAGCACTACAACAGCTCTGGCTCCTGTCTCAGATGACATTATCAGAGAACAAGATGACGGTAAAGCTATGTACTTCTCTCATTTTATTAGATTTCTCAAGCTTTTGACACCATAGACCACTCGCTTTTATGTTCTAAATTATATTACTATGGATTCAATAATATAGCATTAAATTTCTTTAAAATAAATCTTGCTGAACGTGTTCAGCAAGTGGTGCACTTGGATAACCAATACTCTAATGCTTGCCTTGTTACATCTGGTGTTCCTCAAGGCTCAGTACTTGGCCCAATATTGTTTTTACTGTACACAGCTGATATTCATACCGTTATATCTGACTCTTCTTTAGTAACTTAGGTCAATGATATGCAACTGTATAAGTCTTTTAGCCCCTAATCTACACATCAAGCAGTTCGTGAAACTAATATGGATCTTGAAGAAATTGTGAGATATTCTAAAGGTAATAATCTTAAGTTGAATCCTGATAACTGTAATCTTATGCTGTTTTGTTCTAATAGTATCTGTCCAACTTTATACCATTCCTTAAATATACAGATTCCAGTGGGGGGACAAAGCAAAGAATTTAGGACTAATATTTGTTGAATCTTTTTAAGGAACATGTTGCAACTATTCTGAAAAAAGGTTATATTGTTCTTGAACGTCTTTCTAATACATATATATTGAATTTTAAAACTAGGAAAAAACTTTGTGAGACACTAATCTTTTCCTATACTCTCTTACTGCTGCGTAGTTTATTACTCGCACCTCGATGCTGCAACTAAGAACAGGATGCAAACACTGCAAAACAGTTGTAAATTTGTTTTTAGTTTAAAGAAGTATAATCATATTTCATGTTACGTCAGTGATCTGGGTTGGTTATGTATGGACGAAACTTACTAATATGCTCACTCTTACACATAAAATATTGATTTCTAACTTTATAAAAAGTTTGTAGCTCGCCGTAGTACGATGAATTTCAACTTCAGATATAAGAATTGCCTAGATATCCCTCTTTACAGTAGTACATTTTCCGTCGGTCGTTTATCTATAACTCTATTAAAATATACAATGATTCAAGTGAACATTTGAAAACTGTCCGTGAATAGTATGAAAAAACAAGCCAAACAGCTTCTTCTACATCGTTAGCGTTAGCTTGGCAGATTGTTTCAGTTTATTCTTATTATTTATCTTGCTGTATTTTGTTTTTCATTCATGTATTGTGTTTAATTTCAAATCTTCCTCTATCTCTAACATATTTATAGAATTTTTGGGTGTATTTTTTGTATGCTGCACAATATTCATATGTTGCAATAATCTCGCTAGTTACCGATATTGTTATTGGAGTAGGTGGAGTGGAATAGATTTATCTAGATTCCGCCTATCAGGAATAAAATGTTATTCCAATAAAGACCTTTTATTATTATTATTAGGCAAAGTTTCCATCTAATCACACTCCGCAACAGGCAAGTTGCATTAAGGTCAATTTCTATCTTTAATGTGATTATTCGACTGATATCACCAATGTTGGCTCAGGGTGGGTATTGGAAAGCTGGTAATTTTCTTTGTTGAAATGGCCATTTTGACACTGATCTTCGGAACACCTAGATGGTTATTTTTGTTCAAAGTATCTCAAATATGCATCCATTTGATAATAGCTTCAGGAAAAAGTTGATCTAATGCCAAACTTATTTATTTATTTATTTACTAGTATATACACTATCCGAACGGTTTATTGCACCATTTAACGGATAGGAACACAGGAATCAATTTTAAGACAAAATTGTTCAAAAATAACTTAAAATTGCCAAATGACTTAACCTACTGTTATGTAAAATCTTTTTAAGCTACGCAAATTACAAAAGAACAAATTTACTGCGTTTCTTGCACGTTCATAGTTGTTACATACCACATATATCGGAGAGGAAAGCAAGGCATTGGTTCTAGCTACGTTTAAGTAAAAGTATTTTGAATTGGATCGCGTCTTAGCATTAGGTACATGAATAAGAATCTTACCGAGTAAATATTCCAATCTATGGCATTATTAAGCATTTTATATAAAAATACACAAGCAGCGTAGTTTCTGCGCTTCTCCAAGTTACAGAGGTTATATCTGCTAAGTAATACATCATGCCTGAAGCCAACTTCTGGATACGTACCATCTTCCTTGTGCCACAAATATTTCACAAACCGCCTCTGAATACGTTCAATTTTATTCGAGTGAACTTTATGAACAGGATACCATATTATAGAGCAGTATTCAATTTTGGATCGAACAAATGAATTATATAACGAGATCATGGTATGCACATTATTGAAATACCTACAATTTCTGATAATGAAGCCCAAACTTTTATAGGCCTTGCTAACAACAGCATCAATATGCGAAACAAATGTAAGTTTGGTATCAAAGGATATACCTAAGTCATGAAACTCTTCACACATGTTAAGTTGCGAATTATCAGTGTTATATATGAATCTGATTGGAACAAGTTTGCGCGTAATAGACATAGTGTAGCATTTATCAGCATTAAGGTACAGCTTGTTACGGTGACACCACTTATTTAGGTTTTGCAATATATTACAGTCGTCCATGTTTTCAATTTTACAAAAAATCTTCAAGTCATCTGCATATAAAAGGCAGCTACTGTGTAGCTCCCCAACGACGTCATCAATGAAAATTTGGAAAAGCAGAGGGCCAAGATCAGTGACTTTCAAGTATCTGTTTGTGAGATAAGATTTGAAAAACTTCAAGAATTGATAGGTCAACCCTCGCGTAGCTAATTTCTTTAACAAAATACCGTGATCTAGCTTATCAAAAGCCTTCGAAAAGTCAACGTAAGCAACATCTACTTGCCCCCCTTCATCAACAACTTCAGAGCAAAACTGTTTAAAACACACTAGATTAGTTAAAGTAGATCTGACTTGGAAAAAACCATGTTGATTTGGAGAAATTTCGCGCTTAACATGGGAGAAAATTATATCATGCAGTATACATTCGAAAACCTTACCGACGTTGCTTATAATCGCAACAGCTCTATAATTCTCAATGACATATCGTTCGTCTTTTTTAAATATGGGAGCAATCCTAGATGTTTTCCAAGCCATGGGAAATGTAGTATTAAGAGATATGTTATACAGATAAGTTAAAGGTTCAGCTAAAACAAAAGCACAGTCTTTCAGTAAACATGCAGGGATTAGATCTGGAGTGGAAGATACCTTGGGTTTAATCTTTTTCAGTTTTTCAGTAATCATTGGTATATTCAACGGTAATGAGGCGCAGTCAAGTGAGTCTGCGGGTGCAAAGTTTGTGGAAGGTGAGTATGTGGACTTGAAAAAATCTTCAAAAGCGTTGACAATATCTTACGGTTCGTTAAGTTGAGTTTTATCAAACATCATGTTATCAAGGATATGGGAAGTATTTCTCAAAGAATCAATAAAACACCAGTAGCTATGCCCTGTTCAATTTTAGCGGTATACCTTTGAAATGCAATATCAATGCTAATTTTTATGTTTCTTCGAAGATTTCGAATAGCGTCGCAGTCAACAGGATTACAAGTTCTTTTACACCGTTTCCATAGCCTTCGCTTTTTCTTGATTTTAGAAATAATAGTATTGTTGAACCAAGCAGGGTAAGAAGTGTTCTTTGGCAGTGTTCGGGGTACATTCAGATTGATTGCCGAGAATAGTATTTCATAGAATTGATCACACGCTTCGGTGATGCTACCAAGGGAATATAGAAGAGTGAAGTCTAGAGCAGCGATATCGTTATACAATGTGTGCATGTTAGCTCTTCTATAATTGTACTCAGGACTTATACTTATTGCGATACACATTTTGAACAGTATAAACTAAAAAGATATTTTTAAAATATTTTAAATCACAATTAAAATAAATTGGTTCAATTACCATGAAACTAGAATACTTTCTTAATAGTGTAAGCACTTACTGAACAATTTTAAGAAATATAACCATATTTTCAAAACGTTGAAACAAAAAAAAATAAATAAAATATTCTGATTTGAAACTTATTGTATCAGTTTTTCACGAGATTAGTGTCGCATGAATGAAAATCAAATGATTTTTCTTTCTGATTGAAGTGTTTCAAAATTTAGTTTTGTAGGTATCCAATGATTAAAACAAAAAGCCAAACCACATACCGTTAGTAACGAAATATCTATATGAAAAAAAAAATGATTTTTATGCATCTTTTCATGACTTACAGGTATATTCCTGTGGGGTATGACGCATTTACACCGAATAATTTGACGAACGATTGATAAAAGCAACTCACCATATACATCTAGTAACATAATCCCCATATCCGTCAAAATTGTCATTGTTGACTGCCTCGGCCTCTGGAGCGGTGTCGGTTTCCTCGCCTTCAGTGTCATGCTTCCTATCAGAACCGTCGGAAATGTCGGATCCAGCATCGTCATCGTCAATTTCGGTTGGGTTCTTCGTTGATAAATTTACGTTAGTAGCACCACCGCCACACGCTATAGAAGATAAAGTTGATATATTGGCGGTAGAAGAGTTTGAAGAGACCAAAGGTCGACCTGAAAGTGTCACATATTTTTATCTAATTTAGAAATAAGAAGCTATTTTTAGCCTTCGTAAAATATTACCCACTTACAGATAATGGCAACAGTGGTTTCGTGCTGCCGTAGCTAGTGTTACCCTCTCAAATAAGGATATTGTAGTCAAATTTATTTTTGCATTTCGAAAATGTTCAGTTTATATTATAGATATATTGAATCAGTACTAAATAATATAAAATGAATCTTTAAATAAATGACAACACTGGCTTGATGCCAATAGATCCGACATGCACCTTTACTGCCTATCCTCATTTTAACAAATAAGCCAGCATTCGGAGTGGTAACACCACTATTAACATATCCTTACCAAATAACATCAAACATATAATGACTTGTAATATTCTGAATATAAGGTGGTTATCCAGTAAACCCGCTACCACTTAAACCTTATTTCACGAGTATCCACCACGCATTGAGGTGAACAGCTGATCACAAAAGCGACATCTTTGTATTAATTCGTAACGTTGGCAATAATAAATTACGGGGCCGTATTCAGAGCTGTTGTTCACATATCAGGATTATATTTTTAAGTGGATGGGAAATGTGACAATAAGATGTATAAGTACAGATATAGGAAAGTTTATTAGAAAATTATTATGATACATCTGTAGTAAAGCTGTAAATTTACCTGTAAAAATAATATAGACACGTGTTTCTGGTTTATTTTACGTCATCAGTGTAACGTAATTCATCAAAAGCACATAACAAATCACATCACAAGTAATACATTCACCCAAAATTACGAAAACGACCCACCAGCATGCCGTATTATTGTGATACATCAAATTCATCATACCACTCAAATAGCAAAATAAAAATAAAATATACTTCCCGGAATTTCCGATTTCCTCGATATGTGATGATGGCATAGCATCAATTTGCCGACTTGGTATATCATGAATATCTTACTTTCTTTGAAAAAATTATAAACTACGTTTGCGTTTCCTTTGGATTTTTGAAGAGTTTTCAACATTTGGCCCATGCCTGTATTCACGAACACTGCATTGTCCCAGTTGTGTACATTTCATGACTTCCTGCAATAGTTACTTACATTTTTCTATTTTATTAATTGTTAGAATTATCTGAGTAATGTTCAGACCTGATTGAGGAAATCGAAACTTTATCAACCCGGTCATATACTGTGACACATTCTGAACCAAATGTATGGCTCTTTTAATGTCCTTCAAGATCATATGGTGTTTCAATTTCTAAAAAGTTGTTCCCCAGTAATAAAAATCTAACGGATTCAAATCTGGTGACCGGGCTGGCCACGGTATTGTACCAGACCGCCCTATCCATCTGCCTGGAGAGTTTTGATCGAGATACTCTCTCACTGAGAGTGCATAGTGCGCTGGGCAGCCATCATGCTGAAACCACATGTCCCTGTAAATACTCAGTGGCACGTCCTCCAATAAATTTTCTAAATGATTTTGCAAAAAACCTAAATAAACCTCAGCAGTCAAAGTCTCTGGGAACTCAAACGGACCGATTATTTTACCATTTAAAATTCCTGTCCAATGGTTTATCTTGAAGCGATATTGAGATTTATCTTCTCTCATCAAATGTGGGTTTGCTACGTGCCACTCGTGTAAGTTATGCAGGTTCATGTACCCGTCTTTCTTAAATGTGGTCTCATCTGACCATAATATTTTTTCAAAGAACCGTGGATCTTCCCTGTGTCTTTATAACATTGTGCGACAAAAAGCAACTCGGGGCTCATAATCCCGGGGCAGAAGAGCTTGAACACGCTGTACGTGGTATGGATGGAGCACGTTTTTTTGCAAGATTCTATGGGCTGTTCTTTTGGGCACACCTGTTTTTAGTTCTATTGCACGCACTGAAGTACTCGGGTCTTCTTCGACAGCTCATAGCACCACGTCTTCGTAAGGAAGGAAAGATCTTCCCTCACCGTGTGATTGGTTTGGTAGTTGGCCCTCTGAGAACAGTAAGCGGTGCACATTTGTGAACACTCGATGATCTGGATGACGAGCTGCATTCGGGTACCTCTCACAGTAAAGTCTCGCTGCAGCACTAGCGTTGTATCTGCATTCCCCATAAATGAGGTGCATGTTAGCATATTCTTGTACGGTGTACACGGACATAGCGTTACTGCACAATCACACTATCAAAGATAGTCTAAGGAAAGCAAATGTTGTTTTGAAGAGCAATTAAACAGTCCAAATCCAAATCACAAGCGATCAACGGTCCAGTTCACGAATCCAAAATTAGTAACAGTACGAAATCAACAAGCACGAACATGTAAAGATGCGCAGTAAACGAAGGAGTACTGATCGGTATCAAAGTGTGCAATAGCAAGTAAGTGATGTGCTTCATCCATAACACATACAGCGTGTTCATCCTCTCCTGCCCCGGGATTATGAGCCCCGAGTTGCTTTTTGTCGCACAATGTTAGAAAGACACAGGAAAGATCCACAGTTCTTTGAAAAAAAATTATGGTCGGATGAGATCACATTTAAGAAAGATGGGTACATGAACCTGCATAACTTACATGAGTGGCACGTAGCAAACCCACATTTGATGAGAGAAGATAAATCTCAATATCGCTTCAAGATAAACCATTGGACAGGAATTTTAAATGGTAAAATAATCGGTCCGTTTGAGTGCCCAGAGACTTTGACTGCTGAAGTTTATTTGGATTTTTTGAAAAATCATGTACAAAATTTATTGGTGGACGTGCCACTGAGTATTTACAGGGACATGTGGTTTCAGCATGATGGCTGCCCAGCGCACTATGCACTCTCAGTGAGACAGTATCTCGATCAAAACTTTCCAGGCAGATGGATAAGGCGGTCTGGTACAATACCGTGGCCAGCCCGATCACCTGATTTGAATCCTTTAAATCTTTTTACTGAGGAACTGCAAAAGAAAAAGTGTATTTCAAGCCGATTCAAAATGTAGCTGAGCTACGGCAAAGACTATTGGAAGCAGCTGAGTTTGTTAATAACCGTGGATTCCCTCGTTTAATAACCCGATCTTTTTTAAGATGTCGAGCGTGTATTGCGGCTGAAGGAAAACAGTTTGAGCATTTGCTGTAAAGGTAAATCATCATCAGCAGCATTTTGACGCCCACTGTTGTGCAAACAGTTATCCTTAAGGGTCCTTGTGCGTTTTCATAATCGCTGTTTAATTAGTAAATTTTGAAAAATTTTCATCAGTTTTTTTTCAAATAAAAATTGTGCATAAGTTAACGAGTAATCTTCTAAGTGTTATACCATTTTGGAATCGTTATTAAATGCGCCAACTTTTAAGGTTACTTGCCAAACTCTCGTAGTACATTTTTTTCCAGTACAGCCAGTTAAAGTTGAGCAAAGTTTTACTTTGGAATACTTGGTTGGGAGATAAGTGGCAATTTTTCCTGAACGAGAAGAGTTGGCAGTAAGGTTGAGACACCAGTTTGAAGATGCATTCATCATTATATTGTAAAAATAGAATCCAAAAAAAGTTAATATTTGTAGTAACAGGAGTTGTCAGACTGCCGTAGGGTGTGGAATTTCTATATCTTTTTCAAAGACCTATAATTTTCAAAACACATACATAAATTTTTTTCTGTTAGCTGTTATACTTTGCCTATCACCCGGTTTCGGCTTGGCGTCGACCTCTGGGGCACCCTGTATATATATATATATATATATATATATAAATAAACAAGAAGTAAAATAAAATGTAAAGTTTAAATGAGTGAGCAGCTAAAACATCCTATTATTTCATGGAATTAAGCGAAACAATATTTGTTAATCTTGATGCAAAATCTCAAATCTCAAGTTAAACGTATCCATAAACTGCGTGTTACTGAATCTGCAGATCGATCCAGCTAAGCTATTCTGTTGGTTATAACTTCATTACTGACAAATTCAATTAATTGTGGTAATGTAAGAAACCATTAGAAGACAAGTAAATCGCCTATGAACTGGTGCTCATCCCAGAAGACCAGTAAGCTGCAATGGGAAAGAGATGAAGGGCTAAAAGCCAGTTCGTCAGTTCCTTGAATGACAAAACTAGCACACAGGCAACTTTTGAGCCCGAGTCGCAGTTTGATATCGTATCGATTTAACGCAACTGCCTGAGTGAAAGGACGATCAGTCCATGGACATGAAAATAGGTCAGGTGTCAAAATAAATTGGAAAAGCTTTTGTGAGAGTTATTCTGCATTCATACGATTTATTTATTCTTAAACTGGTTCTCTATCTTGTTTAATTCAGTATGTGGTGATGGGAAAATCCAGCGAAGAACATTTAATAAGACGATGAAGTGACAATTGTGCTGGAATAATCATTTTCTGATATTTGGCTGTAAGAATAGATTGGCAGTTAATGGACTGATCTTTCCTAGATTTTGCGCAATGTCGTTTTTCGATCACAGCCAATTTTCCTTATGTTAGTGGACATCATTATAATCCCTGTGCTTGAGTTGTGTAATATTACCAGTTACCCACTGTATTTTAAACTTACGTTTAACATTGCCAGCTGAATAAACTGAAGTTGTAGAGAGTCCGTTTACTTGGGATGTCATGTTGACAGGAGGTGATGGGCGAGTTGGTGATTCTGGTGGTAGAGTTGCATTGTAGTTATGGTCGAGCAGCACCGCTTGGCATATTAGCGACAGTGCATCAAGTCCCGATTTGTTTTTATCCTCCATTGGTTTGTGTAGTTCACTGAAAAGAAATAAAATTGATTCCATATAGCAATTCAACAATGTTTCGTTTTATAATGTTTTTGCAAAGTATGATGGGATTCATATGCAAACTCAGATAGCATTTTGGTAATATTATAAACAGTAGCCAAAAATTCCATAAGACACTCATCATTTGGCAACATCCTTTCTTAATATCCTAATCTGACAATTCAAGGCGGGAGCTTATAGGTGGTGTTTATGAACTTTTGAATTTGCCTTTGAGGCGAATAAATGGCATTATCATTAAACTGTGTAACAATACTTTTTATAATTTTCTTTTTTTTCTATGAAAACATTTAATTGCAAAATATATTGTAAAGGATGAAATAATAATGATAATAATAATAATAAAAATACTTATTCCAACAACGTTACACAGTATATTACATAATATGTCTTCAAGTCTACATATTTTTCTACAAAATTTCACTTCTATGAATTCTGGTTTCTATAAAATATTTTTTCAATTTCTCTTAAAGCATTTTCAAACTGGCACACATCTTGATATAGTTCCTTAATTTATTAAACTCTTATAATCCTATTTGAGATACTGATTTGTTTGTTATACTGCTTCAACAATTTTGTAAATGAAAGTCTATACTCCCTCTAGTAGAATAACTATGGTACAAAAATGTTTCAATTCAATAAAAGTTTCTAAGGGATTTATTTGGTAGAAGATGATTTTTTTAACTTGAATATGAAAATTAAAACCAAGTATGTTTTGAAATTTTGGAACAGTATAAAAGACAAAATGAAAACAATAAATAAATATTCATTAACCACGTAAGACACATGCTGTGTATATAGAAAGTCAGAAATTAAGATAAATTTAGATAAATCACCACATTACGGACATGTATTCGCTTGAATTATAAAAACACCGCTCAGTCAGCATCAGCTTAACTCTTTTTTTAAACATTTTATATCAGCCAGAGATCGTACATCATGGGGCAACTTATTGTAAAGTACAACACAGTTGTAAAATGGTACCAACAATAAATCGGTATTCCGAGTCACATAACTGCTACGTCTGTTAATCTATGTTAAAGTTACTAGGGTAAAGTTTGACCAAACACACACTTTAAAATATATATGCACGTCACAGTTAAAATTTTGTTATGAATAAAAATCTCTCTGCAGCTGTCTACGGTGTCTTATTAAAAACTAACTTCAACATTCTTTTCTGCGATAAAAATACCCTTTTCAGTCCTAGCATTGTCTTTTAACTGGAGTAAAGCATAGAACGCCCAGTTCAACCGACCTCAGACATAATCGGCATGTTCGGCAAACGACCACTTTGCATCAAAGATCGTGCCTAATAGCTTGGTCGACGAGGCGAGTTGATGATTATTGTATTGTATTATATTTAGGGGTAGTTGCTTTTGCAAGTTGTAATTGATGAATACCGTTTTTTCTTGGTTTAGCATAAGTCGGTTCCTCTGACACCAGGCACTAAACTCATTTGTAACTGTTTTAATATTATCCAGTAATTCAGAGGTAAATACCAATTACAGGGATAATACAATTAGAACTAATAAAATAAAGTCATCAGATATAATATATGTGGCATAAAACGCAATGAAGTAAATACAAAAAAAAAAAGAAAAGAAAAAGAGACACAATATAATAAAACGTACAATTTAGTAAAACATTATATACGGTTACATAGTAACTTTATAAAAGACAAATAAAGAAAACGGATAAATACCAATTTCCGAATAGTTTAAGAATCACCTTGCAATATACACCTCAACGTCCCAACACAGCATAATTAGATCTAAGACTGTTAGAATTACATCGAGATTATCACAATTAATATCACAACCCATGCGAAATATATTAAAAGAACTGCACATTCTACTTACAAGTGCCATATTTGAAATATTTGTCTTGCCATTTGTGTGTTAAAAATAAACGCGTGTAATTCTTTCAGGTACGGCAAACTTAATTTTATTTGGTTTGAATTATCATGGAAACCATGTGACGCCCCACCCCTCCTTTTCTCGTCCGATGAACGAATGAAAGCTATATGACTAGTTTCTCCAATGTCGAGTAAGCTGTATCTATTATAGCACCAGAATCGGCGGCACCTAGCGGCCACAGTGCTGACAATGCGAAGTGGCATACAGTTCCTGTTGTGCTGTATCATGTCGAAAGACATTATTACAGTGTTATGTATTGGCTATCTGCAATTGTCTATGCTCGAAACGATTCCGAAATCGTTTCATACATTTTAACCTTGAAACTACTCTAAAATCGTGATTAATCGGCGCATTCGTATAAACGCGTATCGGGAATCGAACGGTTCTGGTAAGATAACAGGACTCAGGGTTTGAACAAAACTTATAGTACCTTCGAACAACTTACCTAATCTGCTTCGGCTCCGGGCAGCTGAATGCGTTATGATACCTGGTGGGCATGATCTCGTAATGATTCTGCGCATTTCCGCTGAGTGGCCCGCCGCCAGAAATCCCCCCACCTGCACCAGCGCTGCCGCTTCCACTGCTTAGCGTCTCGATGATTTGGGCGGTCAGCGCCTGATTGAAGGTCATCTCGGCGATGTGGGGTTTATCGCCCGGAGGCGGCGGAGAACCGTACGCATTGAGAGGCATCGGTCCAGCTGAAGATGTCGCCCCCGTCGGCTGCTGACCGCCCACCGTCTTTAGCTTGTGCGACTGGTGGTGATGATGGGGCGCGTGCTGAGGACGACAACCTGAGGCTTTATGCGCCTGCACGGCGTGCTTGCCGATATAGTTGGGCTTTGCGGTGGAGGATGAGGCTGCTTTGGCAGGTCGTTGCGGAGGGATAGTACGTAGACCCGTGCCTGTTCTCTGAATCTGTTGAGAGATGGGAAATGTAATGCGATAGTGATCTTAAAAGTAGAGTTGTTTTTTTTCCCAAGATTGTCTGTAGGAGCTAACAATTTGTGTTCGGAGCCAGGTCCTTGAGGAACCACCGAAGCCATCGAGATCTAGAAAGATGCTATTACCAGCTCTTTTGGTGTAATCCTTGAATAGAACATTAGCACCTCAGAGTTGCAAATAGAAGTAAACTATGTATACCTCTTCAGTAAAAATCCATGCGTTAAATGGCAATGCTCCCCTCAAAAAGCTTAAAATCCTTCAAAAATGCGAAACATTAAGGTTAAAACTTGAAATCTATATTTTTACTGTTTTTCCAAACAGAAATTATTAAATTGCTTACCTGTGCGGGTATACCCTTGTGTTGAGGAGAGAGCGTCTTGATACCCTGTTGATTCTTTTGGATATAGTTATTCACTGGAGGAATCGTTTTAATCTGTCCTTTGTGTGTTGGATACACCATTCTCGTAGAAGATCTCTCTTGAACCAACTTCAGGGTAGTAGGATTTGGCGAGCTCGGATTCTATAACAAATCATCAATGCATTGCTGAAGTATGTGGATAAATATAGAAAAATAGACATTGACCGCAACGATATGTATATCAGAAATATAGGCATAAATGACCTTCTTTGAGGAGCTGAGCAGTGACTTTGGATCAATATCTTATTGAAAGAGATACTAGATTTTTTTATACTAACCATGTAGAAAAGCATCTTTGCCTTATAAACAATTAGAAAAAGTATGTTGTGTTTTGACAGTCGGAATTAAATTTTTTGTATATCTCGTCGACGAGGTGCCTTTCCGAATACCCTCAACAATATAATTCCGTTGTGAAACAGCTTATAACAATTTTATTTTCTCAAATTCTAGATATCCCGGTCTATGAACCGAAAAGCACATAACATCAGACCAGTTTGACATATAAACGTAATATTTTGTAGACGTAGCTTACTAACGTCAGTTATTTTATGGTCAACAACATAGGAGGATCGGTATCAACTCTCGGAACTGTTATGTAGGTCATTATTTTGTCACACCCAACAAATTCAGACTAGGTTGAAGGAGCAAGCTAATGATTTGTTTGTCTGCAAAATTTCATAGTTTGTAGCCTGGATGAATGTGCGTACTACAAGTGGACTTGATATAAGTACAGTTTTTTTGGACAGTTCTGACATTAAATTCGCGTGTTCAGTATTATAAAAGTGCCAGTGTTTTTAGATAATTGTGGTGTTAGACCACTTCAGGAGATGATTACTTCTTGCATGATTTCCAAAGAGCGACACAAGCCTAACGAAGGAAACAGGAAAATAATTTAGGATATTCATTTGTGTTGTGAAAGGGAATTTACCTCAAAGTTGTGCTTTCACTTGGGAATTTATTAGGCATTTCTAATTTCTTTTATTACATTGCTAAAGTGTTGAGACCATCTGATGTTTCTAACAAAAATTCACAACTCAACATTGGGAAAACAAAAATTGCAGGTTATATGGTTTTATATTTACTTTCATTTTGAGGATCTTAGAAACACTTCCTTGGAACGCCTCTACATTTTTCAATTTTTTGCAAACCTGCTTTGCGAATTTCGGTTCGCAGACGTTAACAGGCTGCAAATGGTTTATTGGGATACATCCATAAATAACAGTAATTAATCTACAATATTAATCTAGACGACGTCGAGGAGCTTAAAACTATGGTTCAAAATATTTGACCAAGAGAACAGGCCTATGGCCAACAATTTTAGAAATCTCCACAGAGCCGAGTAACCTTATACAGAAAAGCAGTACTTTGTACTGTATAAATTTAAGTTATCCCTTAATTATATGAAATATTTCTATTGAACATGAGTACAGTCAAACTTTCAAGTTGGTTGTGATCCCATTTTTATCTTTGCGCGGGCATTGTATTCCTCATCCCACACACGGATCCAATGACCATAAATAGCAGAATGACAGTGTGGTCTAGCAAAAGAATGCGACGCTGATGAAGCAGCTCCTGATATTTAGTCTGTTTTTCCTCCTCTTTCGAAACGGTGGCACTTCGGCCGGAACCGAAAATTCAAAAACGAATATCGCCTTCTGTTCGTGATCGAGGAGATGTCGGGGGGAACGCGTAATTCCAGTAAATCCGGCATCTCTCGTCCTCCACAATGGACTCAATATCCCCAGGAGCATAGCGCAGCACAGCTGTTTCATCTATACCACAGGAGTGTCTCAAATGACAGAACAGCACTCGCAGAGCTCCGTTGTGACGTTAGCGGTGCCAGCGTATACTTGGGGGACCTCGGTTGGCCGGGTGGGTCAGAGTGTCGTGCTACTGATCAGCCGGCCGGCCGGGCAGCGAGTTCGAATCTCGCCTTCGGAAATTACATTCCGAAGCCATGGATGTTGTGGCGTCATGTGTTAATACATATTTATAAGAAACCTAGTGACTGGCTGCATGGACTCCTAGTCCTAAAGCAAAAAAAAATACGCTGACAAAAGATGCATAAGCGTGTCTGGCGCCTGTCGACATGCTCTGCAGTTGGCATCGGGTACCCATAACCCTACTACGGTATATCATGGAATTAAAGTCCACCATCTTGGCAAGCCATAATGGAGCCCTCAGTCGCAGGCTACTCAGGCCACTAAACCTTAGCAATGAGAAGGTCAACTGTTTGGACAAGCCATGCTCTTATATGTGTCTATAGATGATTCCATTGATAGGCTTGTGACTATGAAACTTTAATAATTTGCTTCAGCAGTTTTCAGGTGTCTTTTCAGATGAGCAGGAGCCAGTTTTGTAATAGACTGCTGGCATTCCTTGTTCAAGTCAAATATGAGACAGAGATCCCCGGCTGCTGTAAAGAGAAAAGCTCCTTAACCCGAATTGTCGTGCTCCTTCATGTCCTGGAAGGTATATACGTGCGACTGATGACTGTATGCAAACTTCTATGCATGTTTATCCTTTGACGGGTTTTAGCGTCAAGTTGTCTCAACTCGTCCACTGTCCAGTAGATGACCAAGTTGTACAATAACAATGAGAGCGCAAGAATATTTGTCGCAGCGACTTTGTTCTTACCAGACAGCTCTGATGACCAGGTATGCTTGAGTCGATGCAGGTACTTGCGTCAGAGAGACCTTTTGACCACGTTAACCTCCTGGATATGGCGCTGCCATGGTATTGTCCTTTCTTAAGATGAACCATAGCACATTTGTCTATCTTAAACTCCATTCCATTATTATTATTATTATTAATATCGGTAACAATGTTTATCCGTTTCCTGTTTAATTGAGGATTGCCATACTGTTTAAGATGAAAATAATAGTACACGCACAAGCATTTGCTTCTTGTGGTGTTTATTGCAGGATATGCTTCTTCGTTTCTTTTGCTCCTAAATTGTATTTTTTCCTCAATAAACATTATTATTAGTTATTTGTATCATATATATATGATAATAATATATATATATATATATATATATATATGAGCAGTAGTCATTGCCAAAGCCAACGACCAGTTGGACACAAAATAGAATTAGTTATTAATTGGGAAATTGGCAAATTTTTAGGCGTAAGTTGACTCTTTTGACGATAAAATCAAGCTTTCGGCATTCTCTATGGAGCCTTCATCAGGATTTCGTCGTTGAGGTTGCAGCCACGAGGTGTTTCAAAACGATCGTAGAGAAGATAGAACTTGTAATCAGTATAAAAACAAAAGGACGGGGACATTGGGCTTGTTGAAAACGACAGATACCTTCGTTCCATGTTAAAAATGTCAATCCACCCGAACAAATTAAAAATTGTTTCACTAAAATGTCTTCTCACGTGTGACAGCATGGGTAACACACACATAATATTTATGATTAATTGGCCAGTCTAAGCTTTACTTGAGTACATCTGAATATTAGATACACCACCATGAATTGTGGTCGATTTCTGGTATTTTTCACCTCTTAAAGGTATCCAAATATCATTGTGCTGTTAATAAAAATTTGTTTTCATTGTTAGTATCGTTTAATCCATTCCTGTTTTAACCATGATTCACAAACATAACATAAATAGTATTTCTATACCTGTACCAGTGTAGACCCAGTACAGTTAGCTACTTGAATATACTTTGTATAAGAGTCAAAACTATGCACTTAAACTACACAATTGTGGCGACAAACAATGTAAACATATAGGCTTGGCTCCTTCTAATCTATTCGAATTCGTTGCTTCCACCATTCTATTTATCGCGGAAGAATTATTTTGAGGTGGATATTTTACCTTTATGGGATTGATGTTTGATCCCGACTTATTCAGATACTTGGCTTGCGGTGCTCCATTTGGTCCAATCATTTTCGGTCTGGGCATGTACCGTTGTTGTAATGGCTGTGGAGGAGCGGGTATAGGAACTATGGACTGAGCTGGACCAGCAGCCAGAGATGTTACTGTTGTCGGTTTACTGACCATCACATTGTTTGACAAATGCGACGTGCCAGGTACCACCACGTTGCTCAGAATCTTGAGTTTGCTACGTTGACCATTCACTGTCTTTTGCTGTGTATTCAAGCTTGTCAGAACCTGAAGTAAAATTAATGTTAATGCATATCATTTGGCGCCAATACACAATCTATGGGAATATCCTTGGAAATCGCATACTTTTAAAAATTGCGTGTGCCACCTATTGCTGTAGAAGTTATTTGATATTTAAAGAAACAGTGTCTATTTAAGAATGTTGGCAAGCTGAAAGGGACCGGGAGTGTACTGATTAGGTACATGCATCAAGCCTGAGATCAGAAACCTCATGCATAATTTAGGGGAAGCACTGTGGAGAACATAATGCTCAAGATTTAGAGAACCTAGCAGAAGACAGTGAGACTGATGACTCTGAAGAAAAAATCTGTTAGTATTGTAGCTGGTAGCCTACACTCTGGAGGCAGAGCAAAAGCTATTGTGGCCAATAAATCCGAGAACAAGCGGAAGATTTTCCAGGATACCTTATAGCCTAAAGATCACAAGATCTGCTGCTAAGGCTACTGCATGATTCCAATTTTTCTGCGAGCGTTTTTTGTGTATTATCCATTTGACATTTAATGTTCGATTTTTCCATTTACTAGATAAGCATTATGATATATGGGGTGATTCATAAGTCGTGACCAAAAATGAAACATCATTTCATCAATTACAATAATTATAATAATAATACCGCAGTACCGCATTTTAAGGGGGAGTCTTATATTATGTAACATTTTTTCCTCGAGGGCTCCACTAAAAAGATACTGGGTGTTGAAGTTTAAAAATAAAAAACAACAATTTTTTCAATATCTTCAAAACCGTCAAATGGAATGAACTAAAATTTGGTATGTGGATTTACCTAAGTATTGTCCACATTCAAAAGTCTTTACTTAAAATTAACCTGCACCAGTGGCGGAGATACAGGGGATTAGTGGCATTATTTTCCCAAATAATAAATAGTAGGCCACTGATTTTTTTTTCGAGGCGCGCAATTTTTCGAATTTTACCTTGTTACTCTTGTTTTTTTCCTAGAGTGCATTGTTTTCGTAAAAATAAAACAAATTAGATAATCAATGCTTTATTTCAATAAATATTCCAAAAGACCATCATTTTGGCGGTTACAAATGAATCATTTTTTTAATAAAAAAAAACCTTAACGCAAAATCTGTTCTGGCTTGAATTTGATGCATTATCTATTCTTTCTTGTAACTGATCAACCGTATTAATTTGTGGAGCATACACTAGTTGTTAAAAAGTGCCCCAAAAATAAATCCAAGGGGTTCAAATCAGGAGACCTCGCAGGGCAATGTGCGGGTCCGTTTCTGTCAATCCATCGTTGTCTAAAATGATTATTTTACCATGGGATTACGACACGACGAACATGCTTTGGTGCACCGTCGTGCTGATACCACATTCGTACTCTCGTTGCTAACGGAACATCATCTAATACATTTTCTATGTAATTCTCTAGAAAAGCTAAGTATGAGTTTGCAAACGTTGTGGCAATACGTGCATGAAAAATTGGCCATTGAAAATGCAGCACCAGACATTTCTAGAAAATCTGTGTTGAAACGAGTGGATTCTTACAGAACAGGGATTTTCTAACGACCAAATATGTTCATTCATCTGACCACAAAACCAAATCAATAAAATCTGCATTTTGATTATGCATTTGCAATAACCACTCACAAAAATTTCGCCGTTGCACTTCGTCGCCCGGTTGCAGACATTGCACATTTTGCCAATGGTAGGAATGTAACACTTCCCGATTTAAAATTATCCACGCAAGACTTTGCGAACATGGTAACTGGGCTGCAGTCTGTCTAGTACTTTTACTAAGATCATCCAACGCCAAATCAATCACTTCCAGTTCCTCTTGAAGAGCATGCCGGACAAAATGGCCTCTAACTCCGGGAAGTTTGGCAATTCCATATTGCCGAAGTCTTAGAAATCAACACGTAACAAACTTTGGGGAATGTTGGCATGTTAGGAAATTACGTTGATACTCCCAGAAGCCGCTAAAGCATTTCCATTACAGAACCCATACACATTAGTAAATAATATCGGCGTACTCATCATTGCTAAATTCCATTTCACAACACTCAAAAATGAAAAAGACTTGGCAAAAAAAAAGGTAGTAGTAACGATAACAACCGTATAACACATAACTTTATCAAACTATCTCCCAAGAAATGCCACGTTGGTATCAAGGCCTCCTATTTTATTTTGAAACTAAATGTATCTCGGCTCTACATGAACGATCTAATTTGTTTTATTTTTATTTTTACGAAAACAGTTCACTCTAGGAAAACAACACTAGCAAAAGGCCCGGCGCATATTGAACCCCTGCCACGCGTAGCACACGCACAGCCCACGCGTGGGTGATTTTGTAAAACACTGTTGTAGACGAACTGACGCATATTGCACCCATCCCACGCCTAGCACAGTCCCAGCCTATTCCCACGTGGTTTGATTTGTGTGAGCAACACAGTTTCGTGGAATCGTGGGTCACTTTGTTTACGTTTTTCAATTCAAAATGGAGAAATTGATCGAACTCGTTCGGGAGAATCCTGTGTTGTATGACACTTCACATGAGGATTATATGAGAACAAAATTAAAAAATGAGTTGTGGGAGAAGATAACCAGAGATTTAAATTATACAAGTGGTGAGTAATTTTGAAATATGTATATTTTGGGTTATAAGAACGAACACGTGAGTATGCACTTCCTCGAGTACTCATCGTAAGTACATATTTATTTTTTTTAATAATAATAATAATTAATAATACTTTTCATTTTTGTATGTATATATCCTAAAATTGTCCTCTTTCTATCGCTCTTCGTTGCCATTCAACAGATCCATCTGCAGAATTGAAACACTCAGTAAACTTCTGCCTAATATTAAATGCTTCAGTAGAATTGCGAGTTCGGTTTAGTGCTAAAGGAATGAAATGATTTTCATGAGAATTAGTCAACACTTCATCATTTTCTTCCTGGCCAGTGGCAATCGAGAGAATCTTAGTTCTCAAATAATTATGAAGCACAATTGTGGCTAGCACTATTTTATCGATGGTATCCAATTTACATTCAAATGGTCTCTTGTACACCCGGAATCTAGCTGCTAATATAGCGAAGGCACTTTCTACTGTTTGTCTAGCCCGAGGTAGTCTATAATTAAAAACCTTGTTTTGGTAACTACCAGCAACTCTCGCTTTAGGATAGGGACGCATTAAATTTCTCATTAGCGGGAACGCTTCGTCTCTAACAAATACATATGGAGTTGGTGTATTTTGTCCAGGTAAAGGCTTTGGTTCTGGCAAATCCAGTGAACCGTTGTATAACATTTTTCCTAAAGGAGAATTGGCAAAAATATTTCCGTCACTAAACCGACCCATAGAACCTACATTCACAGAAGTAAATCGATAATTTGCATCGACAGTCGCCATTAAAACAACAGAAAAATATTGTTTGTAGTTGAAGAAAGAAGAGCCACTCAGAAGTGGTTTTCGAATGGCGACATGCTTCCCATCGACAGCTCCTAAACAGTTATAAAACTGCCATTTTCTTTCATACTCTAATGCAATGTTCTTCCAAATTTCCACCGTTGGTTCGGGCATATAAATGGGCTGTAAACGTCGCCATATCGCTTCACAGACTTGACAAACAATGTTCGATACGGTTCTCTGTCCCATTCTATAGCTCAGTCCTATAGTTTTATACATGTCACCAGTGGCCAAATACCTGAAAAAAATCTACTTTAAGGCTGAAAAACGAAGAAAGATCAGATGCCATTTTTATTGTTTATCAATTTATTGTTTATTCTGTTACAGGCAAGGATGCTAAAGAACAATGGCGGAAGCTAAGAGAGTGTCATCGTGAAGCTATCCGAAGGCAACAAAAGAAAAGTGGACAACAAACAACCACTACGAAACCATGGACCTATCAAAAACAAATGGAGTTTTTAAAACCATACATGAAAAACAGACTCACTGCTGGATGTCCCAGCACCTTAGCTCCTGATGACAGCCAGGTAGAAGAAGAAGATGTACTCTCTGCTGATCCACCAAGTGTTCAATCAAATTTTGAAACAGATCAATCCATGGATACACCCACTTCAAAAAAAGCGAAAAAATCTGGTGATCCTCTATTGAGAAAATACATCGAAGATGGTGAGAAAAGAGCTAAGAGTCGGGAAGAATTACGTCAAAAACTAATAGCTCAATCTCAGCAAGAAGCAGTGTTACAAAATGATGCTCTACATCTTTTTTTTGTCAATGTACAATGTAACAAAAAATCTTCCTACCAAATTTCAAAGGCAAGTCAGAAGAAAAGTTTTTGATGTCGTCTCACAAGCAGAAGATGATGCTGAGCAAGAGATAGAGAATCAGAAAATTCATTCATCAACCTCCAGTACTAGTGGACTATCTGTGGTGACACAACAATACCCTGAATTCTTTACTCTACATCAGAATCCATCATTGATTCGTCCTGTAGAAGCAAATGAAGAGGATCTAGAAACAAACATTGGGGAAGAAGAAGATAATTTACCAAGAGCATTCCTTACTTTGTAAATGCATAATTTATATCTTGATAACATAAAATATTTTCTGAATAAAATTACCTTAGACATACGGCTACTTTTTCTTCACTTCCAATAGGTTTTTGTGCATTGCACCCTTTACCCGTAATATCGTTCTTTATCAATTCATGGATTTCGTTGAACTGTGTTCTGTTCACTCTAAATGTCTCTTTGAATATGCTGTCTGGAACTTCTCTAGATAAGTTGAACTCTCCATGACTTTGTCTTTTTCGCAGATACGCATTTTTCTCGCTTTTTGTTCTTCTTCGATTAAATAGATACATTAAAATAGATCTTTCCTCGTCTTCCGACTCAGACTCTAGATCGAGGAGCTGACAGATATTCGCTGCCATCGTGGAAGTGGACTGGATATGGGATGGGTTCAATATGCGCTTCCGAACGCGAAACATGGGCTAGGCTGGGTCTGTACGTAACGTGGGCTGTGCGTGTGCTACGCGTGGCATGGGTTCAATATGCGCCGGGCCTA